ACTCTTGAGGATGGATGACTGCACCTCAGCACCAAACCAGCAGTAAGGGGACGTGTTGGGCTTTTGCCACTCTGTTCTTCAATACTTTATTGCAATGTAAGAAGAGTACAGTAGAGTGGAGGGAACGTGATGTGGAAGATGGTGCTGCTGCTAGAAGAGACTCAGAGGCTGCGCCCACTTTGCTGATTTCTAGAAAAAGAGATGAGTGCCTCTTAGAATGGCAATGGCACCCACCTGAGGGGGCCGGAATGGAGTTCCTGCGAGTTCTAGCTGGGGGAAAGCCCTGACCCAGGGGTGGGTGGGGAAGGTGAGCTGGAGCCTGGGGTGGGGGTGGGGAATTGGTAGGAGGAGCCCGGCTGGATCCAGCCCCTGGCCCATCTAGTCCAGCATCCTGTTCTCACAGGGGCAACTAGAAGCCTCTGGGAAGCCTGCAAGCAGGACCCCATCTAGAAAAGCCCTCTGTCCTCCTGCAGTTCCCCACAACTGGTATTCAGAAGCATCACTGCAAAGATGTGCTCTCCCAGGCCCACAATCCCAGCCTGTTTGCACTCCTGCTGTCTTAGTCATGTCTGCAGCCTGGAAGATGGCAGGATCCCCAGGGCATGCGCTACGGAGAGCTGGCTTCAGGCACCAGGCCCATTGCAGACAACTCTGTGTTACAAAGATGTCTGCCCACGTGGCATGAAGGTTGGCAACATCAGCCCCGCCATGTGGGAATCCCTTGCAGGCAACTGCGGTGACTGGAGACAGGTTGTGCATCCAAACTGAAATAAGAGATAAATTTAAGAAAGAAACATATTATACAGCAAGGTACATTGTTATTTTCACTATGTGTACATAATCAAAGCTTGGTGTAATAAAGAACCAGACTTTAAAAATAGTAAACATTGTAAGGTAAAAAATATCCATAACAAAAAATAGAGTAATGTGTGGTTTAATAGTTCATCGCTTGCTTCTCAACTTTCCTTACACATTTGCAGCATATTGAGCTTATGGTCCTACAGTCTGTTCATAGAATCATAGAAGCTTAGAGTTGGAAGGGACCCCAGGAGTCATCTATTCTAAATCTCTGCAATGCAGGAATCTCAACTAAAGCATCCATGACAAATGGCCATCCACCCTCTGCTTAAAATCCTCTAAGGAAGGAAGCATTTAAAAAAAGAAAAAAGATCTGTACTTCTTGCACTCTACTCTGCTCCCTCTTTCCTCCTGCCCAGGACAGCCTTGCCCTCTGCCTGCCCCTCAGAGCCAGCAGGGGGGGAGAGGGGGGAGAAGCTTCTCTTCCTCCTCCTCGCCTGTTCTGCAGCAGCCAATATGAGCTGCCCAAGGGAGGAGGCCAGCTGTGGCAGCCATGGAGAGGCAACGGAATATTCCCTTGCAGCTCCACTCAGCCTCCTCCCCAAGCTCAGGGGCAGCAGCACTCATGGGGGAGATAGGGACACTTAGAGGGCATGCAGCCGTGCATATAACAGTTACAGGATTTCAGCAGGATGTCACAGCACATGCACTGATGGGAAACAAAGCAGTATATTTGCCCTTAAACCTTTGCAGGAGCAAATAGTATCCTGGGCATCACATATAGCCACCCAGTTCCCACCACTGCATTTCAAAGGTCATTTGCACATCGCTGCAGTGGGGCCGGATGTGTTTTCCAGTCACCCACTATCTGTCACAACCATGGGCAGAGAGAGAGGCCTTGCATATCTTCATGTGTCTTATGCTTTCAAATTAGATTTAAGCTGGTTTGGGTGAAAACATCAAATTGCAGGATTTCTCAAGAAACTACAGGATTTTGGTTATTGTTGTGTAAATGGCTTTGCAAACCAGTGGCAGGAGAGCATTGGAGGCAGAGTCCATGGGAGCATCTGCACAACCTGGGCTGCTGAAACGAAAGAGGTGAGTCCTTGTGTGTTCTAGCTCTGGTGAAGATGGTTCTGGCAAAGGAAGAACTCTCATTATTTTCCACAGGAACATGCGTGGGGCATCCATGAAGCACTGCCAAGAGCCAGAGGACAGCGCACTGCATCCACAAGAATGTTTAGCTGCCTGGCTCAATGCCCCGTGGGCGTTTAACTTGGACTGCCTGTTGCAAACACCTCCGTTCTGAAGGCAGGGTCAGCTAGAATGAGAACAGAAGGGAAAGATGAGATAATACTAGCTGTGAATAACAGCCTGGCCATCCATCCCGGGCAATTCCTGTTCTGTTCATTTGTTCCATGAGTGCAGTTCAGGGAATCTCTCAGCTGGGATAACAAAACTATGGAGATCAGCCAAGGCCCAAGGAGGGAGGGAGGGAGGGCATTTTGTGTGTTGGGGGCAGAACATTCATTACTCATCTGAAATCTGCCACTTAAAGGACCTGGCTTGCAATGGGGCTTCAGCATGTCTGAAAGCCTTATCCCATCCCAGATGGAGAATGATTGACATTGCTTAGGGGTAAAGGGAAGGCAGTTTGCACATGGTCAGCCACAAAGCAAGAATTATGCAATGATGTGAAGAGAACCAGCCCTTAACTCTGTAAGCACACTTAACTTGCACATGGATGCTGCATAATTGATGTATATTTGGTCACATGTTTTCTTTTAAGTATGATTGCATGTATTTATTACGGCTACCTCTTTGGTCCCAGGTGTTTTTGCACATGCATGCATTTCTGTCACTAGGTGTGATTTGTACAAGCAGGCACACTTTGCAGTTACACACGTCTGCACAAATGCACAAAGTGGTGCTTCTCTGTTTGCAAACTTCTGTGAAAATGTGTATGTCACAATTCCTCCTTCTCTTGGGTTCAGCTGAGCTCCTTTCTGTTGAAGCCTGAGGTATATAAGGATGCCAACAGGAGACTTACCTTGCTTAAGTACATTATGTTGGAGAGTACGAGTAACACAACGTCTGGTCTCAGACATCTACAAACGACTGATAAACCTTGGGGAACATTCAATAAATGACCTTCCTATGAGTTGGGAGCAAGATCTTAAAGTACAAATAGATGATGGATCTCACTTTGGGATAAACCTTTTAAAATCAAGTTCAGCATGGATTAAGGAATTGTCATTACAAAATCTCTCTCATCAGCCCAGGATCCACTCCACTGTGTTGAAGAGGGTGTCAGGTTATTGGACCATATCTTCACTTGTGGTGGGGATGCCATGGAGTGTGGGATTCCTGTGTGTTTTTTATAATGCAATTAGTTTTATTACACAATGGGCTATGTAATTCTCTCCACAACTGGTTCCCTTAACTTTATTTTTTTAGGGCAAGATAGAGAGTTGTTGTTTTTAAATATTTTTATTGGGTTTTATAAACAAGATAATGTTATATAAATAAGTATACCAAGTTTTTTCATGTCATTTGTATATCACAAAAATAGCATAATAAATGTGGAAAAATATCTACAACATATGTTTCATTATTAGTGGTCAATGTATAGATTCTTGAATTGGTTCATGAATTGGTTTTAAACAATTAGGAAGCAGAGAAAAAAGGGGGAGGGGAATGGCGAGTGGGGTTGGGTGGTTATGCTTCTATTATTCTACTTAGCGGGGGGCGGGTTGTGTCAGCGTTACTTGTATGGGTTCTCTTACTATTCTCTTGCGTGGCAAGGCCCCGGTCCTCACAGTTCCCACAGAAATAAACACACAAACACAAATATGTTGGGTTAGTGGGATAAATTAGGCCACAACTTTATTGGTTACAGATGTGAGCTGTTTGGCTTAGGCAGTTGGGTGAAGCTACAACTCCCATCATCCCTAGCTAACAGGACCAGTGGTCAGGGATGATGGGAGTTGTAGTCCCGAAACATCTGGAGGGCCGAGTTTGCCTATGCCTGATATGCATCAATTAAGAGCTCCCCCAGGGTCCCCGATGGGGTCGTGGCATGGCCCTGGCCCACGCCCAGGCTTCGGACAGGAACCACACCCCCGGATATGGGATACCCTTAGCACGAAGGGGCAGGCGGAGGCAACAACCTCCCCTCCCATAACAAGGCTTACCCAATGCCAAGTGGAAAAATTCCCACACAGCCCCCACAACCGACATTAGTCATAGCAACACAAGAAAGCGGGTGGGGGGCTGGGAGACCCGCCAAAGTAGACGAAGGAAGGCTGCCCCCAGCTGTGCCGTGGTTTAAATGGCAAGTAGCCATGGCCCCCGGCTAACCCGATTGGTCAACCGGGGGGCATGATGCGGCTGGGCAGCCTCGTGACGTGGGCAGCATCCCTCTGCCCACTGCTGGGTAACACAGGTCCCGGAACCCCACCTGTAATGCTGTCCCCCCCCCCGGAAAAAGGGAGCTGTCTTCTTGTATTTCCTTGGTGGTGAGAGAGGTTGGGGGTCGCTTAGGGTGTGGTTGGTTGTCTTTGGTTGGCTGTGGCAAGATAGAGAGTTGAAGAGCAGGGAGCTGATAAGTCATTTCTAATCAGCAGCTATTGTAACAGTAGTGTGACTTCCTTAGGATAAGGTGTTGGCTATTTGCAGATCAGTTGCGCTGCAGAAAGCATGCTGGGGAGACCACACATTACAAGGAACGCAAAATAACTTTAGCTAGGTTTTAATAACAAAAACAAAAACTCCTTTACACTAAATATATCAATAAGCATGACCGACCAACCACCAGGGTACTGAGAGAGCTAGGTGCTGCTCTTTATATACTATACCCAATTGCTGACACAGCTTAATTAACACAACTTAACAGCACCTGCTATACTGCTTCACAGCTGTAAAACTGGGTCTCGTTATTTGCTCTGGCCCTTAAAGACATACACATCTTGTGGAACAATAACGAGCCTTCACATTTAAAGAGACCATTTAACATGAGGCCTCTCCTCCCAGAGGGGAGGGGTTGTGAGTGGGAGCAGCCTCCCGTGGGGGCAGGGAGGCCTATATGACTCCCTGCATCTGATCACTTCAGCTGCCACGGCCAAGCCTTCCAGCTGACCAATAGGGCCGACTGGTGGGCGGGGCTAGCCACGTTTAAATAGCCGTGGCAGCGCTCTGCCCCCAGTCTGTTCCTGCTTTCTTCAGATCTCCCTGCCTCCCTCCCTCTTAGGTCAGCTTCTTGTGCGTATGACCTTGCTATGGACTTCGTTTTGTTGCCTTGGTTGCCCAAGGGGCCCGGTAGGACTTTTTTATCCATTTGCAAATTGGCACCAGCCTCTTGGTTTTTCCACCTACCTCGTAGCAATTCGTCACAACTTTCTGGTATTGGCGGTTAGGCATTGGACTAGATGTGCTGTGTTGGAGGATTGGGTATGCGCCATCATCTACCCCTCCTCTTTTGGGTATTCCGTTAAAGGAATCCGGCGGTTGTGGATCCTGTCCGATGCCCTGCTGGTGGCTAGGGCCATGGCACGACCCCCGGTGACATCATGGGGGAGCTTCCAGTTGTATTTCCATCAACAAGCTCCTCCCATTGATTGCTAACCCTCATATGACTCCTGGCTGTGCGGGATGGAGTCTGGTATTGCTGTTTCATCCAATACCTAAGCCAATACTACTCACATGCTGTAACCAATAAAAGTTGTGGCCTAATTTTGCCCATTAACCTAAAATAATGTGTCTTTGTGTCTTATTATACTCCTATGTGGGTGGAGGCTCCTAGACTCCTGGTACCTATAGATTCCTGATACTAAAAGACCTGGGAGGCAGCACTGTTTGAGAAGCCGACACGTGAGTGCAAGGTGATGCAGGGCCAGTGTAGAAATGAATCATTTTTGGCAGTATGGCATCATTTTATTGTTTTTACAAACATGGAGGAATATTGCTGGCTTTTGCCTCATGTTTTTCATTGCCTGTGGGCATTATGAAAAGCGTGAGGGGAGTATAAAAGCTTAATGTAAAGATCTTAATACTGACACTATTGACAGTCTACAACAATTTCTGTGTAATGATTTCATATATCTTCCGGGATTATTTATGTTGTATCTGAATGTTGATTTTTTTAAAGCGATTTAATATTTGAAATCTACATTTTAACTGTAAAATTAAACAATCTAAGAACAATCACAATTCCTCTCCTTCCATACATGCATGTGTCTGTTTATGAAATGTGGGTTTAAGTGCACAGGTCTGGATGCCTGTAAGCTCTGAAAATTAGTATTTCATAACCAGACAGAATGAACCAAGCCCTGTGTGTTTGTGTGTGTCTCCAGTTAATGATTTCAATGTTTTGGCTCAATGCCTTGGCTATCTGGAACCCAGCCTCACTCCCACACTGTTCACTGGAAACACAAGGAGACCTTTTGCAAGCTGTAGGTTGGCATTAACTGGAACTATGGAGTTGTGCAAATGATGTTGGCTTTAGGGATGGGCCTTGAGAATCCAGATGGGCAGGGAACTATAGGGTATTGCTTCATACAAAGGACAAAGGGTGGGGGGAGCCACCTACTGAAAACCCCAAACACAAAGGACTAATAATGTCACCCGTCATTTATATAGCTCTTTCGGCTCCTCCAAACAACTTATTTATTGAGGCACCATCCTGATGTGCTTACATAAAGCTTATGCAGAGCTTGATTATACCCAGTCTTTATTGTGCAGCTATTCTGCTTTGTCTGTGGGGCAATTAATACAATAAACATTCAACCAGGTTTGCTTGCATGGTGCTTATGTCTTCCCATTAACCATTTGTTCATCCCATACTTTTCCTGTCCCATTCCTAACCTTCAAAATTTCCATTGAATGAAACACTTTAGTCTGCTGTAATTGTGCAAAGCTGAATTTCCTGATATGCGGCTGAAGCCCTCCTGCAATATACTGCCTGTCTGGAGGCACCCTTAGAGCGTATGTAAAGTGTTTTGCATACAATGGCTGCTTTCACGCATCATAAAAAGCCAGAGCACCACTAAGCTGATGCACACTGCTGGATTGCTCCTGCTGTGCTCCCCTTCTGGCGCAAGCAAGAGAAACAAGCCAAGAAGCCACAATTAAGCTTGATTTCCCACCCCTATGGGTGGTTTGCTTCTTCCTAACAAGCCAGACCAGCCTTAAACCCCAATCCCATGTTCACATGTCACAGGAAGCTAACATACGTTTCTCCAATGCAAATAGGGACATCCTACTCCGTAACGATGATGATGATGATAATTTTATGATTTATACCCTGCCCATCTTACTGGGTTGCCCCAGCCACACTCGGCAGTTTCCAACATACATAAAAACATAATAAAACATTAAACATTAAAAAAAACTTCCCTGTCAGTAATGATCACCATATTGCATAGGGGAACACAGGAATCTGCCTTATACCAAGTCATACCATTGGCTTTTGTCAAAAAACCAGAAGCCTTTTTACTAGGTATAATAGGTGAAGAGTGACCAAGAGAAGATAAAATACTTTTTATGTCTGCAAGGATGGCAGCAAGAATGCCACTAGCCCAGAGATGGAAGGAGGGAAGGAAGGAGAGTACCAAGAAAAGGAAAGCAGGTGAAACTGATGGAGTAGGCAGAGATGGCGAGACTGATGGGGAAGAGCCGAAACCAGGAGGATCAAGTCTTTTCTAAAGACTGGAATAAATCTGTAATTTATTTAAAAGACCACTGTAAACAGTTAAAATCTTTGGCAGGGATGTAAAGTCACTTGTAATGTGAACTTTTTTATGGTAATTATGGTTATATAATAGGTAGATAAGGGTAAAAGATTCAGTAAGTTTAATCTTAAAGATGGAACCATGGAGGGAGGGAAGGAGGTCTAAGGGTTCGAAAGAACGCTGTACAGTGGTACCTCGGGTTAAGAACTTAATTCGTTCTGGAGGTCCGTTCTTATCCTGAAACTGTTCTTAATCTGAGGTACCACTTTAGCTAATGGGGCCTCCCGCTGCTGCCTCGCCGCCGGAGCACGATTTCTGTTCTCATCCTGAAGCGAAGTTCTTAACCTGAAGCACTATTTCTGGGTTAGCAGAGTCTGTAACCTGAAGTGTATGCAACCTGAAGCGTATGTAACCCGAGGTACCAATGTATTTTAATGTTTGAAATGGTTTTGTTTTATATGTATAAAATTTTTCAAAAACTTAATAAAAAATTATATGCATATAATATAGTATAATATAAAATAAATCTCTCGCCCTCCATAAAAACACACCTGGAGGGCATCCGAGATGTAAAAGCAGCTGGGCTCGAAGCAAAAGCCATAGCTGGGCGCTTTTCCTCCCCGCGAGGGGCGAGCCACCCGCCTGGCGAGGCGCCTCTTCCCCTTCCCGGCCAGCAGCGCGTGGGAAGGCGGCGCTTTCCTGACAGGCCTCCCGAGCTCCACGCGTGTCTGTGGGAATCCCCCGGCAGGGCGTGGCCAAACTTTTACGGGGGGGCCGAGTGATCGGTGACGCAGTTGGTTAGTTCGTCCTTGGCCGAGGAGCCCCGCTGCGCGTGGACGCCTCGGGGCCTTTCCGGGGCCGGGCCGCCTTCTTGCGCCTCTCCCGGCCGCGCCGCCCGCTCGGCTCCCCCGCAGCTCGTCCCCCGCCGCCTCGCTCGCTCGCTCCCTCCGGCCCCGTCGCGCCTCCTCCGCCGCTCCGCGGGAGAAGCGGCGCCTGGCGGCTCCTGCTCCGCAGACCAGCGCGGGATCCGCCGCCGAGGTATCTGCGGGAGGTAGGACCGGGCTGCGCTCTTCATCTGCGCCAGGAAGCTCGTGTGAATGAGCGGCGCTTGCGGGTCGGGGCGGGCGGGCGCCTGAATGCCCGTCTGCCGAGGGCGAAAGGGGCGCTCGCTGGCTCCCGGGCGCGTCGGAAGGGGGAATCCACGAGTTGCCGAGAGGTCGCGAAGACTTCCAGACTTCCAGAAGGGCTCCCAAGTGGAGGAAGGAGGCTGGGATTTTAATATGCCGTCAATTAAGTGGATTCCTAGACGCCCCCCCCCCCCAAATGCTTTTGGGGTAGAGTTGTGATGATTTGGTTGCCCCTCCGCAGTGGAAAAATAACGCTTATAAAAAGAAATTAAAGAGGCACTTCGTTAGTCCTCCCGGAGAGGCTGGCGCACTGCAACTCCCCTGCTTCCACAGCACGGACCAGGCTGCCTCCGAAGGGCCACATTCACCCCGATTTCGCCTGCTGTCCATTTTCTGCTTGCAAGTCTAACTAAATTAGGAAAACAGGAGGGGGGGGCACAGCAGGGTGTTGGAAAACCTAGCATGGAAACATAGATATCCTGAAAGCTGTATGGCAAGTGGAAGGTGTTTTATTTTACAGGCAGATGAGCTTTGAAGAAAATTGTACTTTGTAGGTGCAGCAAATGGAACTGGACCTCAGGGCTGTTTTCTAGCTGCCAAAGTGGATTTGGGTTTGGGAACAAACTAGAAATAAATATTTCAATGGAACATTAAAACATATATATCTGTGGGGGAAATTGTGGGTCTGTGCTTGGCAGAACTTGCGTATATGATTGTGTATATTGGAACCAGCCAGACCTATGCTTAGCTCTGATTATTTATTTATTTATTTATTAGGGCATTTATTTCCTGCCCTTCTAGTGTAAATATACCAAGCAGAGTGGCTGACAACATATCAAAATTGCAAATGCATTAAAATAGTAGAAAACTCTACAGCAGCTAAAAAATCCTAAAGACGTTGGGCTGGATTCAGCTAACCTGGTGCCCTAGTAGAAGGGCAGTGATCCTCCTGCTTGCCCCAGATCTGCTCTGGAGTGTTGGGAGAACCCGCAGAACAGTTCACAGGGGGGAGAGGGAAAATTGTTCCATCTGATAAGCAGAAATACTTGTGCTGATGGAATGGCTGTATTAATGTGATGTTGAATCCCACCCATTGTTCCAGGGGTTATGTTAAGGCCTGGAAATTGCATATAGCCAAATCCTTGGAGCCGCCCTGTGGCTGGCAGGTGGGTGGGTGGGTGCGGGCGGGCGGGGAGAGGGCATCTCCAGCACTCCCACAGCCGTGCCCACAGCGGGTCTTGCCCAGCACGCAAGGCCTGGAGCTTCAAAGCCCTTTTGTACTGGGTAACCACGAGTGGCCCTGGCATGTGAAGAGCTTTTCTACGCTTCACCTTGCTTGGGACTTGAGTTGCACAGTTTCAACCAGCCATCCTTCAGCCGTGTACGGTTGAAATTGCCCAAGTCACATGCGTGTAAAAGGAGAGTTTAGTGTAATAGAGGAGGAGCCGGCAGGAGCATTAATGGCTACCTAGAGTAGTACAGGCAGTGGATTGTCAAGGTGACAGCAAAGAGAAGAGCAGAGGCCTTGCAGGCCTGTTAGACCTCTAAGAAGAACAGCCACTGCAAACCACCAGCCTATATCATCTCAGTGTATGCACAAATCAGAATCCTCTCTGGCCTCCTTTGTCAAAGCGCCCACACTAGGTGCTCCGCAGTCTGTTCTTGGAATGCTCCCAGGAAGGAGATTCACCTTCATTCCCAATTAACCATTTATTTCACTGGTACTTAAAATATTTATTCAGTTGCCCTTTTCCTTTTATTTAAATGCATCATTGCTTGTTTTGTGCCTTCTGCACTTTATGAGGAGTAATTCATACTTTCATTTTTTGCTGACGTCTGTCCCTGTTCTCCCGTGTGGGGTTTTCCTCTTCCTGGGCTGCTTATAATAATCTCCTTCAACTTTTCCTTTCTACAGTGGGCTTTCTGGTGCTCTTTATCTTTCTAACCCTCCTCAGAATCCTTTCCAGTTTGTCAACTTAGCAAAGGCACTTCTGTTTGCTCAGAGGGTCATGGGGTGGTCTGAAACTGGAGCAATTTTCATGGTTGCTCTGCAGCAAATTGGCTTTTGATCTAAGGTCAGGAGACTCGTAGATTTTGTTTGAAAAACTCCTGAGCTGCACACCCCCTTTCTGCTTCCCGCCTCAGTGTTTCTACTAAAGAATAGGCATAGGGCTGCCAACGCCACAAGCTTGCAAGGGGCTACATTTTAAATAAGGGCGGCTATTTTTTTGGTCAGGAGCCCTGCAGGGCCAGGAGTCCCCAACCATCATATGAGACCATCCATTCATATGAGACCATCCTTCAAGGAGGGGATCTGTTTCCTCTGAGCAGCCTTCTGGGGGGCAGGAGCAGAGGCCGAAATGGGCAGCACGGTCCATGTCTTTTCCTCCTTTGTACAGGAGGCTAGTTTCTGCAAATGCTCACACAGCCCTGACCGACTTCTTCTTTTTTTTTAAATGATATTTATTAAGGTTTCAAAGAAAAAATTACATAAATAAAAAGAAAAGAAAAAAAGAAAGAAATAAAAATGAAAGAAAAATACAAAATACAGAAAAAAGATAAAAGACACTTAAAAAAAACACATCAATCTTTCCATGCCTTACATTCATTTCCTTGCTTCCCTGACCTCACACCTCCCTTTTTTGTATTCCAGTTCTATTGGTTAATTCAGCAATTCCTTTCCCTCTTTGTTTTGGTCTTAAACCTTTAACTTAATATATTATAACTTTGGATTTTCACCTGTTAACAATCCATTTTTACATACACCTTTATAACATTGTTGCTTAAACCACTTAACTTCATTCTGACATCATTCTAACATTCATTAATTTTGCAGTATTTCTGTAAATAGTCTTTAAAATTTGTTCCAATCTTCTTCCACCGACTCTTCTCCCAGGTCTCGGATTCTGCCAGTCATTTCCGCCAATTCCATGTAGTCCATCACCTTCATCTGCCATTCTTCCAGAGTGGGTAGATCTTGTGTCTTCCAATACTTTGCAATAAGTATTCTTGCTGCTGTTGTGGCATACATAAAGAAAGTTCTGTCCTTCTTTGGCACCATTTGGCCGACCATGCCCAGGAGAAAAGCCTCTGGTTTCTTCAGAAAGGTATATTTAAATACCCTTTTCATTTCATTATAAATCATCTCCCAGAAAGCCTTAATCCTTGGGCATGTCCACCAAAGGTGAAATAATGTATTGCCTAGAATGTTGTTTTTGTTTCAAACATTGCAAGTTTTGGACAAAATGGATTGCTTCAAGAAGTGGCAGAGAGATATTTCTAGATTTGTCTGGCAGGGCAAGAAGCCCAGAATAAAATTTAAAATATTAACGGATGCAAAGGAAAGAGGTGGATTTGCCCTGCCAGACCTTAAACTTTATTATGAATCAGCAGCTTTTTGCTGGCTGAAAGAACGGCTGCTTCTTGAAAACACAGACATTTTGGACTTAGAAGGTTTCAATAATGTATTTGGATGGCATGCATATTTGTGGTATGACAAAGTCAAAGCACATAAAGCATTTAAGAATCATATTGTCAGGAAAGCATTGTTTAATGTCTGGATAAGATATAAGGATTTATTGGAAAATAAAACCCCAAGGTGGTTGTCACCGATGGAAGCGAAAGCACTGAAAAAGCTCAATATGGAGGCCAAATGGCCTTCAGTTTCTTTACATTTCCAACATTTATTATCGGGCAAATGATAGATTTTTGCAAGCTTGACTGGTGTCATGTACCACCTGTATATCATTTTCATAATATTCTCTCTTAAGGCATTACATGCCGTAAACTTCATACCTGTGGTCCATAACTGTTCCCAGTCAGCCATCATTATGTTATGTCCAACATCTTGTGCCCATTTAATCATAACAGATTTCACCGTTTCATCCTGAGTATTCCATTTCAACAGCAAGTTATACATCTTTGACAAAATCTTAGTTTTGGGTTCTAACAGTTCTGTTTCTAATTTTGATTTTTCCACCTGGAAGCCAATTTTCTTGTCCAAATTGTATGCCTCCATTATCTGATAATAATGAAGCCAGTCTCGCACTTTGTTTTTCAGTTTCTCAAAACTCTGCAATTTCAGTCTATCTCCCTCTTGTTCCAAAATTTCCCAATATTTCGGCCATTTGACCTCCATATTGAGAGCCCTGACCGACTTCTGCCCAGGCAAAAGAGGCATCCTCAGAATTACCAGAGCACATTCCAGCTAGGCAGAAGCACACCAGGGGGGTGGGCAGCAGCAGGAGGTGCATCTGCCGAGAGTCTGTTTCGGCTTTCTACCAAATCATGTAAAGCCTTCTCCTGCACTTAATAATTATAATAATAATTTATTATTTCTACCCTGCCCATCTGGCTGGGTTTCCCCAGCCACTCTAGGTGGCTTTCAACAGAACATTAAAAACAGAATAAAACTTCAAACATTAAAAACTTCCCTAAACAGAGCTGCCTTTAGATGTCTTCTAAAAGTTGGATAGTTCCTTATTTCCTTGATATCTGGTGGGAGGGCGTTCCACAGGGTGGGGGCCACTACTGAGAAGGCCCTCTGCCTGGTTCCCTGTAACCTCACTTCTCGCAGTGAGGGAACCGCCAGAAGGCCCTTGGCACTTGGCCTCCATGTCTGGGCAGAATGATGGGGGTGGAGACGCTCCTTCAGGTATACTGGGCCGAGGCTGTTTAGGCGTAAAGGTCAACACCAACACTTTGAATTGTGTTCGGAAACGTACTGGGAGCCAATGCAGGTCTTTCTAGACCGTTGTTATGTGGTCTTGGCAGCCACTCCCAGTCACCAGTCTAGCTGCCGCATTCTGGATTACCGGTAGTTGTAGTTTCCAGGTCACCTTCAAAGGTAGCCCCACATAGAGCGCATTTCAGTAGTCCAAGCGAGAGATAACCAGAGCATGCACCACTCTGGCAAGACAGTCTGCGGGCAGATAGGGTCTCAGCCTGCGTACCAGATGGAGCTGATAAACAGCTGCCCTGGACACAGAATTGACCTGCGCCTCCATGGACAGCTGTGAGTCCAGAATGACTCCCAGGCTGCGCACCTGGTCCTTCAGGGGCACAGTTACCACATTCAGGACCAAGGAGTCCCCCACACCCACCTGCACCCGGTCCCCCCCAAACAATACTTCTGTCTTGTCAGGATTCAACCTCAATCCGTTAACCGCCATCCATCCTCCAACCACCTCCAGACACTCACACAGGACCTTCACCGCCTTCACTGGTTCTGGTTTAAAAGAGAGGTAGAACTGTGTGTCATCCGCATACTGATGAACACCCAGCCCAAACCCCCTGATGATCTCTCCCAGTGGCTTCATGTAGATGTTAAAAAGCATGGGAGAGAGGACAGAACCCTGAGGCACCCCACAAGTGAGAGCCAAGGGGTCTGAACACTCATCCCCCCAACACCACTTTCTGGACACGGCCCAGGAGAAAGGAGCGGAACCACTGTATAATTGTGCCCCCAGCTCCCAACTCCTCTAGTTGTTCCAGAAGGATGTCTTGGTCAATGGTATCAAAGACCGCTGAGAGATCCAGCAGAACTAGGAAACAGTTCTCACCTTTGTCCCTAGCCTGCCAAAGATCATCGACCAGCACAACCAAGGCAGTTTCAGTCCCATGATGTGGCCTGAATCCTGATTAGAAGGGATCCAAATGGTCTGCATCCTCCAGGTGTGCCCGGAGTTGTTGAGCAACCACCTGCTCAATCACCTTTCCCAAGAATGGAAGATTTGAGACTGGGCGATAGTTGGCCATATTGGCCAGCTCCAAAGATGTTTTTTTTAAGAAGTGGTTTAATGACCGCCTCTTTCAGTGGGTCTGGTAAGGCTCCCTCGCAGAGAGAAGCATTCACCACCCCGCAGAGCCCATCGCCCAGCCCTTCCAGGCTCACTTTTATGAGCCAGGATGGGCAAGGATCAAGGAGACAGGTGGTCAGTTTCACTAGTCCAAGCAGCCCTGTCCACATCCTCGGAGGTAACTTGTTTTCCAGTCGTCCAACTGGCTTTCAGCATGTCTTTCGTGAGGTCCCCACTTATTCCGTATCACATCCTTCACCCTCTCAGCCGGTTTTTCTATTCAGCTCATCTGTCTTTGTCCTGTCCACTCACCACTGTTCTTCTTGCTCACAGCTTCTCCTTTCTCGTTTGCTGATCTTCCTTTCTTTGTTCTTCCTAAGGTTCCTGTGTCTTAGGGCCCACTGTTTCCTCTTCTCCCTCGTCCTGCCTCTGGACTCGCTGCCACTTTGATCAGGAGCTCCCCCCCGTACTGCCCTTAGAAGTTGATGGACTACAGCAGCCATCGCTCCTGGCCCTTGGTGATGCTGGCTGGGGCTGATGGGAGCTAGAGTAAACAACATCTGGAAGATTCCATGTTGGCCACCCCTGCCTTAGTTTGTTTCATCCTGGGCTCTTCTTTTTCTAGAACTAGTAAGGAGAGCAAACCCCATCATTTCTCACCATTGGACATGCTGGGATGGATGGGAGTTGTAGTCCAGCAATATTATTGTTGTTATTATTATTTATTAAACTTATACTCCGCCCTATACCTGGAGGTCTCAGGGCGGTTCACAACAAGACCACAACAGATAAAATCAAATATCTGAAGGGCCACAGTTTCCCCACCCCTCTTCAACACCTTGTGTGAGGTTTTCCCACCCCTCTTCAACACCTTGTGTGAGGTTTTCCTAGCCCTGCTCACTGGCTGCAGGCACACCATACCTTAAAGCATGCATACACCTGAGTCTCGGAAGCTGTTGTTACACCTCACAATTCGCAGAACCCTTAGCAAACTACAGTTTCCAGGTTTCTCTTTTGGGGGTTGGGGTGCTTTAAATGTATGATATATACACAACCATGTTTTACTAATAATTTAGACGCGGCCCTGTTTGGAAACATGCTGTTTGCAGTTTCCCTCCTCACCAGTTCTGTGCTATTTTTCTAGGAAAAGAGGTGCCAGAACTCACCATGAACGCCTTCCTTGTCCCTGAGAGGTGCTGGAACTGAGTTCCTGCGAGTTCTGGCCAAAAAAGAGCCCTGCCAGTAATGATCAGTTTGTGAACATGATGTGAACTGATACCCCAGCAGGTCAGGTGGTGAGGGCTGGTAGGGGGTTTGCAGACAGACAGGCAAGCAAAAAGCAAATGGCAGTTTTCAGTCCTTTGTTTAGTCCATTATTAGATTAGGTGTATTCTGGGAAGGGCCTATGGCTCCGCTGCAGAGCATGGGCTCTTTTCTCTGAGAAGAAGCAAGACTTTCCCTTTCCTCCCAAGAAACATTGTGTATTATTTGTAAAGATAAGATTTACCATGCTGCTGCAAGGAGCTGTCTTTAGAGCAGGCTTCTCCCTCTACGCCAGTCTTGGCCCGTTCTCCTTGACCTCAGCCACAGGCACACAAGAAGTCTCCCAACGGGAGGGTGTCCTGTTCCCACCAAGCACCTGCTTTGTGAAGCACATCCTCCCTTGACATCTCCCCTTGATGCCAGCTAGCCAGGAAAGGACTCTCTGCAGCAGCCTGGAGAGCCGCTCTCTGTCTGCGCAGATAGTGCGAGCCATGGGGGAACCAACTTGCTGTAAAGCAGATTTGTATTCTCTGCTCATTGCCCAATCATCTGGAGGCATCTGGCTTTAGGTGTTTGTGGAGACCAGATACATGAGTGCTCTTAATGTACAGTATTTGGTTTTTGAGCAGGCTGCTCAGGTGCAAAAGGGGAAGGGGCTCTAATAGCTGTGCAGAAGAGGGGATTTCAGCAGGTGTCACGTGACAGGCTGAACAGGGTAAAATTCCCTCTTCTGCATAAATAGTATTAAGAAAGGAGTGTTGCTCCGTGGCAGAACACCAGCTTTGCATGCAGGTCGTCACAGGTTTGATCCCCAGCATATGCAGGTGGTGCTAGGAGAGACCCCTGCTTAAGACCCTGGAGTAGCTGCTGCCAGTCAGTGTGGCAAATATTAAGCTAGGTGGACCAATGGTCTGACTCAGAAGAAGGCAGCTTCCTGTGTTGCCATTAAAGGCGTAGGAGCCCGGTCTTCTTGGGTATTTGAGTGCCCTATCTCTCAGTCTGTTGTCCGAGGTAGAGAGATATTTTGCAGAGGAAACATCCAGTCTGAAGCCAAAGAGGGCAGTTGCTAACACTGCTCAAGGATAAACGTTAGCCGTGCAATCTGGGGGTGGGGTGGGGAACATTTGGGTGGGGAATGGAAATGTTTACATGGAAAGCAGAAAGGAACAACAGAATTGGCTGCAACAAGTAATGAAATCCAGACCGCCCCCACCCTGCAAGAAAGGGCCATGCCAGCATCTCCCCAGAGGGAGCCAGAAACTTCGCAAAAGAAAGATAAGTAGGTTGGGGTGAGTAATGCTGTGGCTGGAGGCATGTTTATTGGCACCTGGTACTTGGGGGGACACCCCCCTTCATAGCGGTTTGGAGAGGGGGAATGAGGCTTGGTTCTCAGGATGGTGGGACGTGGCACACTTGCAGGCACTGGGGGTGGGAATGGATTTGGCACCTAGGAATACACGGCGCAGCCAGCCAAAGCCTGTCTAAGTAGGAGAGCCACATTGCAAAAATCTTCATGCAGCTCAGAATCGAAAACACAGCCGTGCTGTGGCTGCTCCCCTCCTCCCAGACCCACTTTCCAGCAGCTCCTGCTGCTCTTTCTGAGAGTGTTTGGGCTCTCTGTCCAGGCTGCGTGTCTCTGAATCCTGCTTGCTGGGAATACTAGTGAGGAGAGGGCTCTTGCTCTCAGGCCCGGCTTGTGGCTTCCAACGCGCTTCTGGTTGGCGACTAGGAGAATGGGATGCTGGATCAGACACAGCTTTGGTTTGTTCTAGCAGGGCTCTGCTTATAAGGGCAGAGGGCAGGTCTCTGATCAAGGACACCTGGTGCAAGGTCTGCCTCTGACAGTGGCCCAGTGGGTAACTTGGGGCAAATCACTATATTTGCATAAGTCCCCACATACATACAGATTTATTCCATTTGTTTCATAGATTAGGTGAAGTGGAATAAAAATTATAAAGCATGTTGACATGTCAGAGTGCCAAATAATGCAGCAAAAACACTTTAAAGACTGGCAAGTGTATTATGGCATAAGCTTTTGCAGACTACCCCACTGGAAATAATGAGCTGGAAGCATTGTTTTTCAATATTTTGGGTCACCTGATGATTGACCACTCACATACAGGGATGGGGGAGCTCTGGGTCCAGCTTGCTAGCCAGATCCTATTCCGGACCTCACCCCTGAGTTGGGAGAATCACCAGGATAACAGGAAAGACCCTTGTCTTAAGAGACTTTGGAGAGCCATCATATTTCAGGGAATATTAGGTTAGAAGGATTAAAAGTCTAACCTGCTAGTATAATACTGTTACCTTATTCCACCTTCAGAAGTAACCAAGCAGAGAAGCATTGCTCAATTGGAAGAGCTCCCCACTTCTCTTCCATTTTTCAGTTAATCATGCATCCCATGTGTGTGGGCAAGCAAGCAGCCTTCTAAAAAATTTGTTGCCATGATATTTGAGGTCTTGTTTACAAGGGGAGAGCTGGGCCAAGAAAACAAACCATAGCATGTTTGCTCCTAGCAGTTTTGCCCGTCCACAATACTTACTTGAGATTATAATATAGAGCAACCTTCAAGGCTGGGCATTGGTAACTAGGAATGGGGTAACCTGTCAATTTTGCTTTCTCTTGTTTTCTCATTTTTCCAGTCCTAAGCTCAGTTCCTCACATTTCTACATTACTTTAAAAAACAAAACAAAAACAGCTCTCAATTTTTTTAAATCCGTGTTTAGGTTCTGCTAATATGCACATGCTTCTATGTGGTTTTGCCTGATATACATTTTTTGCAAACTGTTCGCCTTTATAATGCATTTATGTTACTTTTGCTGACATGTGCATTTCTATGCAGTGTTTACTTGGGTGTCCACGTTGCTTGGCTGGAGAACTGCATTGCAAAATTTAGAGAAGTGCAAGTGTCAAAGGATAGCTGTATTTTGGTTTGTGTAATGTTTGAAGAAGTGCAATTTAGGTAGGTATGCATTAAAATGTGAACCGAATTGAATTGCTCCCCTAATTGAATTGTAACCCAGCCCCAGCCCCTTTATGCCTTTGTATGCACTGAGTAAGCGAGGGGCAGCCTCACGACTTGGGTGGACAGGGAAGTTACCCAAATAGGAAATTGTATCTTAATAGCAACTTTAAGCAGGAGTGGTTGCTTAACAACAATAGCTAATAGTATATTTAAGGAACACAGCTCTTAGCCCCCTCACTTTCACTGCTGCCGCCCATATAATTTCTTGTTTGTCACCCTGTGGACATCTCCCTCCCATCTGTAGTCAGCTGAAAAAGCAAGAGGAACAAAGATCAGCTGGTAGCACGAGGCTCTTTTCTCTCTCCTCAGCAGAAACATCGACTTCCCCTCCCACCCATACATTTCTGCCCTGGAAAAAATAGGGACTGGCAGCAAAATGGAGCGGCAGTGAAGTACAATGCATGAGCTGATCTGGGTGGGAGGGAGATAATACTCTGAGCCTGCCCATCCATATTTGTGTGACAGCAGCCTAGGACCTTGTAGCAGGCAGGAGAGAAACAGCATCAGGTTTGGTATTGCAGGTTTTGCCACCCTGTTTGTTAGTCCTCCCCAGCCAGCCACTAGATTTCTCAAAAGAGGCACTCCAAGGTTGAGTCTTCAGATTGTTGAATTGCTGGCAGAATCCAGATGGGGAGCAACATGCAGATGCTGCAGCCACCCACCTGGTTTTATACAATTGCTCAGCCAGTTTAAATTGGTAATGCAGCTGTTGCACTCACCTGTGCTGGAAAGTGGGTTCAAGTGCTGCCTGGAGAGGCCTGAAGAGAGGCTGGGGCTGCAATCCTATACCCACTTATTTAGGCGTAAGTTCTACTGAACTCAGTGGAACTTACTTTTGAGTAGATATAAGATTGTGGTGCAGGCCCTACTAGGACACTCTTCATTTCCTTCATGTTGTTAATCATCATCATCATCTTCATTCATTCATTCATTCATTCATTCGTTTGTTTGTTTGCCGCCCATCTGACTGGGTTCCCCCAGCCACTCTGGGCACTTCCCAACCAAAAAATAGTGAAAACACAATGCAACATGACACACCAAAAGCTTCCCTCCACAGGGCTGCTTTTAGATGTCTTCTAAAAGTTGTAGAGTTCTTTATCTCTTTAACATCTGGTGGGAGGGTGTTCCACAGGGCAGGCGCCACTACCGAGAAGGCCCTCTGCCTGGCTCCCTGTAACTTTGCTTCTCGCAGGGAGAGAACCACCAGAAGGCCCTTGGAGCTGGACCTCAGTGTCCAGGCTGAACGATGGGGGTGGAGATGTTTCTTCAGGTCTTCAGGGCTGAGGTCGTTGAGGGCTTTTAAAGGTCAGCACCAACACTTTGAATAGCCTTCCTCCAAGGCGACCTCCAGCTGCTGCACTCACTGTCTGTCAGTGCAACAGTAACAGCAGCATGCCAGATCCTATTCCAAGCAGGTGCGTTCTCCCTTTCCTTTTCCTGCTCAGGCATACTGCCCTTCCCACCTTCCATCTCTGCTTCCTGCAAAGTATTTTCCCTGCGGGGTGTGGAAATGTTTGCATGTTGTGTGGGGGGCACTTAAGATCCCTTTATACCTTACCTTAAGCAGAATGCAATATGCTTAAGTTGATGTTTGAGCAAGCACATACTTTTTGTTTTGAGCTACTGTTACCCCTGATTCTCTGATTCTGCCTTTGCAGGAAAATGAGCATTGGTTTTATTGTGGTCAGTGCAGAGCCCAGAATCAGTTGTGTGCAAAAAACAGCCCTTGCCAGGTGGCGTAAAGAGAAATATGCTATTTGGTGTATGCCAGAAAGCTCCAGCCACACCCATATAATATCACCTCTTCCTATCCGCAGCCTTCCTTTCTTTAAAGCTGAAATGGGGAAACTGCAGCCTAAGTTAAGGGGACCTCGTCTACTCTTGGTGTGCCCCAGCCCACCATCTGATCTAGCTTCACCCAAACCCCTTGTTAAAGGAGCAAATATGAAGTGATATCACAAAGAAAGGTACCTCTGAGTATGTGCAGAGTACCATTCTCTCACTGCTGAGCGACTGGAGTCTGTTCACATGCTTAAAATTAAGCAGTAGAACTTCCTTCTGGTGCAGATTTCTCACATCATTGCTCTGCGCCATCCTAAGCTTAGCCAATTCCTTAAATTGCAGCTGTGCATATTTTTACAATGCAAATTCCATGCCATTACCATTTATTTAATAATATTGATAATTTATTCTCCCAGTTATGGGGCCTTTAGAAATCCTTCTCAAGAGTCTCTGGTTTCTGGGTGCTCTGGTTGCTTTCCTAGCTTTCACAATCAGAAATAGTTTTCATCCCCAATGTAACCTTTCAGGTTTTATTTGCTCATGAGATGAGTTCTATTTCAAAAGTCATCAGCTGGTCGCCAGGTGTGACCTAGGAGGGCCGGGCTTGGGAGGGTCCAGAGTGGAAGCAGAGCTCCGTTCCCTAGTGCACAGGATTGCCAGCCCTGGACCTAGGAGCTGCCTCTGCTCCTTTGAGGACGGTTCAGAGAGGCCTGTTCCATTACTTGACGGCTGAAGATTTTATGGAGGAGTTTTGAGAGGAGAGAAATGAAGTTATATGTGTGGAGTTTGATATGCTTTGACTGAGTCATACGTTCAGTGGTTTCTAAGGGAGTATAAATCAGCTCCAACGGTTACTGACATTTTACAGGAAAAAATGGGGATACAATTGTAACATCTCTGTTACCATACCAAAGAACATGGCCTGAGACCCCCCCCCTTTTTCTGCTGTGCCTTCTTGGAGGGTATCTGTTCTGTATGCTGTATTCTGGGGTAGCCAACTCAGTGCTCTCCAGATCTTGCTGAGCTACAACCGGTGGTGAAGCTCCCTGCTCTGGCACCAGGAGCGGCGTAATTCAGGGCGTGGCCAGTGTGCGTCCCAGGGGGCGTGGTGCGCGTTGGGGGATGCACGGCAAGTGGCGCACGTCCTGGGGCTGCAAGTTGAGCACTGAGCACCCCGGGGGTGGCCACGATGTCACTCCCGGGTGGCACTCAGGGCACACCGCCCCCCTGCCCCCACCTTCGTCCGCCGGTGACTACAACTCCTATTATCCTTGACCAATTTCCATTTTGGCTGGAGGTTTTGGGAGTTGCCGTCCAGCAGCATTTGGAGAGCACTGCATTGGCTACTCCTGCTGCATTCATTTACTCTGGGATAGCTTGCCCTCTGCTTATCTAAAAGTTAACCTCCCACCAGATAGCTGCCTGAAGCCCCCGGAGTGGAGGCTTTGCGCAGCTAACCCCAAGCTAGAACAGCGAGACGGAGCGCTGCGCAGCGCTCTGTCTCCCTGTTCTGGCTTTGGGCTTAGCCGTGCAGCCTGAATTTGCTCTATAGGACGCACACACATTCCCCCTTAATTTTTGGAGGGAAAAAAGTGCGTCCTATAGAGCGAAAAATACGGCGGGAAGGTAAACGGCGTTTCCGTGTGCTGCTCTGGTTTGCCAGAAGCGGCTTAGTCATGCTGGCCAAATGACCCAGAAATCTGTATGCCGGCTCCCTCGGCCAATAAAGCGAGATGAGCACCGCAACCCCAGAGTCGTTCGCGATGACCTAATGGTCAGGGGTCCCTTTACCTCCCTGTAAAACATGACACAAGTGCAACTGATTGTCTGGGAGTTTCTCAACATCTCTCTCTCAGCTACTCAGTTTTTTTTGTTTATAGCAGCAATTTTCAAAGTTTTTAGCTTTGTGAAATGGCCGTCCCATCAACTTGTCTGTCATGGAAATCAAATCTTGCATGTTGTGGACAGCAGCACTGCCAGGTCCCGGTTTTGGAGCCAGCGTCTGAGGGTCCCCCAGGAGGAGAGTAAGCAGGATTTTTGCAATGTGTTCTAAACAGCACACTCAATTCAGGGTGGCTCCAGATGGCCTCAGCATTCATCCTAATTTGCTTACACAAGGCCCATGTGAACGTTAGACTGCATCCAGTCTTTATTGAGCAATAGTTTTGATTTTTTGTGTGATGAGGTTATGCAACAATGAGCATTCATCTTGATTTGTTTGCAGGATGTTTGTATGTCTTCTGTTAATCACTCATTCGTCCCACACTTTTCAATCTGTTTCCCCATTGCTTTCATAACCATAAAAATACTGTTTGTGTTTTAAAGTGGATTTGTTGCAGCAGGGCGACGTAGCGGTTTGCTTTAAACATAAAATTCCCGTATGTGCTTGACTCATACTTCTGAAGTAGTGGCAATGTGGAGGCCGCCTTATACAGAGGCACTGGGGCTCTGGCCTCACGGCCATCACACTCACTCCATGTTGATGTAAATCAAATAGGGTTTGTTTTTGTTCTTAAATATTATTAAGTGGTCTTTACATTTTGTCAGATAAAAGAAATAAAATGAGAGGATGCCATAGCCTAGAATACATGCAACACTCCCCTTGTGATAGGAATTTTGAGGTCTTAGATATATGGAAATGTTCATAAATGTACCAACCAAGCACATACATAGATCAGCACAGGAGGACTGACCTGGAACCATTTTGATTCCCAAACTGTTCCAAACTGAGCAAACGTTTTCCCTGCAAGGTCAAAGGAAAATGGAAAAGCCTCCCCATTGTCTTTTCCTTCACAAATCCTGTCTTAAGGGTATGTCTGTGTTTGAATAGGCTGTGAGCCTGTGACCTGGCCCAGGAACTACGTATTTATCATTACAAAAGACTAGCCAGGCTCCCCAGGCAATCCAATCAAGTAACCTGCCAGACAGGAGATAAACAACATTCAAATTTCTGTTTTAGACCGCCTTTTCTGTGATGTAGGTATGATGTATCTGGGGGGTGGTCTTAGGTTACACCCCTTCTGTGATGTATGTATGATGTTTCTGGGGGTGGTCTTGATCTAGAGGATGGCAATTTCAAAAGTCTTTATAAGGCCTTGCGTGCCATTTTTCTGGGTTCCTCCTCTCTCCTGCGTGTGAGGGGAGCACCCTGTTGCAACAGATCAATAAAGATCAAGCTTACTAGCTGCTTTGCTTCTCAGTGTTCTCTGGTTGGCCTCTGTTATTTTCTCCTACCAATAGGGAACCTATGTAAGGACTCTGTATGGGCTCTTGGATACCCCGTAAGGGAAAAGGGCAATTTTTGTTTACAACACCCTGTGGCTGCACGCTGCTGTTTTTCATTACCATCCGTTACTGATAATGGTTCTATGGTTCTACATTCTATGATTCTATTAATTACGGTATAGGGTTGGGGAGCCTGACCTGTAGCCCTTCAGATATTACTGGACCTCAGCCTCTGACCATTGACCGTGCTGTCTAGGGCTGGCGAGAGCTGGAATCTAACAGCATCTGGGGGGCCACAGGTTAGCCCCCCCCAACCGCTGCTTTGGAATGTAGCTGTTACACAGTGACCAAACTATGACTCTCAGGCAGCTGAAAACAGAAAGCAGAAGCTGAAGGAGTACAACAACCTGGGGAATTTGATGCTTTGCTTCTATGCACCACTTTCTAGTCCTGAATAAACTCACAATGCATTGGTCTGCGGCCATAGGGTTTAGCAGCATGGACATGGTAGGCTTAATTTAATGCAGTTTGGAAAGTGCTTTAAGAATACAGTGGTGCCTCGCAAGACGAAGTTAATCCGTTCCACGAGAGTCTTCGTCTAGCGGTTTTTTCGTCTTGCGAAGCAAGCCCATTGACGGATTAGCGCTATTAGCGCTATTAGCGGTTTAGCGGCTATTAAAGGCTTAAAGGCTTAGGGATTAGCTGCTAAAAGGCTATTAAAGGCTATTAAAGGCTTAGCAGATTAGATAAAGGGGGAAAAGCGAAAAAAATCTCAAGACTCGCAAGGTATTTTCTGCCTTATGAAGCAAGCCCATAGGGGAATTCGTCCTGCGAAGCAACTTCAAAACGGAAAACCCTTTCGTCTAGCGGTTTTTCCGTCTTGCGAGGCATTCGTCTTGCGGGGCACCACTGTAGATCCCATGAGAACAGAAAAGTGTGTGGCAGGGAGGTTGCACAGTGATGCAAACAAATTATTCATTTGTTGTATGTGCAGCAGTGGCTGTCTCCAGTCAGAAAGTGTTGCCTGATTGTACTGTTGCAGATTTTGTGGCAGATTATTTAGCCTTTTGAGATCAATGGCATTTTAGCATCATTAGCTAATGTGTGCCCTGATTATAGTTAAGTCTCTATGTGAGATTCCAAAAAATCATTATTTAACAACTATACGGTTATATCCCACTACAAGTAAAATATATGGAGATAGTCTTTTTGTTGTTCCATGTTTTTTTAAACTGCAGGATGTGTGTCCCAGCACAGGAAAGAGTGAGGGTCTGTGCATCCTCCATTAAAACAGAAAAGAAAATTGTGGTGGTCTGGGCCAAAATAAGCTTCACTGCTCGTTATCTAGCTAGATGAAGTTACCAATATGATTTAAATAATAATAATAATTCTACAGACCTTTCAAGAAACACATTTTAAACAAAATGGCGTAGCCATGGCTGTTGGTGGTGGCTGTGTTACTCAGCACTAATTGCATCAGAGGAAATGGTCAATAAATTTCCTTGAATCTGTTACCTTGGAAAATCTATCTGGGTCTGAGAAAAGCACTGGGATTTCATGCAGCTTATGCTCAGGGCTTTTTTTCCAGCCGGAACTCCGTTCTGGCCCCTCAGTTCAGCTGGGCGCCATTGCCATTCTAAGGGAACAAGGGAGGCCTTCAGGGTGAGTTCCTGCTCCTCTTTGTCTAGAAAAACAGCATGGCAGTTAGGCTACTTTATAAAGTTCCACATATACTGGTGGCATTTCATTAAATGACAACGGATGCAGCATAACTCTTATTCTGCAAAAATCTGATAGTGTGGGAAGGCTTGAAGATGAGGATGTTACTGACGAGGAGATCTTATAGTTACAAGATTTATTTCTGTGGAGGGGCTCTCCTACCAGCTTCCTTTGAGAAGGATGTGCTCTCACGGAGTGACTCATCCTTTTCTTCTTTGTTGACCTACAGTGTTCAAGGATCCTGAAGCCAGAGTGTCTGCCTGCTCCCCTCTAATTGTGAAAGTCGGTTCTCTTTGGGGCATGTACGCAGGCAGTTTGGAAACTTGGGAGACATTTGGCTTCAAAGCTGATTATGCTGACTGGCTGTGTTCCTTGGCCGGTCATTCAACCTGCTAGTTAATGAGTTGCAAGCCACGGGTGAATGGCGAGAAGGGAGTGGGGAGCAGCGGTGCACCTATTGGCTGATGTCGTGGCCCATGGGGACAACATTGCCCTTTCAGGATTGGAGGGGGGTTATTCAGTTTGCAAAAATGCTTTGTGGGTGTTTAATGAAAGAGGTAGCATAATGGAACTTAGTTTTAGAGTTGCGTCCAGCTGTGCTTTGATTACTAAGGACCTTTTCCACCCTCCTTTGAGACCTTTGGAAGCAAACATCTTGCAGGCTGAGTCCCATGCCAGAGCATGTAGCACCATCCAACCTTGTTTAAAGAACTGGTGTGCAAAAGGGTGTGTGTGTGTAATTTTATTTTTGCATTTTAAGTTTAACAAACAAACAAACAAACAAACAAACAAACAGAATACAAACCCCTTTGAACCCCCCCCTTTGTGGATCCTTATGTTATTATTTTCCCTCCGCATCTTCCCACAAACAGAGCAATAGACCCTCAAACCCGGGGGTCACAGAATCATCCCAAACCCCAGAGCTTGGGGCAGGTCTCCCCCTCTGTGTCCACAGAGTCTTTTGCCTCATTGGTGGCTTTCATTTATGGGTTAATGATGGGCCATCATTTGCCTTCATTCTTCCAATGACACCCATCCAGCTAGCTCTTCTAGCCCCTCTCATAAGCTTATTTCCATGTTTGGTGCAGCTTAATCAAGCCTTGCTTAATTCTAATGTTTAATAAAACCAGGAATTTGGGGGGGAGGATCTGGCACCCAGGAGTTTAAGGAGTCCTTGGCCCCCTCCAGGCTTAGAACACTATTTTTTAAAGCAGAGGCTGGCCAGAGCCCTCCCTGGCTGACCATATCAGGGCTGTGTTTACGCCTCAGCTCTGCCTGAGCTCAGAAAAAGCGCTGAATCTTGAAAATCTTGCTTTTATTTAAAGGGAAGATAAAGTTTCTAGTCATTGTGCGCAATGCTTAGTGATTGCTGGTTTGTTATTAGTTGTCAGAAGGGGAGGAGTCAGTTTGCGGAATTGCTCCTTGCCACTCCTCACAGTATAGTTTTGTGCTTGGTATTGGACTAGGGCTAGGAAGACCCGGGTTCAAATCCTCACTCAACCACAAAATTTCCTCAGTGATACTGGGCAACATGGTGGTTGTGAAGATAATATTGGAGGGAGAGGAAGGCTTGAGCTGCTAGAAGGATAGAAGCACAGTAAACAAACAATAAGCAAAATAGTACAAGTTGCAGGATATGTTCTGCTGGTGGCCCTCTTCTTTTTTAAAAAAAATTATACAGGCCATTGGTATATGTATCAAATGATATCATGCCCCCTTTGTAATTTATTTTACTATATTATAAAATTTTAATATAAAATGATGTCAAGTCACCTCTGCAATATGTTTTCTGAGCTAAACAAACAAAAGCTTTCCTTTCCTTTATAATTATAATTTTAACAGTAGTTCAGTACATCTGGAGGGTCCTGGGTCGGAGAAGGCTCTCCTGCACCAACTGGTAGTAACTCTTAGAGTCTCCCGGCAGGCGTATCCCCAGCCCTATCTGGGAGATGGAATCAGAGACCTTCTGCAGGCATAGCATGTGCTCTGCAACCAGCCTCTCTCTGAGCCACAGCCCTTCCTCAGCCACTAAGCTGATGGTGCGGACTTCAAGCCCAGCTTTTGGCAGGAGTCAGCAGTGCCAGTGAATTTCCGTGGGCAGCTGATTGGCATTCAGGTGACTGGTGGTGACAGCAAGCCCCTTATCAAGGAACTGTCAGGAACATGCATCAAGGTGCCCAACTGTCTGCCATCACAGATGATGTCAGGGGCAGGTGTGGTTTTGGGGAAACAGCCTCACTGGCCCAATTGGCCCATGGGCTGAAGGTTCCCCACCCCACCCCACTGAAGATCCTACAGAGCTGGCTCATGCCATTGGCTCATCCAGCCCAGTACTGACTGCAATGACTGGCAGTGCCTCTCCAGGGCTCTGTGAGGGGACTTTTAAGCCCTGTGTGAACATGATGGCGGCTGAGCATGTATTCTGCCACAGAGCTGTGGGTATGGATGCCCCGTCAACTTCCTTATCTCTTCCTGCCCAGGCTGCAGCCCCCTGGAGATTGTTCTCTCCCACCCATAAACTTTTGCTTCCTCCCCTCCCACCAATCCCTTTTTATGCACCCCCACAGGAATGCAGCCATGCAGCCAAGCAAACTGTAGAGCGTTGTCTGGGGCTGAATTATTAATGCAAAGCCATTTGCATTGTCACAGCCACCATGAAAGGACAGAGCCAACATGCACACACTCAGACCCTGTACTGGCAGAGAAAAGGGGCCAGGCAGCGACTCTCTGTGGGCATCACACCAGCTGTGGAAATGAGACTTTGTTTCCCAAGCGCCCAGCAGATAAGCGTGTGGCTCAGTCTGTCCTGCTCCAGTTACTCCCTGGAACAGCTTCAGGAGTTACGAGCTCCCTTGCCAGACCTTTTCCATGGAAATGGCCATTCCTTCTGGCGCATCTCTTCCTTCTCCAGCACAGAGCCTGCCCTTGCTGTGAGATTGCCTTTGGACAGAGGCCTGATTTGCACCTCCTCAGCCGGCCTGCTGCCCTCAGGTGCCGGGAGCTGTCCTGTCCAGAGTGTCAAAGAAAGATTCAGTGGCCAGTCTGGTCAGTTTCTGACCGTGAGATAGAGGGAGGCAGCATCTTGGCTTTATAAAAAGCACCCTCTAAGTGTGCTCCTGATTCTCCCACTGCAGCTCAGTCTTGAAGCACCTTTGAGTTCAAACCAGTTCTTTCTCTGCAGTCAGGGCTTGTATTAAAAAATCCTGTTGACCAGGAAGATATCCTGGATGATAGTATCAAAAGCCGAGGGGAGGTCAAGGAGAACCAACCATGTCAGACTTCCCTCTCCTGATTGACGCTGTTTTCGTGCTAAAACTGGGCCTGGAACGGGATTGAAATGAGTCAAGAAAATCAGCTTCCTCCATGCATTATTGAAATTGTGTGATTACCACCCTTTCAAGCATCTTGTCGCAGAAGGGGATACGGTATTTTAAAAAACAAAAAACAAAACAGCATTTCTAGTTTGCTCTTTGTTGAATATTTTCAATCCCAGAGCAGAGAACAAAATTAATAAAAATAATCATCGAGCTGGAAGGGACCCCAGGGGTCCTCTGGCCCACCCCCTGCAATGCAGGAATAACAACAATGTGCAAAAATGGCAAAATCATATAAACAGATCCAATAACAACAAATTAACATGAATAGTAATTATTATGATAATCAGCTGGAATGGGAACCATGCAGGGGCAGGAGGTTCCTGACTGAGCTGCTCTTTCAGCAGACTGGGTGGAATGAGCCAGCTTCTTCTTGGTGCCACAGAGGCAGGTGGGAATGGCTGCTGGCAGGTGGTGCTTGAAAGAGAGGGATCCTGATGGATCTGGCCTTTGGGGAGGCAGTACTGTCTACTTTGTGTTGCTGCTTTGATCCCTGGCATCTCCACTTAAAAGGTCAGGTGCTGGGGAAGATTGTTCTGTCTGAAAATCCCAGAGTGTCACAGCCAGTCTTAGGCAATTCTGGTCTAGATAGAATCATAGAATAGAATCATAGAATAGAATCATAGAATCATAGAATCATAGAGTTGGAAGAGACCACAAGGGCCATCGAGTCCAACCCCCTGCCAAGCAGGAAACACCATCAGAGCACTCCTGACATATGGTTGTCAAGCCTCTGCTTAAAGACCTCCAAAGAAGGAGACTCCACCACACTCCTTGGCAGCAAATTCCACTGTCAAACAGCTCTTACTGTCAGGAAGTTCTTCCTAATGTTTAGGTGGAATCTTCTTTCTTGTAGTTTGGATCCATTGCTCCGTGTCCGCTTCTCTGGAGCAGCAGAAAACAACCTTTCTCCCTCCTCTATGTGACATCCTTTTATATATTGGAACATGGCTATCATATCACCCCTTAACCTCCTCTTCTCCAGGCTAAACATGCCCAGCTCGCTTAGCCGTTCCTCATAAGGCATCGTTTCCAGGCCTTTGACCATTTTGGTTGCCCTCCTCTGGACACGTTCCAGTTTGTCAGTGGCCTTCTTGAACTGTGGTGCCCAGAACTGGACACAGTACTCCAGGTGAGGTCTGACCAGAGCAGAATACAGTGGCACTATTACTTCCCTTGATCTAGATGCTATACTCCTATTGATGCAGCCCAGAATTGCATTGGCTTTTTTAGCTGCCGCGTCACACTGTTGGCTCAGGTCAAGTTTGTGGTCAACCAAGACTCCTAGATCCTTTTCACATGTACTGCTCTCAAGCCAGGTGTCCCCCATCTTGTATTTGTGCCTCTCCTTTTTTGCCCAAGTGCAATGCTTTACATTTCTCCCTGTTAAAATTCATCTTGTTTGTTTTGGCCCAGTTCTCTAATCTGTCAAGGTCGTTTTGAAGTGTGATCCTGTCCTCTGGGGTGTTAGCCACCCCTCCCAATTTGGTGTCATCTGCAAATTTGATCAGGATGCCCTTGAGTCCATCATCCAAGTCGTTGATAAAGATGTTGAATAAGACCGGGCCCAAGACAGAACCCTGTGGCACCCCACTAGTCACTCTTCTCCAGGATGAAGAGGAACCATTGATGAGCACCCTTTGGGTTCGGTCAGTCAGCCAGTTACAAATCCACTGAGTGGTAGCATAGTCAAGACCGCATTTTACCAGCTTCTTTACAAGAATATCATGGGGCACCTTGTCAAATGCCTTGCTGAAATCAAGGTAGGCTACATCCACTGCGTTCCCTTCATCTACCAGGCTTGTAATTCTGTCAAAAAACGAGATCCGGTTAGTCTGACATGACTTATTTTTCAGAAATCCATGCTGACTATTGGTGATCACAGCATTCCTTTCTAGGTGCTCACAGACTGTTTGCTTAATGATCTGCTCCAGAATCTTCCCTGGTATTGATGTCAGACTGACTGGGCGGTAATTATTTGGGTCCTCTCTTTTCCCCTTTTTGAAAATAGGGACAACATTTGCCCTCCTCCAGTCTGCCGGGACTTCGCCTGTTCTCCAGGAATTCTCAAAGATGACTGCCAGTGGTTCTGAGATGACATCTGCCAGTTCTTTTAATACTCTTGGATGCAGTTCATCTGGCCCTGGAGACTTGAATACATCTAGACTAGCCAAGTATTCTTGTACTATCTCCTTAGTTATTCTGGGCTGTGTTTCCTTTGCTGAATCATTTGCTCCAAATTCTTCAGGTCGGGCATTGTTTTCTTTATCGGAGAAGACTGAGGCAAAGAAGGCATTGAGGAGTTCAGCCCTTTCTGTGTCCCCTGTTTGCATTTCACCATCTTCTCCTCTGAGTGACCCCACTGTTTCTTTGTTCTTCCTTTTGCTACGGACATACCCGTAAAGCCTTTTTTGTTGCTTTTAACCTCTCTAGCAAGCCTGAGTTCATTCTGTGCTTTAGCTTTTCTGACTGTGTCTACACGTGCTGGCTATTAGTCTGGTCAGATAGTCTGGTCTAGATAGTAAGGCAGCTTCCTATATAGATGGAGAAAGTTGGCATCCACTTCTCTTTGACTAGCATCCTACTGGGTCAGAGCTGCAGCTGTTTCAGACTGGTTCCCCAAAGAATCCTAGGAAATGCAGCTGGCCACTCACAGAGTTACAGTTCTGAGCCCCCTTAACCCCACCCAGGATGCTTTGGGGGAAGCCATAGCAATTAAATGTATGGTGTGGATGTGAGCAATATCAACATGGTGTCATTTCAGAAGGTGGGGCAGATTTTTTGCAGCAGGGTTTAGCAGCCTGGTCTTGTACATCCAAGAACAATTTGCAAAGAAGAAATATATTTTAGGAATTTTGTTGTGTTTAAATATTATTATTTTAATCATTTTTCAATTCATTTTCACATTTTCCTATTATTATTATTACGACTTTTTTTAGCCGTAACGCACCAGAACAGAGTTCCGGCACCTCTCAGGTGGGCCCGGAAGAGAAGCGAGAGACCTGACTAGCTTCAGCAAGCCCCAGTGCACCTCTGGCTCATGAGGAGACTCTTCCTGGAGCCTGCGTTCCTCAGCTACCAGCACAGCTTTCAATATCAGCCACTGGTAGCAGAGGGACGCAGGAGCAGCGGCTGTTTCACCTGCGAGATACCTCCAGGTGAGACCCCATTGCGCTCTGCCCCCCATAGCACAGAGGGAGGAGAAGCTGCGTTGCCAGGCTGATCCAGCTTGTTCCTAGCTTGGCTTCTTTAAACTGCTGCCTTCCCCCAGCTGAGCTGCGCGAAGAACCCCCAAGGTCCTTCCTGCTTGCATGCAAATGACCCCCCCTCTCCGATTCTGGAATCCCCCTCCAAAGGTGACTTGCCTGGCACCCACTGATAAGTATTCAGTGCCAGGTGTTTAGTGTATTATTTAGGGTTTGTTTAGTTCTTAATTGGCCCACATGTTTAGTGTATAATTTTAATGCTGCTCCTCTTGAGTTTTAGATTTTGAATATTATTACCTGTTGTTGCTTTTATTGCTTGCTGATTGCTTTTATGGTTTTATGACTGCCTTTTGTTTTTAACAGTATTTCAACAATTCTGTGTTTTCTTCCTGATCTTAAATGCAGTACCACTGTATAGAGGTTTTGGTGGTATGCACATTTCTTAACACTTGATCAATTTACTAGTTAAGAGGTGGGAGATAAATTAATTAAACATCCTATCAGTGGTTGACAACCCTAGTAAAGTGAACAAATGAAGGCATGTGAGGACAGGGTTCTGGTGGAGCAGGGAACACATTCCTGGCTAAGGAACTAACTAAGTGAAGCTGTAAAGAGGCTGGGCTCCAGGGCAACTCCATCATGCCTTTCTTTTCCTCTCCCTGCCTAGGAAACAGCAACCCTGAGCTGACGGCTGCCTCTTCGAGGGAAGCATCTGCATGTGACAGGCACTGCTGACGTTTCAGAACTCCAGATCTGGGATGCTTCAGTCCCTGAACGTGAGCCTTGGTTATTATGCTTTAACTCATAGCGATATTGTTATCAGTCACATTAGTATTATTTTTACCATCGCTGTGCCTGTCTTTAAATAACAGGAAATGTTTTTGAACAGATTGGTCTGGCGTGTGGATTGGAGATCCCAGGGGAGCTGTTGATGTCTCTTGTAAATAAAGGCAGGGATTTAATCCATTGCTGGCTGAGGCACTGGGATTTCTGGTCAGGCATTTGTCTAGGGGCCAAAAGAAGGCATTGGCTTCTCTCATTCCCATGGATGTCATAATGTGAGGCTCAGAGCCCTGGGAGGATGAGTAGATCACATGCACAAAACAGATGAATAGCTAAATTGGCAGTGCTGCTTCCCATCCCTTGTTTTCAGGAGAGAGAAACACAGAGTGGAGCAGACCGTAGCTCAGTGCTAGAGCAGCGGCTTTGCATGCAGCATGAGTTCAGCTCCTGGCATCTCCAGCTACAAGAACCAGGTAGCAGCTGATGGGAAAGGCCTTCTCTTGAGGGGCCACCTGTCCTGCATGGTTTAGCTGAGGTTCCTGCATTGCGGGGGGTGGACTAGATGGCCCTTGGGGTCCCTTCCAACTATACATGCTGTCAGTTAGGGTGCACAGTACTGGGCTAGACAGATGGAACACAGGCAGTTTCCTCTGCTTCTGTTGGCTGTATCCCATGTGCAGTCAAACCTTGGCTCCTGAACGCCTCCGTTTTGGCTCCCAAATGCCGAAAACCTGGAAGTAAATGTTCTGGTTTTCAAATGTTTTTCGAGACCCAAACATCCGATGTGGCTTCCACTTGAGCACAGGAAGCTCCTACAACCAATCAGAAGCTGTGCCTTGGTTGTTGAACATTTTGAAAGTCGAATGGGCTTCTGGAATGGATTACGTTCGACAACCGAGGTTTGACTGTATTGCTAAGTAGCTTGTTCTATTAGTGCAAGGATTTATGCTTGTGCAGTGGAACTCTCCACCCCCACCCCCCGTCTGCAGGCCCCCTAGATCTGTGCTGGAGCAGGAGAGGACACAGAGAGGAGGGGGTGAGGGAACGTTCTGTTGCGCAAGTGTAAATGCTTAGGCTAGCAGAACAAGTGCATACCGCCCCATATCCCAGTAACCAGAGGCAGCCTCAGGTAAGCAACTCTGCAAAATGTGCCCTACTTTGCAGAGGACAGTCTTCTCTGTGAAGGGCTGTTGGAAGACGCTTCTCGGTTCCAAGGGATACGAGGAGTGTCTGCTTCAACAATACTCTTAAGAACAGGGCGGGAATGGGGTTGCCCAGCAACAGTCGGCTCCTGGCTGAGCAGGCATAAGGGTTGCCTGGTCCAGTCTTCCCCACAATTATTTCAAAAAATTATCTGTGCATAAATCAGTTTATGCAAACATGTGCCTGTGTGTTTCCCCTTTTTCCAACAACTAATTTCAAAATTTGACTCCCTCTTCCAAGGGCTTCTAATCTGGTGCCCGTGAGTGAAGTGGCACATGCAAAGGCTTTCACTTGTGCTCCTGGAAAGGTGTCTCAGACTCTGAGCTCTTTCTTTTGACAAAGTGTCTATCCCTCCTAGAAAGAAAGTTATGTGGCAAAATGTGCAACCAGTTCTGATAGCCACAGAGGCAGAGCCCAGGCCTTGTTCTATGGGGACTGGTAGGGAGGTGGGATGAGGTGAGGGAAATCCCAGCCACCAACTAGGACCTTCCACAGGATCTTTTCCCTTAGGCTCTCCTGACCCAGGTAGAGACCTCCCCAGCCCACCGGCTCCTGCCCTGAGGTTATCTGCCAGCCACTCTTATTCTGAGCTGAAAGGGTTTACCTGGCGGTGACATGTTGCCTCAGTATTACTGTGATTGTATATACCAAGTTGTAATGCCTAAAGAACGTTCTCTTTTCCCAATCCATGCAGAGTGCGACATACACGGAGCATCGTCTTCATGTCCCAGGAAACTATTCATCATCTCCTTCCCCACAAGGAAGGCCTCGTTTTACCTCTCCGCCATCTCACTCCAGAGCTGGAGCACCTGAGGAAACACTGGGCCTCAGTCTGGATGACTTCATCCCATCGCGCCTCCAGAAAAACTCCTCTTTCATCAGCAGCAGGAAACCAGCATCTCCTCAGGCTACATCTACTCCACAGATGGTGAGGGCTCCCTCGAAGCACAGAGTGAGTGACTGTTGTTCATTTATAAGATTTCTTAGCTGCTCTTCACCACAGGAGCCCAGAACAGGTTACTACAATATCATCGTACAGTTACACAAACCGAGTAAAACAATCATATGGTTATAAAAACAAGTAAAATCCTTCCAAACAAAAGCAGAACGGTATCAATTCGCCAAAAAAGCCAGGTCCCACAAAACAACATAACCTTAACTATCAATGGCCAGGGTAAAGAGATGCGTTTTCAGCAGACAGCAGAATCAGTGCAGCAAAGATGCTAGAGGCAGTCACAGAGGAAGCCATTTCCCAGTTCCCTTTCCCCCCTTCTGAGGATTGTAAAATTCCCAGGATTGCCCCTGCTTTAATCAAACTAATTCAGAGGAATTGCCAGTGGATGAGGGCACTCCCCTGACTGCTCATCACCCCCATGACTTGCAAGGGAGCCCTGCCACCCACTACTGGGAACTGCATCAGCAGCCTTAGGTGAAAACTGCACCTGTGAGGTATAGCTCTGTTTAATTTACCTCTAACTTTTTTGTAAGAATTACAGGCAGCCATGGGAAGCTGTGATCAGAATAGAGTGGTGACAGTTGGAGATGGGGGTGAGAAATACTTTCTGTGCTGGAAATCTTCCTTCTAATATGCCCTCCAGCTTCTTTTCCCCCCTGCAGAGACAAAAAGATACAGAAGGTTTTAAGGGTCAAACAAGACTTGAACTTCATTGTGTGAATAAAATTAACATGCACATTTTTTTGTTTTGTAATTAGGAACCCCAGTTTGGACAGAGCAGGGGATGGGAAGATGGGTAGGTGGAATCTAACCCTTAGTCTAACCAGTGTTTCACAAACTTGGGTCTCCAGCTGTTTTGGGGCTACAACTTCCATCATCCCTAGCTTAGCAAAACCAGTGGCCAGGGATGATGGGAACTGTAGTCCAAAGCAGCTGGAGACCCAAGTTTGGGAAACACGGGTCTAAACCTTAGAGGCTTAGACTTACCATAGTTCCAATGAAAACAACACACCCCTCCCACAAACAGAGGCACAACTATTTGCATGCTGGTGGAAGATCCCATATTGCTCAGGCTCCCCATTCAGAAAGGGTTACTCAGATAACTAAAATTATGCAAGTTAATTTAATTCACAGAGTCAACATCCTATCTGGTTAGGTCCTAAACCATCCCAGCTGCCCATTTTCTTTTAGCACCTGACCTGCAGCTTCCAGTGACTGTTTGCCAAGTCAAAAGAAAAGATGGGGGGAAAGTTGCATGTAATTTTGTACAGCAGGTAGCTTGGCCTTTACACTCTATTTGATAAAGCAACATGTGTAGCAGGAAACTTATAAGCCTAGACAGAAAGGCCAAAGGGCACATCTGCCTGTATTCACATCATAAAGAAAAGATAAATAGAAGCAGGTGTTTCTCAAAGGATATAAGGAGGAAATTCTTGGAAATAATTAAGCAATTAACCCTGCAGGTTTAATTCTCTGGATGTGCTAACTGTGGGGAACCTGCAACCCTTTAAATGCCACTGAAGTATGACTTTCCTGGTTCAGGACCCAGGGCCATGCTGGCTGGAACTCATGGGAGCAATTTCTGAAGGGCCTCAAGTTCCAGGCAAATGTTCTGCATGTTTCTCCTCCCCAGGGACTTGCACTTCTTTTTTGTGCTGCCTCACAGGTTACTTCATCAGGGACAAACTAGACGATAATGAGAAAGGGTGACTGCACTTCATGCTTCTTTAAAAAAAGTGGGGGGGGGGACGGACTGGAGGGAGTCCAATAAGGATTTGCACTTTCCTCTCTGCTTCCCCCAGGAAAGCTGCCATTAATACAGTGGTACCTCGAGTTACAGATGCTTCAGGTTACAGATGCTTCAGGTTACAGATGCTTTAGGTTACAGACTCTGCTAACCCAGAAATAGTACCTCGGGTTAAGAACTTTGCTTCAGGATGAGAACAGAAACTGCGCAGCAGTGGTACGGCGGCAGCAGGATGCCCCATTAGCTAAAGTGGTGCTTCAGGTTAAGAACAGTTTCAGGTTAAGAACGGACCTCCAGAACGAATTAAGTTCTTAATCTGAGGTACCACTGTAGATAGTATGCATTGTTGTTTAGTTGTTTAGTCGTGTCCGACTCTTCGTGACCCCATGGACCAGAGCACACCAGGCACTCCTGTTTTCCATAGACAAAAACAACAGATAGTATGTAAGACTGTTTAATTAATTTAAGCAGTGCCTCTGGAAAAACTGGTTCAGGTAAAGTGGCTGTATATTTGTTTTTAAATTGAATTGTTTTAAAAGACTCACAGCGAGTGATTTCTTTATAAAATAAGAAATAGGAAAGAGTACTTTAGTTTTACAAGGCTTTAATAAGGGGGTTGTGTTCTCAAGCCTTTCTGTGGCTCCTGGACAGCTGACTGCTCATCATTTCTTTTCCATATTGGAGCTGCAGGCTGCAAAGTTGTTTTAAGTCTATGTGCCCTAGACTAGGTTCCTGAAAAGGAAGAGTTTGACCAATTATGGCTGATTGTATTAATGAATTGGTTTTCATTATGGGCTGGTGTAGGTTTCATTAGTACATTGATCCTTGGTCCACTGGGAGCAGGAGTTAAGCATTGCTGGTTTTGCTTGCATGAGGCTGTCCGGGTAATCATCTTGTTCACCAAGGTAGACTTTATAAACTCGGCAGCCTAAATCAGCTTTCACCAACTGGAGGTCCTCCAGATGTTTTGAACTACAACTCCCATTGGCAGATTTTCCATCTCCACATTCATCCTAAGTTAACAGTCCCAGAAAACTGTTCTGTCCCCCCAGATTCACAACCAGAGAACAGTCCTTTCTCAGGTGGTTACTGTGGCTTTGTTTCACTTCTTTCAAGCCCTGGTCTGCCTTTCTTCCTCGGAAAAGTCCCCATCCTCAAAGTGGCTTACACATTTTAATGCAAAACACAGTAAGAACAATCAAAAGAATTCACCGTGCCTCGAGTTTATTAGGTGCCCAATTTCTCAGTGAAACTGGGTATAAGTCAAAATAGTTTATTATTCCAGACAGTAACAACTTCAGTTACAACAAAAAATCAGACAACATACATATAGACGGAGATATAAGAAATTCAAGGGCAAATATCAATATTAATTCTGCCCTTTCTTTTGCAGCTAAAGCCAATTTGCAGTTGGGTTAATCATTACTTTTAGATTTATTTTCTAACAATTTTATTCTAGACATTCAGATACAACAATCTTTCAGAGGCAGTTTATTTCTGAATGCCAGTTGCTGAAACCTGAGGAGGGGAGAGGGCAGTTATGCAAAGAGGGAGAAAAGCTTATCTCTTTCATTTGCATTTTTGGAACAAAAAGTCTCAAAAGATAGCGGGATAGATGTCCCACTCTCTGAAGATTACAAGAACAAATTTATCTTATCAATACATGGAACTCCTGAACCTTCCAAGGGTGATATTTATGAAGAATGTGAGACGTCTCATTTGGATTGGAACCCTTTTCTGGTGCTTTTAAAACTGAGGTGAAACTAATGGGCTTGTGCTGTTGCTTGCAGATTCCTGTGATTCGTAATTGTGGTTCAAACACCTTGAATTTTGAGTTCCACGACACAGCCCCCCGCACTGTGCACAGTGGGATCTCTCAGCCGTGGAAAACAACCTCAGGTAACTCTAGCCAAATATGGAGGAACTAATGGTTTCTTCTTGGCAAGAGAATGGACACCTGGTGGCCTTTTGCCTTCTTCGCTTCCTGTGTTGCCCATTTGCTTGGGCCTTTGTGTTTGATTGAAACTCAGCCCAGCTTCTCACTCTCTGCTTTCGCAGTGCTCCTGCGGGGTGTGTGTGTGGGGGGGGGGGAATCCATGGGCCATACATCTTTTTCTAAGGACTGGGCAGCGGGGAGATCGACTTGCACGTGTAGGATATCAATCAGGAAGAGTAAATTAATGTAAGATGGCTTTATCTAGAGATAATGGATCATATTCAACTCAGAGTAAGCCCACTGAAATTAATGGCCTTGTCTGTTAATTTCAATGGGTCTACTTTGAGTAGGACTAGCATTAGCTACAGCCCAATGAATGGATCTAATTGAAGCGGAATTGAATTGATTTAGAGCAGGATTTTTTGATAAATAAATTGGAAGTAATTGAATTGAAGAGGAATTTATTTGGAGTGATCTGGGCTGGGGTGCTATGAATAATTAATTTGACCTGATCTTTTGGATGGATTGACATGCCTTCTGTGACATTTAAATTCTAAATGTGTATCCATATGTCTCCATGTATAAATATGTGTCTATACATATGCAAAGCTTATGAAATTTTGTGACTATGGCCACATGTCCTGAATCCTTCTTAAGTGTCTAGCAACGCCCCTGCTGTGCTCCCATCAGTGGAGGAGCTGACATCTCATGGGACTTTGGTCAGGTAACCTTTGGCTGCAGAATCATGTTGCGGGGGAGGAAGCGCCAGCTTCTATGTTCAACAGCATGTCTAGACTCCCCTTTTAGACCAGTTGACTGGGGCAAAATTCCCATCTGGTGGGAGCAGAAACAGAATTAGGGCTGATTTTACTGGGAAACACATGGAGTCAGCCAGCCTTGTAAATTAGTCCCCCCAACAGTTACTAGCCTGCAAAAATGTTTACTCATCTGCTTTTTATTCATGAGAGAGGCTGGCAAATAAAACATTTGATATACTAGAAACAAGGGTTTCTTTTCTCATCCACCAATGCACTTTCTATGCGGAGCTTTTAACTCCTGTGCATCCAGCATAGGAACGGGGGGGGGCAGGAGGAGGGCCTGAGTGCTCCCCACCTCTTCTGGCCATCTGCAGACTTGCCTGGGTCAAATTCTAGGTGCTTGGGGCAACTAGGCAAGCGACAACAAGGCTGGTGTTATGTCCAGGATAATCGTATCTTCCAGCCAGGATCCATTATTCCCAGTACTGGACTAATTTGACTACTAGATTCATAAGAACTTAAGGACTGATTTATTGCATCTTACCAAGGTCCATCAAAAGGGACACGTGTGGTGCTGTGGGTTAAACCACAGAGCCTAGGACTTGCCGATCAGAAGGTTGGCGGTTCGAATCCCCGCGACAGGGTGAGCTCCCGTTGCTCAGTCCCTGCTCCTGCCAACCTAGCAGTTCGAAAGCACATCAAAGTGCAAGTAGATAAATAGGTACCGCTCCAGTGGGAAGGTAAACAGCGTTTCCGTGCGCTGCTCTTGTTCGCCAGAAGCGGCTTAGTCATGCTGGTCACATGACTGTACGCCGGCTCCCTCGGCCAATAAAGCAAGATGAGCACCGCAACCCCAGAGTCGGCCACGACTGGACCTAATGGTCAGGGGTCCCTTTACCCTTTACCTTTACCAAGGTCCATCATATCTAGCATTTTGTTTCCATGAGCAGCTAGCCAGATTCCTCTGCTTGGAAACCCACAAGCCAGCTCTGCTGGTGATGGCCACCCTGTGTTTATCACCAACACATCCTCGTTGGAGGTATATTGCTGCCATGAAATGTTTGGCTATTGTGGTTAATATGGTATGAGCCCAGTAAACCGCTGTGTTTGCTTTATGTTGGTCCGGCTGACCTTACCTCCTGCAGAGCTGGCTCACTATACATTGCCTGTATCTATTTGCAGCAAATAATTGGTATCCCACCTGGCCTGCTAAAGAAATTAGACCACTGACATCACAAGCAGCACCTGTTCCCCACCCAGCTGCTTCACCTGCTCGCCCAGCTGTCAATGGCACTGCACAACCAGGCTGGTCCGCCACCTGGACAAAAGATGGCCGGAGGAAGGAAAAACGCTGGGTGAAGTATGATGGCATTGGGCCAGTGGATGAGTCTGGGATGCCCATTGCCTCACGATCGGTGAGTCTGTAGATGAAGCAGATGTAAATAGGATGCAAAAATCCAAGCTCTCTTCAGCATCCCCTCTCCTCTGCTATGTACTTTAAGCACTTTGTAGCCAAGCTAATTTGAGCTCATGATCTTTTGAGGCTTCTTTTGAACTATGGAAAACTGGGCTGGTTCTGCAATTAAGTGAGAACCTCTTAAGAATGGTTACCTGAATGCTGTATCAAAGGGAACAATGTGGGAGGTTGGCCTGAAGTCGAGAGTGTTCCCAGTGGCCTCCATGAGCTTGTTTGCAACAAAAGCAACAACAAATCTCCCCCGTTGCCAAAAAATATGAAAAGAAAGCACATTGGCCCAGCTCAGATGGCGTGTGTGGTTTAGTGCAAACCATAATTTGCAAACTGACTTGGGAATGTGTTCTCCTTCTTCCATTTTCTACCCTTCTCCACTGGAGCTCTAGCCTGCTTTTTCCTTGTCAGCCTAACCATGGATGAAGCTTGGTGTCTGCACTGATGCTGCTAACCATGGCTAACGTGAACTAATATTCCCATCATAGCTTGGAATTGAGCGCATATGCAGATACGCAACATGAAATCATAGATAAAGGCCAACAAGGGAATCTGCACCACAGGGAGGAGGAGGAGGAAGTGGGAGGCATTGCAGTATAGAGCTGAACTGAAATTTCTCAGAATAAAACTTTATTTTTTTCATCCTCCTGAAAAAAGATCACTTTGCAGAATATTCTCCAAATATTTTCCACTATTTTTGTGGTTGGCACCATTCTCCCATCCTATCCCCAATGCCCTAGAATGATGCTAGCTGTGAGATATTGTGGAGGAGGTTGCAAAATGATGGCTAGCCTGACAACTGAGATACTTCCTTAGGAAAAGAAGAAGAAACTGCTCCCTCCACTGCTTATAGTGAGTCTTCACAGCTTCAAAACTGTCGGAGAATGTATCTTCTCCCTAGACAAATTTGGGGAAATGATCCCCATAGATTCCTGCCCTGGTTCCTTCCTGCCCATCACTTCAACCCTGTCTTACACCCCCACCCCTTCAGTTCTCTTTTGCAGCTGTTAGTGAATTTGCATATCTGGTTTCTGTTGCAGAGTGTGGATAGTCCTCGGGACTGGTATCGGAGCATGTTCCAGCAGATCCACAGCAAGCTTCCTGGTACAGTTTGTCAGGGCATCACATTAATCTAGTCCCTAAACTTGTATCAATAATCCCTGAGAAACTATAGTCAGCATGTGATCTATCCAATGAGACATGCTCTCTGCAGATATTGAGCATCCCCTGGTGGTTCAAATCTCATTTTCTAGGCTGCCCATGGCTCCTTGTTTTAGGAAAATGAAACTAGTGAAATAGTGCAACTCTGGCCAGTAAGAAGTCTTATCCTGAACACAGCTGGTGGCTTTCAGCAAGCTAAACCTCAGGCTTCAAACTATGGGCTCCAGGAGAAAATGTTCCTCTCTGTTGTGGGAGGTGGGATTTTTGGTTTGTTTTTGTTCTTCTTTTTATTGTGTATTTTGTGTTTTTTATATCGTAATTTTATGTTGTGAACCACCCTAAGATCTGTGGATGAAGGTCGGTATACAAATATTATTATTATTATTATTATTATTATTATTAAGGTAACAGCTGCATTTTATATATTAAAATGGAGGGTCTGGTAAAGGCTAGGGCTGGGTGAATCTGACAATTTTGGCTTCTCAGCTTCTCATTTTTTCAATTTTAAATTCAGTTCTCCACATTTCCACATGAGATTACATTTTTTAAAGTCCTCATTAAAATTCATGAGCATTTTCATCCAAATTTCAAATAATACACAAATTTTTGTAGGCAATTTTGCTTCACTCACACATTTTTTGCAAAGCAATTTTCTCTAATACAGTGCATTTTTGTATTTTATTTTCACAAATATATGCATTTCTACAAAACACATTATCCAGTATATGCATTTCAGTGCTCATTGGAGTAATGCACTGCAAAATTCAGAGAAACATCAGTGTCAAAGGATGGCTATGTTTCAGTTCTTGTATTATTTTGGAATGTGCGGAGCCGATCGGTTCACCTTCAATTGCAAACGGAACCAAATGTCTTCCATCCCTAGTTACCCCTCGCTTCTTGGTCCCAGGTACAGCCTGAAACCTGAATGGCACCTACCAAATTCTAATCCTATTAAGTCTGCAATCTCCTCTTTCACTCAATTCTAAGAGTATGAATAAATGCACACTTTGTGTCTCTAACATCAAGCCAGCTTCTACCCCTGCCCCCCATTCGGACTACCAGTTTTGAAGAACTCTAAAGCTTCTCACTATTCTGTCACAATTTGGTTGGTCCTAATAAAGAGATGGCTCAATTATGGATTATTGCAGTTTTTCTTACGGAGGAATGTGTCTTCCTTTTTGTTGAGATACTGTTGGGTGACCCTACAGGGTTGTTGAGAGCCAGACCAAACAGTACTAAACAGGTCATAGGGATTCCCACCATCCCAGGTATATTAATGCTGTGTGAGCAGAGGCCATCGGTTGGTCAGTTTCTTTGCCCATGATCCAAGTCAATGGCCTTTACCAAGTGGTGGAGGAGGAGGCACAACGCAGACCGCCTACATTTCCCTTTGAACCGCTCTGTGTTCACTGCCCTGTAAAGTGGCTCCCCAGGGTCCAAATCCTTTGCCACATGCCATGCACTTGATGAGCAGTCTTCCTTCCTCCACTTCCTGTTATTTGTTCAACACGCTCCATTCTGAGCAGAAACCTCGCTTGGGTGCCCTTTGGCCTCTCAGTGTGTACGGGGCTGGAATCAGCACCTGCTATCCTTGAGCAGGTGCCTAGACCCCTCCCCTCCCCTTATTTTTATTTATTTCTTGGCCTGGCATTCTGAGCAGCACAAAACAGATGGACCCAGCAACGCTTTTGCTTTGCCACACTGCCCCTAATCTAGAGCTGTGGGGCATGGTGGGAAATCTCAAGAAGGGATGGGGAGAAATTTGGTTTGGTTTGCCTTTGAATGAAAGCCTAGCTAACTCACACCAGGTAAATGATACATGAACCGCAATGCAGGTTTCCTTCAAAATCTGCACTTTTCAGCAGTTCTCCAACCAAATAATATATACAAAAATGCATATATCAGGGGAAAGCACTAAAATGCTAGCAGATTTTCATGAGGACTTTTAAAATAAAAATCCACAAAGTGATGCAGAAATGTGGAGAATTGAACTTAAGGTTGGGAAAATGAGAAATGGAGAGAAACTGAGACTGGCAGGTTTGTCCATCCCTAGCCAAGAGAATGGCATTGCCAGCACAGCTAGGTGATCATGGCAGGGAAAGAGGTGATCATGGCAGGGAAAGAGACCCTTAGGCCAGCTCAAACCTGGAACTGGTTCTCTCTAAAAATCTCCCTTTCCTTTCAGAATCAGAACTGGACTGGGACTTCTCCTACAACTCTAGAGGTAGGAATTGGTTTCTGCTTCTGATTGTGCAGCTTAGATGTCATATTTGGCAATGGCCAAGTAATTTTACACTGACAGATGATTCCCAAATAGTGTCAGGAACAACCATAGGCTTGTGAGGGAGTCTGTGTTGGGGGGAGAACCCAAATGCAGAAGGCTGTGTGTGTATGTGAAGTTATTCGTCAGGAAGTGGTACCAAGGAAAAACAGAAAGCTGTGGATGTATCTTGGGGCCATTCCCATGGTCATTCCATATCAAGTGATCCAACTTTTTTACCTCATGTCATCTAATTTTCTTAATATTTTGTATACTTGTTGAATGATCAAAACTAAGTTTAAATCTAAAATTAATTTTTTCACCTTATTCCATTTTTGAGTTATGAGGGTTTGAAATTTCAAAAAAATTGACAATTTTGGCCTTGCCAGACTACACAGAAACCTTTAGGGCTCACCCCAGGATTGAGATATGTCAAAACTAAAAACACCAATCTCTTCAGAACTTCATAGGCTTTAATATGATATGTCACATGATGGCTACACTTAAAATTATAAATTTAAGTTACAAAATTTATAATTTTAAAAAGTGTTAAAAACATTAATGATAAAAAGATTCCAAACAATGTATTAGTTATTTAATATTTCTAAGAGCAATCTGCAAATTTTCATCTTGGGATCTCAATGGGATCATATTAAAAAAATATTTTGTACTTACATGTCTCCTTTATTGGATTCTTCCCCCCCCCCCCCAGTTATCTTGTGTTGTTCATTTTTTTTTAATGAGATATTTATTAAGCTTTTTTAAAGTACTACAATAAAAATGAAAAAAATAACAAAAATACAAAATAAAAATAATTAAAAACACACAGATTTTCCATTACTTGTTTTCCTTTAGCTTGTTTCCCGGACCTCCTCATACCTCCCTTTTTTGTATTCCAGTTCAATTTGTTGGTTCAGCAAATCCTTACCCTCTTTATTTATCCTAATCTTTAGTCTTAAAATAGTAACATGAAATTTTTACCTATTAACACCCCATTTTCATAATCCCTTAAAGCATTACAGCTGGAAACCACTTAATTTCTATCCAACATCATTCTAACATTCATTAATTTTACAATAATTCTGTAGATAGTCTTTAAATTTCTTCCAATCTTCTTCCACCGACTCTTCTCCCTGGTCTCGGATTCTGCCAGTCATTTCTGCCAGTTCCATATAGTCCATCAGCTTCATCTGCCATTCTTCCAGAGTGGGTAGATCTTGTGTCTTCCAATACTTTGCAATGAGTATTCTTGCTGCTGTTGTGGCATACATAAAAAAGGTTCTATCCTTCTTTGGCACCAGTTGGCCGACTATGCCCAGGAGAAAGGCCTCTGGTTTCTTCAAGAAGGTATATTTAAATACCTTTTTCAGTTCATTATATATCATTTCCCAGAAAGCCTTAATCCTTGGGCACGTCCACCAAAGGTGAAAGAATGTACCTTCAGTTTCTTTACATTTCCAACATTTGTTATCAGGCAAGTGATAAATTTTTGCAAGCTTGACTGGGGTCATGTACCACCTGTATATCATTTTCATAATATTCTCTCTTAAAGCATTACATGCCGTAAACTTCATACCTGTGGTCCACAACTGTTCCCAGTCAGCAAACATAATGTTATGTCCAAAATCTTGTGCCCATTTAATCATAGCAGATTTCACCGTTTCATCCTGAGTATTCCATTTCAACAGCAAGTTATACATCTTTGACAAAATCTTAGTTTTGGGTTCTAACAGTTCTGTTTCTAATTTTGATTTTTCCACCTGGAAGCCAATTTTCTTGTCCAAATTATATGCCTCCATTATCTGATAATAATGAAGCCAGTCTCGCACTTTATTTTAGTTTCTCAAAACTCTGCAGTTTCAGTCTATCTCCCTCTTGTTCCAGAATTTCCCAATATTTCGGCCATTTGGCCTCCATATTGAGCCTTTTCAGAGCTTTCGCTTCCATCGGTGACAGCCACCTTGGGGTTTTGTTTTCCAGTAAATCCTTGTATCTTATCCAAACATTAAACAATGCTTTCCTGACAATATGGTTTTTAAATGCTTTATGCGCTTTGACCTTGTCATACCACAGATATGCATGCCATCCAAATACATTGTTAAAACCTTCTAGGTCCAAAATGTCTGTGTTTTCAAGAAGTAGCCATTCTTTCAACCAGCAAAAAGCTGCTGATTCATAGTAAAGTTTAAAGTCTGGCAGGGCAAATCCACCCCTTTCCTTTGCATCAGTTAATATCTTAAATTTTATTCTGGGCTTCTTGCCCTGCCAGACAAATCTAGAAATATCTCTCTGCCACTTCTTGAAACAATCCATCTTGTCCACAATTTGCAATGTTTGAAACAAAAACAGCATTCTAGGCAATACATTCATTTTTATCATAGCAATACGACCCAACAGTGAAAGCTTCAAATTTGACCAAATTTCTAAATCTTTTTCACTTCCGTCCAACATTTTTCATAATTATCTTTAAATAAGTTCCCATTTTTGGCTGTCATATTAATCCCCAGGTATTTCACTTTCTTAACCACAGTCAAACCTGTCTCATTCTGAAACCTCTCTCTTTCAATCGGTGTTAAATTTTTCTCTAAAACCTTAGTTTTTAACTTGTTCAGTTTAAATCCTGCCACTTGACCAAATTCTTGAATTAGTTCTAAAACCCTTTTAGTACTAGATTCTGGCTCCTGTAACGTCAATACTAAGTCATCTGCAAATGCTCTCAGTTTGTACTGTTTGGCTCCGACCTGTATGCCTTTAACCAACCGGTCCCTTCTAATCATATTCAGCAGAACCTCCAGGACCGATATAAAAAGCAGTGGGGAGATTGGGCACCCCTGTCGTGTCCCTTTTTCTATCTTAAATTCTCCCGTCACCACATTATTCACAATTAATTTAGCCTTTTGTTCAGAGTATATTGCACCTATACCATTTTCAAAACCTTGGCCTGCCCCCATCTCCTGTAGGTTCTTCTTCATAAAACTCCAAGAGATGTTGTCAAAGGCTTTCTCCGCGTCCACAAATATCAGAACTGCTTTAGTATTTATATTCACTTATAATTTTTCCAAAATATCAATTATATTCCTCAAATTATCAGACAAGTGTCTTCCCGGGAGAAAGCCCGCTTGGTCTTTATGAATCTCTTCCATCAATACTTTTTTCAATCTCTTGGCCAAAATGTCTGCAAAAATTTTGTAATCCACATTAAGTAACGATATAGGGCGGTAGTTCTTAAGCTGAGTCTTTTCAGTCTCTGTTTTCGGTATAAGTGTAATGTACGCCTCTTTCCACGACTCTGGTGCCCTTTTCCCTTCCAATATTTCATTGCAGACTTCCTTCAAAGGTTGTAATAGCCACTCTTTCAAAGATCTATAATATCTAGAGGTCAGCCCATCCGGTCCTGGAGATTTGCCCAATTGCATATTTTGAATGGCACCTTCTACTTCCTGTTCAGATATTTTATAGTTCAACATTAATTTGCTTTCTTGGGAGAATTTATGTAAACCATAAGTCTCCAAAAATCGGTCTATGTCCATTTCTTTCTGTGGCCCTTGTGTGTATAATTGTTTAAAATACCTCTGGAAACAGTTTCTAATCTCGATTGGGTTATGTATATTCTTTCCTTCCACTTCTAAGTTTGTAATAGTATTTAATTTTTGTCTTTTTTTCATTTGCCAGGCCAACAATTTCCCACATTTGTTAGCTGATTCAGATGCTTTTTGTCTCATTTGTTCAATTTTCCATTCTATTTCCTGATTCATCATTTCCATATATTGTACTTGGTATAATTTTATTTCTCTCTAAATCTCCTGCGACTTTGGTTTTGCTCTCAGTTTCTTCTCACTTTCTTTTATTTTCTCCAAAATTTTATCTTTCTTCTCATTTTGACTTCTCCTCTTTATTGCATTCTGTTGTATCAGAAACCCTCTCATGACAGCTTTGCTTGCATCCCAGATTACTCTTTTTCTACATTGGTGTTCATATTTATTTCAAAATAGTCTCTCAAAGTTTTTTGGGCCTTTTTATACACTTCTTCATCTCTAAATAAGGTGTCATTCATCCTCCATCTGAAGGAGCCAGTTGATATTTGTTTCATCTCCATCCTTACAGCGTTATGGTCGGAGCAAGTTTTTGGGCAGATTTCCACTTTCTTTATCTTTGGTGCCATTCCTCTAGTTACCCATATTTGGTCAATTCTAGTCCATGTCATCTTGGCTTCAGAGAAGAAGGTTCCCTCTCTTCCCAAAGGGTTCTTTACTCTCCAAATGTCCACTAAATCCATATTGTCTGTCATCTCAAAAAATGTTTTCGGTAGTCTACCATCCTTGGTAACTACCTGTCTTTGTGCCTTGTCCATGTTTGTAGATACTACTCCATTCATGTCCCCCATCAAAATCAGATTGTAATCCAAATAGTCCAATAAGATCTCATGCAACTTTTTAAAAAATTCAGATTTCCCTCATTCGGTGCATAAATTCCCATGATCAAAAATTTCTCTCCTTGAACTTGAATTTCGATTGCCAAAAATCTACCTTGTTCATCTTTAAAAATTAATTTCGGTAATAATCTCTCCTTTGCATATATCACAACTCCTCTTTTTTTAACTTTGTCAGATGAGATAAACTCCTGTCCCAATCTTTTATTAATCAGTAGTTTCCTGTGTAGCCTTGTTACATGTGTTTCTTGTAAACAAATCAAGTCCAATTGTTCCTTTTTTAGTAAATGAAAAGCACTTTTTCTCTTTCAAGGAGAGTTCAAACCATTACAATTCCAACTTAACAGTTGCAGAGCCATGATGGGGTTACTTCACTTTGCCTCCAACTGCGCCAAGTGTCTGTTCTTGTTCTGTTGATGGTGTCTCTTTCTCTGGACCGTGCAATCCAAAAGATAAATTTGCTATGTCTAGTATTCCTTTTTCCAGTGCTTTTGGCTCTTCTCCGGATTCCGCTTCTTTCTGTAGATCTTCTTCGTAATCTTTCAAAAACCTATCTTTATCGTTGACTGATCTTATTTTTATCTTTCTTCCTTTGTATTTAAAGGATAGGCCTTGAGGAAATTCCCACCTAAAGATAATTCTATTTCTTCTCAACAGGGCAACTAGGTCTCCGTAGTTAAACCTTAAGTCCAAAAGATGTTTTGGAATGTCCTTAAATATCTCCACACTTGAGTCGTAAATTTCCAAAGTCTTTTGATAGTGCAGATTCAAAATTTTGTCTCTCTCCTCTTTTGTTCGAAGAGTAATCAAGCAGTCCCTCACCTTGTTCCTCCTTTGTCCTCTTCCAAGTCTAAATGCATTCACTATCTTAAATTCTTCCTTCCCCAAATCCTGTTGCCAAAAATCTGTAAATTCCTGTGTAAGAAATTCAGCCAAATTATCTTTCTCACGTTCTGGTGCAGCCCTGATTCTTAGATTCCTTTGTTTCTCTTTCAATTCAATCATAGACAGTGTCAAACCGTGGTCCTCCAATTGCTTGTATACCGGTGGTATCTTCTCTTGAGTAGCAGTTGCTATATCTTTTGCTTCTTCAGCTATCTTTCGGGTCAAAGCAGATTCCTGTAGTAATTTTTCAATAGACTCTGTATTGGTATTCACCTTCTGTCCCAAATTATTAATGCTTGTTGTATTCAGGTCAATTTTAACTGATGCTTCAGCTACTTGTTTATTTGTCTCAGCTACCTGCTTAGCTAAATTTTCCAAAGATTCATTAATTTTTCCAAGTGCATGTGCCAAAACGTCTTCGGACGACATAACTTTTGGTTTAACCTGTGGAGGAGCAGCCCATGATGTTCCAGATGCTCCAGATGTTGAAGCCCTTCGCTGCTGCGCAGTGTCTGTCCGATAGGGTCTGCCAGACCTAGTAGTTTTTTTCCTGCGCCAGCTCTAACTTTCCTCTCCCATCTGCCATAACACTCTCATGAGAATTCAAGGTCGATCCCACGGTTGAAAGTTTATTTTGAAATGGAATTTTCCTCTAACCCAGTTGTTATTGTAGCAATGTCAAACCTCCTCTAGGGAGACACAGTAACAGCCAAAGCTTGCAACTTTTAGGGGAAAAAATGGTCCTTATAAGTCCCCCAATTCACCTAAAAACAACAGTTTCAGTTGCACTTAAACAGTTACTTTAGAACCAGGAGAAGTCCAGAAACACTGTATCTCTTTAGCAGAGTTAGCTGTCAAAAGTCCTCTGCTTACAGATAGGCTTTTCACAGAGCGGCATTCATCTCAGGGCAGTCCGTTCCCAGGTTTTAGACGGTGGATTTTAACTTCCTTTTCCCTTATTTTTTTGCAGATTAGTACAGCTCAAACATTTCCCCCCTCCTCTCCTGCAATCCGGAGGGGAGATCGTTTTCCTGATGTTGCGATTTCAGTCTTTTTCAAACGTCTTTCCCAGTTTCCGCTTACAGTCTCTTTGCTTTGATCTATCTACAAGAAAGGAAGGCAGACTTCCTGTTTGTACCTTCCCGCTTCGGTGCTGAATTAGCTTATTTTTTCCTTTAAATCCAATTTAATCCTACTCACGGGTAGTTGCTTTCAACGTCGAATTGTCCCAGGAAAAAGTCAGCGCTCTCCGATAACGGCTATGCGGCTTCACTCCGCGGAAGAAGCAGTCGACTCTCAGCACCGCGCTGCTCACCCCGTCTCGCTCCCGAACCCTTAAAAAGGGTCCTTTCACGACTTGGGGGGGTGCAAAAGGTGCCCGCCGAGTCCCCACGTTCACAGGCTTCACCCGCCTGTGATTTTTAAGGGGCCCCCGCTTCGCCGCAGCGGTAGGACCCGATCCCGCGGAGCTAGTCCCTCAGAGACTCAGAGGGAATCCGCCATTATCGATGGCGCCGACCCGGAAGTCCCTTTTTTTGGATTCTATTTAGGGTAAACAAGTCTTCATAATATCAGTTGCTATAGGCATTTCTTTAAAAAGTTATTCAGTTAAAAGGTGTCTTAAAAGCTAGTCAGGCTTTTCTTTTTAAAATGTGTGCCAAAGCAGACTGGTAGCTTCCTGTCTTCTAGATATTATGGACTCCAGTTCCCAGCAGCCACAGCCAGCAGAGCCAATAGTCAGGAGTGATAGGAGCTGGTGGCCGAAAGAGTGTGGGGGGCGCATGGGGTTTCTGAGAAGCAGCTGAACAGGAGAAACACAGCTGTCCCTTGAAGAAGCCTGTCTGCTCCAGGGAGCTCTCATTTTGTCCTTCTCAGGGCACAGGCCTCCGGGGCTCATGCAGAAAAGCCCACCAGCAGCCCTGGCGTCAAGCAGCCCTGGCTTCAGACATCAACAGAATGGCTTAGACTGGTAAGTGCAGCCCCGAGGGAGAGGCCTGCGTGGGGAACCTTTATTCCGTCAACTGGGGGCGAGGAACTTCAGAGGCCAAATGAGCCCCCCAGGCCTCTCTGCTTGGGCAGTGTGACCCCTTGGAAGATTCCCCAGAAGGGAATATAACTCTTGGACTGGAGAAGATTCCTCACCCTTGAAGTAAAGGACCACATGCCCCCCCCCCCCACAGAGCAGGCTGCTGGATTAGAGACAGGTTCCTCTTGCCAGACAATGCTAAACTAATAACTTGCAGAGGCCTTTTGAAGTTAAGGCAGAGGCTACAGGTTGCCCAGCATTGCCTTAGGGTAGACCCTTGGTTTTCAGCCCGTGTGCTGTGGCCCCTGGGGGGACGTGAGGAACATTCAGGAGAGCCCAGAGGGCCGTCTTGTCATGAACTTGCAGCCCATATTTTCCTGCATTCATATTCATTCTCTCTCTCTCTCTCTCTCTCTCTCTCTCTCTCTCTCTCTCTCTCTCTCTCTATCTCTCAGGGGAACCAGCAGCTTTAACTTGCAGCCCATTATCTTCCCTAAATAACACAATGGCAAAAAGGGGAGGGGAATACTTTTGCATGACTGTTTATCTTCTTAAAATCTTTTCCCCCTCCCGCAAACAAAAATCCTCCCCGGCTTCAGTAACCACCACCTTAGACCCATCAAGGGAGACAAAGGGATGCATCTTCCTAGGATTAATCTACAGTACAGACTTAAAAACAATTTGTAATTCTGTGCATATTTTCTCAGAAGCAAGTCCCACTTCTCCCTAGAAACTCTGCATATGTTAGCAGCCCTAACATCCATTCCCTTTCTCAGGGGACCTGGGTATTATAGTTCCTGGGGGAGAGCTAAGGATCCTGTTTCTCAGCTGTCTCACCAAACTATAGTTCCCAGGAGGTATTATAAAACAGGGAATATGTGCATGTATGCTGAGAGCATTAAAAATGAAAGTAAGTCACTTACACAGCCACCTTGCTTTTTGGTGGGTTCGGAGGCAGTGTGCTGTGGATGTGGCCAATGAGGGAAGGGGAAGATTTGTAAACTTAAGGGGCAAGCTGTGCCCCCTGCAGTTGCGTTTTGTAACTTGGGGATAGTTAGCCTCACTGTGACTTAGGAAGTATGAGCGCCATACTAGACATTATGTGAAATAAACAATAGCCGTCACAGGGTGTGTGAGAGCAGGAAGGAAGACTACAGCCTGATTTAAAAGCACACATGTAAGCTGCTATTGATGCCAATTTCAGCTACTCTCTCAGGACAAACTGCAGATCTGGGCAGGAGGTCTTTTTTGTCAGGACCACAGTGTGGGAGGAAGTGGTTGACTCCCCACCTCTGGGTGCTGTGGTCTCAGTCCTGATTGGTGGGCACTGGCTGCTCTTAAAACAAACAGGTGAAATGGCAAGCACACATTTTGCTTCTTTAGGTTCTGAAAGGCTCTGTAAAGGATAACACACCCATCTGAATCTATGTGTGTTCCAGTGCCCAACTGTGCACTGGGGGGAGCTGTGGAGCATGCCAGCAGAAAGTGGATTTTGGAATTCTGCTTGGCAGAACAATTGGCTGCTAGACCAATTGGTGTAGATGGGTCCTTGATATCTTGACTTGATGACTTATCACTTGAGCACCAGCAGCTGAATGCAGGAGCTTCCTCCACTCAGACCGTTGGTTCTGAGATGAGGTCAGGTGGTCAGAGGTGTAGCTGCTGCGGGAAAAGTTTTGTCACCCCCCTCCCCATCGGCGGCTTGGGGTAGGCTTGGGGTTATGGGCACCCTGGAACTTCCTTTGGGCTCTGCTACATATTTAGTCAGCCTCGATCGTGGCACCTTCAGGCACTTTGCTCCCTGGCACGCAAGGGATCCCTCAGGGCTCCTTTGTGCACTGTCCTTTTTCCCCGCCACCAAAAGCACGTGTGGCCGCGGAGCTCTCACCGCCTCCTGCCGGGCTGGGGATCTTCAGCCAAGCACGGCAGCTGCCTCTTGGTTAACGCAGCTCTGTCCATGCCTCCTTGCTCTCCCTCTGCGAGGTGCGCGAGAGGAGGGTGGCGAAGCCAGCGTTAGCAGCCCGACGGAGGTTAAATCAGGAGGTGGACAGCAGCTACCTCACTTCGGGAAGTGGCAGCAGCAGCGGGCATCGCTGGGCTGCATGTTGGAGAGGCTTATCTTTGGCGCTTGGCTCCCGGGCAGGCCTCTTCTCGAGCGCAAGGAAGGCCAGCGTGGCGCCTGCCCGACCTCCCGCTTGCCCGCCTGTTCACAACGGCGAGGGCTGCCTCCTGTTCTGCCTCCAGGCCCCTGTGCTCCGTCAGGCCACAGCGCTCCCGTTCCCAGTGTGGTAGAGGCCGCTGGCGGGCTCTGGGTCGCCTTTTTGGTCCTTGCGTGGGCACCCCCGGCTCCCCTCTGGTCGCGGCGGTTGTGGCAGGAGGTTTTACGGCTCAGGGATCGGCTAGGCAGTGCAGCTGGTGCTGGCTGCCCTTGAGCTTTGCACCACTGTGTGCCCACCACTTTGCCTCGCCTGAAGTCCTCAGGATTCACCCTTTCTGGGTTCCGAACCGGCAGGCAAAATGAGGCGGGGGAGGGTCTTATTGTTTGTATACCTCCTTGCGTCTGGCCCCTGGCGGGTCATCCTTCTTTCCCAGTGGCACGTGCGCACGTTTTAAATAACATTATTTATTTATTTATTTTTAAGTGTTGTGAGCCCCCCGCTTTTGAAAACATATTTTTGCCAATTTTTCACTCCCCTTAGAGATGTCACCCGGGGCAGCCTGCACTCACCACACCCCCCTTCCTCCGCCACTGCAGGTGGTACAGAAGTGCGCTCTGCAGTGGTTTCATGGCCATTTTGCAACATTTGCTTTGCAACAGTCCCGTGATGTTGCCATGTGTGTGCAAAGGACACCCCCTGAAAGAAAGGCATAGGGGGCAGAGGAAGCAGGGCCAGCCCTATCATTAGGCGGAGTGAGGCAGCTGCCTCAGGCAGCAGACGATGGGAGTCTCAGGTTCAGTCCCCAGCATTTCCAAGTAGGGCTGGGAATGTCCCTTGCTTGAAAGCTTGACCAGCCCCTTCCGGTCAGTGTAGACAATACTGAGGTAGATGGTCTGACTTAGTAGGAAGCATCTTCCTATGTTCCAGTCCAGGGCACAACACGGCTATCCATTGCAGCAGCCCCTGCTGAAATGTGTCTTGCCTGCCTTTGAAGACTCGGGGGGGGGGGGGAGAGTCGCAGGTGCAAGAAGTGACTCACAGCCCCTTTGAGATTCTGTTCTTTCTCTTGCAGGAGAAATTGGGAAGCAGCTGATGCTGCAGCCATGGAGCCCAAGAGCATTTTTGACTATGAACCTGGGAAGTCATCCATCCTCGATTATCCCAGCTCGGTATGCAAGCCTCCCTGGATTTAAGTGTGCCTGGATGTAGTTGTGACTGAACTAGCAGTAGACCCAGATTGTGTCTGGACTGGATCACATATTGTCAGTCAGCTGTCTGAAGGACAAGACTGCATTGCTCTGCACATTTCCTGGCGTGTCAACCCCACTGAACTCCGTGAGGCACGTTGTTCACATGTAGTGTCACACTGCACAACTCTTTGTGCTCATATTTGAAAGCAAGGATGTGGAACAATGGTTGCAACATATGGAGAATAACTTATTGAAGCGGGAAATCCCAGCCACTCGCCCCCTCCTCCCCCTTCTCAACTGTCCTCATTCAGACCAAGGGATGTGTGTCCTGCTTGAGGATTCCCTCCAATACAGCAGCCTCTTTACTGATGCTTTGATTTGCCCTTTGCAGCCTTCGAAGCCCCTCACGGCATATTCAGCACAAGGCCGCCCCCCCTCCCCGCCCATTGAGGTGAGTATTCTGCAGTGCCAAGGGTGAGGCATGCGTAGCCTGGGGTCGCAAAGCAAGACCTGGGATCCAGCCAAGCCTATGCTATGCACTTCCTTGGGGGCAGGGGGAAGCTAGCGTGGAGACTCACTGAGCCAGGAGGAGGGGATGGGGCTGTGCTTGAGATCCTCCCTGCTGGCTTCTCCCAAGACTGCCGGAAAGCAGCTGTGTTTACTGGCTTCCATGGAGTAGGATTCTTTGTTATTTCCTCTCCCCCCTCCTCTGCCTTCAAGATGGTCCTCCGCACTGCAGATGCACTGCCAAGATCTGCATGCTGTGGATGGGGAAGAATGCTCTAGGTCACCATTCAGAGCAGGAGCCCTGCTGCTGTGGTCCCCAAATAGGTCTGACAGAACCAGGTGCACCTTGCGTGCTCTAGTCAGGGTCATGCACACCCCACACTAAAATATTTAAAATCTGCATCCAGACCATTCTGATTCCACATAAAGAAATACTCATTTCTGCGACTGGTGTGAATTGTGCGAATGAAGCACAATTAGGGTTAGGGTTAGGGTTGGGTTATTTCAGCAGGAAGCTATGCAGGTAATGCAGCAGGGCAACCCAGAAGTAGCCTCCAGCATCTAGGACTTCCAAAGCTACACCTGGAGCCATAAGGACTTGAGACTTTGTTTTGAATTTAAAAAATGATATTTCCAAGAAGCCAAATCCTGCATCCAGTATTACATTCTGCACTCTTGTTGAATCACGCGTATATGTGGTTCTAGATATAGCACCTCATTACCTTTGCCATTATGACATTATAGTTCCCTTTCACTGCAATGTGTGTCGGCCCCTGCTGCTGCCAGAAATCAAGGCCATCCTCGCTTTGGGTGTAATGTTTAAGCTACCCATCTCATTGCCTTTGCAATCACCCTAAATTGCCACCCTATAACTCTTGTTCTGACTTGCCTGCAACGAAATGGTTAATAGCTGCTTGAGGCCTGATTGGCGCCTGCACATTAAGAAGCGACTTCCAGAGGAGCAGCTGTGTTAGTCTTGCAGCAAAAACAACAGAGTTTTGTGGGACCTGAAAAGAGCAGTAGGATTACTGTGGCATACCTTTTTAGGGACTGGAGTCCACTTCAGCAGATGTGTGATGCAAGTTTCCACAACAGTGAAAAAGCTTTCAGGCACATAAAATGCACAGCAGCAGCCCAGCCATATCAAATTCAAGTTAACACCACAGTGGTGAGAAGCCCGAGGGAAAAAAAAGGTGGTCCCTGGAAGATATAAGATTTGGTGCCAGGCACACCTTTCTGAACAGAGTTCTAAAACAAGGGCACCACTGCAGAGAAGGCTCAGCTTGGCATAATCGTACAGAGATGTACCTTGTTTTGAGACATTCTTAACACCCACATTGCTCACATACCCCTGAATGGGGTATACAAATCAGGACTGTGGCACTGTAACAAGCCGTTGCCAGCAAGCCAGTCTTAAGTCATGGCTGCTTGTTGAATTGCTCATCATGATGTGCTAGCGTTAGGATCTACTCACAACAGGAGAGGATTGAAGGCCGGGGAGGGGGCCAGTTAGGCTATGTGCACCGGCTGGGTTGGGGGAGACATTTAGTGCAGCTTGCATTCAAATCTACCTAACTGACACTTCCCAAAGCAATATGCAAAGTGAAACACAGCCATCCTTTAAAATTTGCACTTCTCCTAATTTTGCAGTGCAGTTCTCCAACCCAAAACTATGTGCATAAATGTGTATATTAGGCAAAAACATGCACAAATTCATGAAAAGTGCATAAAAATGTATTGTAACGCGTGGTTTTTTTAGTATATTAGAAATGCACACTGAAATGATGAGTTTTTGTGATGACTTTTTTTTAAAAAAAAATCACAAACTGATGCTGAAATGGGGTGAGAACTGAATTTTATCATTGGAAAAATGAGAGAGAGATTGAAAATGAGATTCCTCCATCCCTGGCATCAGAATGCTGCTAATTCATAGTAAATTACGATGAGCTGGAATCTCTTATTCCATCCAGCCTCCTTATAAATTCAGAATCATTCTCCTTGCACAGCAGGCTTCTGCCACTCAGGTCAGAGCATCCTTGTGCAACCTAGTTCTCACACTAAGGTAGATGAACTGAGTCTGGGCTGTAGCACTGCAGTCTGCAGGTGGGCGTTCACATGATGGAATTCTCCCAATGAGAAATAAAATGCCTTGCACATGGAAAACCAGCATGTCATGGAGGAGGGTTGTAAGCTAACCTTTTTCCTGGCATACTAGCTTTCTATGTGTAGGATTCCTCCCCCACCTGCAGGCTAAATCAAGCCACAGATTTACCCTTTTGGTGAAAAACGAGAGCTCTTTGCCCATAGCTGTCTGTCCATCTCTGTGTGGTGTTCTTAAGACTACACAGAAGGCTGCTCCATTGAGCTCAGCAGGACTTCTTCTATGCATGCAGTATCTGGTGGCTTAAGGAGCCACTTCACATGACAGTGTCTGCGAACCTTGTTTCCCAGGCGTTTCTGTGCACGTGGCCCCATCGCTGCCTCATGCTTCTCTCTTGACTCTCATGAAGCCACTGCAGGCTTCTGCCTACAGCCCCCCCCCCACTGCCTCTTTCTTCCCTCTTTCAGGAGTTGCTGGAGAGGGAGCTGCAGCAGCTGAGTGAAGAGCTGGACAAGGACATCAGGGCCATTGAGCTTTCCCTCAAGGTAACTCTTGCCGTGCTGCCCTTGCTGCCTGTGGCTCCTGCTTCCCTCTGCAGGGACGGCATGGCTGCCTAAAGGCCTTCTTAGGATGCTGGGCACTCTTCTTCACCACCCTTGTACCATTTGGGCTTACTCAGGCAGGTGAGCCGAGGGCTGGAACCTCAACATCTTAAGGATAAGACTAATCCCTAGTTGATTGGATAGAGGGGTGGTACTGGAACCATTAAGACGAATCACATTTCAGACTTAATTTAAACTAATGAAATGGTTCACTTCTCTTGCATTAGCAAATCAACATAATGTCTAAAATAATAAATGCTTTGCCAATCATTCCTGACTGTTTTCAATGTACCTTCTCTTTGATGTACAGTATCAATCTATTTTTGTCGCTATTTCCACCCAGTGTAGGAAGAGAAACAAGCTTGCAGTGTTAACCCACCTAATTCAGGCTATGAACCAAGCCAGGGTTTGTGGCTTTTTGTGGTTTATTGTGGAAAAGCTGAATGCTATTGCATGTGCCCCAACTGCTTCTGCTTCAACTTTCCCCTGGCGCAAGCAGAAGAAACAAATCAGGAAGATTTGCGCTCCTGTTATGTCTAAACCAGGAATTGCAGTTTGTTGCTTCCTAATGTGCTACAGTAAGCCAGCAACAAACCATGGTTTAAGGTTGGCTTGTTGTGATTGCTGCTTGTTAGGGAGAAACCAATAGCAACCTTTGGTTCAGATGTGCACACATACGCTGCTCACACTCAGTAAACCACGATAAACCAGAAACTCCCGTTTATCCTTTAGCGTTTCCCATCAGTGGGATTGACTCTGCAGGTAAGTTTCTGTAGAATTGTAGCCTTAAAAGCACTGTGATTATTTGAAATTTTATTTACAGCACAACTCTGTGCATGTTCATGTGAGAGTCTGAGTGTGTGCAACAGAGTGTGCTTCCAGGACTGCAGCTCCAGCCTTGCAGGTGTAATGGATCAGCCTTCCTCAGCTGGCTCCTCTTCAGAGGTTATGTACTAGTACTGCAACTCCCATCAGCCCCAGTCAACAGGCTGACCTGACCGGGGTGATGGGAGTTGTAGTTTCACGCAGGTTGCACTAGGCCATTGAAAAGCATTTTATATGGCGCCTCTCTGAGAAAGGGGAGCCGCTTTATGGCAGCGTGTCCTGCCCTGCGCTTCTGCTGACTCCCGGACCAGCTGGCAAAGAATCGAATCCACAACGAAAGCAACTTAAAGCATCATAAAAACAAGTCTGAGAGCGGGTGGCTTCGCTAGTCGTCTCGTAATCGCGGGTCCCCGGCCCCGCGCAGCGCCTGCCCGCTTCCTCGGAAGCTCCGCCCGGCTCGGCGGCGGACCTGCTGGCCTTTAGGACCCGCCCGGCTCCCGCCCGCCGCCCGCCCGCCCCGCCCGCGGCCAGCAAGTTGGCGGCGGACTCTCTTCCGCGCGGGACGCGGCCAGGGCCGCCTCTCCCCGCCCGCCCGCTCAGCGCCGCGCTCTCTCCCGTCTCTCCGCAGGGCTCCTCCCGGGCCGCGTCGTCCGGCTGCGCCGCTGCTGCTGCTGCTGCTCCGGCCTCGGCTGCCCGCCGGTGAGTAGGGGCGGGGGGGGGCCGGGGCGAGGAGTGGCGTCACCCCAGAAGCATCTGGGCCGGATCCGCGGCGGGGGGGGAGGAGCAGCATTTGGGCATTCAGGAGGCGGGGGGGGGGGCAGCTCCCTCTCTCGCCGAAGCTCTTTGGAGCGCGTGTACTACAGGTACCCAAAGGCTTTCCAACGCAGGACCCACTTTGAACCCGAACCTGCATCGGGGACCGAGTTCCGAAACTGCGTGGCGGCCGTGCTCCTGCCGGGGCTGGAGAATGAGGCTCTTAATCTCTGGGTGGAGGGTTCGAGCCCCATGGTGGGCAAAAGATTCCTGCATTGCAGGGGGTTGGACTAGATGACCTTCGTGGTTCCTTCCCACGCTAAAACTCACCTTGGATCAGGGCTCCCGCTGAAGACCACTGGCGGAGTATTAGTGCGGGCAGCACAGCTTTGTGGCGGGAGCTTGCAGAAGGGACCTTGCAGCCTTTGCCCAATGAAGCCTCTGTGATTAGGAGCAGAGTACAAACAGCAGTTTATTGGATGACAGCCCTGAAGTTTGGCGCTTTCAGACTGGGCTTGCCATACCTGCTCTTCAGGCAGTCGGGTTGTCTTGCTTCACTTACTTTGAAATGTGGCAAGCAGCCCCTCCAGCGCCTTCCCTTGGATGGCGCTCTGGATTCCTGCCCCTGGTGGCTACCAGCCAGGTAGAAGACGCCGCCCCACCTGAGCACCCCAGAGGCAACTGGCTCAGTGTTAGTAAAAGCAAAGCAGCATTTAGTAGAAGTGACGGCTCTTTATTTTATCTGATCCAACAAGACTTTTGTCAGAATCTATTCCTGTTGCACATATCCTGCCCCACAAGGAAAACAAGAAAGATAAGCCTGGGGTCATTTGCAAAGAGGAACCGTTCACTGGAGCACAAGAAGGTGTTTTATAGCAAGTAGCATTGTTTACTGACAGCTGCTCTCCGGCATTTCCGGCAGGGAATCTCTCCCAGCCCTGTCTGCACCTGGGCTCTTCTGCATGCCAAGCAGGTGCTCTGATCGCTGTGCCACAGCGCTCCTTCAACCAGCAGGCCTGTCTGGGATTGTGGGCGGACTGATAGGAAATAGAACCTGTGCACTGGACATGCCAGTTTCTAATTTGTGGAGTTTGTCTTAAGCAGCTGGCTGTATCTTGGCTTCCCTTTCTTACTCTTGGGTGCTTGCAGTTGGGGCAAAAGTGTGACAAGTCCCTATAAAAGGGTGTGGCTGTAGGAATATGGCAGTAGAAGAAACGCTGGCCTGCCACTCTTTGTCACATTCATCCAAGTCTGGAGGCAAGCTTGTTGTTGTGGCAGCTTATCGATTGCCACAGCCCTGCTTTAAAGAGGAGCCTAAGGGCTGCAGCTGTAGCCTCTCTGCATGTTTAGGAACCTTGCAAGGAGCCTATGCACTTCAGAGCATTTGCACACAGACATTGTTTCCACCACACACACACCCCGTCAGTGGCCCAGAGAATGGCACGGCTGCATGCTTTGGGGGTCTTGAAGATTAGTGGCAGGCCACTGTCCTGTGAGCCGCTCCGTTCTCACTTGGATGCATGGAGCACCCAAGAGAAGTCTGTTTGCACACCTGCCTCTTCCAGGACTAAGGAGCCCACGGAGGACGCCTTTTGTGAGGCAGGCCCCAAGCACTTTTCCGTCTGGGGTGGAGCAGCAGATGCCCCCCCCCCCCACAAGATCATGGTACCAAACCCAAGCTTGATCAAGTTATTCTGGCACCTGAAAATCCCTCAAGTGTCTCTCCTATGGGAGTGAAAAATAGAATAATAATAAAGCAAGTAACAATTTGCTGCCCTTTCATGTAAGCCCAAATCAGCTGTTCCATTCTCCGCAATGGTAGGGCTGGCCCTGGGAGCTCCCACCACCCACATTGCGGAGTAGCCAGCACTGCCGTTACTGTTAAAATTCAAGGTTCAATACCCCAACACATGTGCAAGAGATTTAATGATCACCATGAGGGAAACTTCTAGCTTCTGCCAAGTGGTCCTGTGACCCGTCTGCCCCATTTCACAGTCATCTGATGAGTTTGGATGAGAAGATGCTTTAGATTAGCTGAGAGTGACCCAATATATTTCTGGTCAGAAACCCAGATGACACCCCCACTACCCCACTTAATAAGGGGCATGATTCGCCAGTTCTCCTGCAAAAGTTGCATTGAAATTAATGAGGGCACTTTCTGTATGGGATGTTGCTCTTCTCTCTGCCTTTCTCAAGGGCATTTATCACCCTAAAACCTTATTGGGAAAACAGACAAAAGAATTTATTCCCAGCTCCAATCCACTTTTCCTTGCAGGCCCTACCATATTCTAGAACAGGCTTCCTTAACCTCGGCCCTCCAGATGTTTTGAGACTACACTTCCCACCATCCCTGACCACTGGTCCTGCTAGCTAGGGATCATGGGAGTTGTAGGCCAAAAACATCTGGAGGGCTGAGGTTGAGGAAGCCTGTTCTAGGGACTATTGTTGTTTGTTGGTGTTATTTTCTTGTTCTTCTAATGCTTCTGCTAGACTTGCATTTAAAGGATGTTTCGTATAGGATTGGCAACCTTGCTGCAGAGATAACTGATGCTGTTGAATTACAGTTCCCCTCATCCCTGGATTATTGGCCCTGCTGGCTGGGACTGAGAGCAGGAGGGCACCATGTTGTCTACCCCTGCCTTGTTGTGTTGTTTCCTTTTAAAAAAAACAAAAACTAAATATAATATGTAATGTGGTCAGAGCACATCACATGCACTATCTCAGGCATTATTATGACGACCCCATAAATAGATCAGTGTTACCCCCTACTACAGAGATGGGGGTTAAGGAAATTGCTTGCTGAAGGCTAGTTCACAAATTCATGGCTGAGAGAGTTCAAATGTTTAATAGCTTACTCTGTTAACCACTCTGCTTTTGTTGTTTGGCAGTGGAAATTTCATGGCTTTAGGCATTTCAATATATGCAGAAAAGCAACAGCACAAACACCCCAGGTCCCTCTAGAAATGGGTCTACCTGCATTCCTGATCATGTGCTCTTGGGGGGGGGGTCTCGTGTGTCTCTTGTACCCCAAGCAGATGGTGAGATGGATCTCCTGCTTATTTATTTAACAGCAGCCCCGGGAGGAGGAGGGAATGGCTTCAAATCAAGGCCATGGTGCTGAGGGAATCAATGGGGAAGGGACCCTTTCTCTTGTTCCTGCCCCCCAACAGAAATCCCCACTGAGCCAAAAGTGCTGTTTGCCCAACTGTGAATCTGCATAGTTACCCTGTGGGCAGCTTCCAAGGCAGTAGTTCAGTTTGGGTGAATTGGCCCAGGGAAAGGATTGGCTCAGCCTCTCCTCCAGGCTCCACCTGCGGCTGCCTTTAGATAAAGACAGAACCTGCTCTCAGGTCTCCCACCCCACATCTTCCAGGGGGGCCCTCAGCCTAGTTCCTCGCGTTTCCCCCTCCCACCCCCCCTGCTCACTTGGCCTGCAAAGGGGTTCTGCCCCTTTAAATACTAAAAACCGCTAAAGTTAAACTTCAGCAAAATAGCTGCTGCCTGCCAGACTCTTGTTGCCGCCTCAGTGCTTCCTGTTGAGCTTGGCCTCTGCTTGCCAAGACAGCTCCAGGGGCCCTGGGCTGGGAGAAGGATTACAGGCAGGCCCACCAGCCCTAGCGGGAAATGGGGAGGGACAGGGCTGGAAAGGACCTGGAGCTCCAGGCCTCTTGCTGCCTCGGACCTGCTTCTAAATGGACTTCACACAGTGCAGAGGAGACCAGGGATCCCCTCCCACAAGAGCAGTCATGGCCACCCACCGGGATGGCTTGAACAGAGGATTAGGGAAATTCATGGAAGATGGGGCTGTCAGTGGCTTGTAGCCACAGGGACAGTGGTCTGAATGCTCCTTCTAGGAATCACAGGTGGGGTGAGGGCCGCTACCCGGGGGTCCGGCTTGCAAGTTTCCCATAGATCACACAGTGCTGGACTTGGGCATTTGTTTTGATCCAGCAGGGCTCCTTTTAGGTCTTTAATTGCTGGTTCTTTGGTTGGCATCTTGTTTTTCTTCAGTTCTTACAGGGCAATCTTTGCCAACCTGGTACCCTCCAGATGTTTTAGGCCAGGCATAGGCAAACTTGGCCCTCCAGATGTTTTGGGATACAGCTCCCATGATCCCTAGCTAGCAGGACCAGTGGTCAGGGATGATGGGAATTGTAGTCTCAAAACATCTGGAGGGCCGAGGTTGAGGAAGCCTGGGTTGGCCAAAGCTGATATAGGACATGTTTCTCCTGTTTGAAAGAGCTGTGATGAAATCACAGGCGTGGGGTGATTCTGGCCAGATTCTGTGCGTGGAATGTGCAGAGACAGAGCAGGGCATCAGTGAACCAGTTTGTATCTCTGTGTTGTGGGTGTAGGAAATGTGGGAGGAGGCTGATTTGGACCGTTGTGCTTTATGTGGCAAGGCAGGGCTTCTGTCAAAAAAATAGTTTTGTGAATTCATTCAGAATATTAGATCTGTAGTAATTGATTCCCTCCCCCATTTGCTGTATTCCCCAATTAAAATCTTCCCTCTCCCTTCCAGCTGTTCTGTGCCCCACATGATAGCTATAAGTTTCCCTCTATGGAAAATAAGCAACTTGCAAGCTCATTTAAAGTACTGGAGAAAATATTAGAGATCAGGCAACGTCTTAAATGTTCATTAGCTGTGCAAACTAGCATTTCATTTCGATATCATTCATCTTCTAAGACAGGTATCTCATGCTGCTGCATCTGTCTCTCCTGGCCCTGAGAAATGGTGGAGAGGCCAGTTGACATTTGAGCTTGAAATAGAGAATAGCGACATATGCTTACACACCACACTTTTTATTGTGAGCTGTTGATATTCAAAGGAGATAAGTTACAATATATTTTAAATCATTTCTGGCCAATTTGAAAATTAGTGTAGAGTTTGAGCTGGTGTTTGAACTCAAGTTTGTTGAGTCACAAATTTGCATGCCAAAATAATATTAATTTACTCTGATTCAAAGATTATTGGCTGCAGCAGGTACACACCATTATAGAGAAGAAATCCCCATACTCTCATCTGCCCAACAAATGGCTGATTGGGTTGAGAGATCACAGGAGGTGGATCAAGTTTGCAAGGTTGCTTGAGTTCAAAATGTGAGAGAAATGCTGTGCTAAGCATGAGAACAGAATGATTTGTCCAAGAGCCTCAGCTGAAGGAATGATCTCCCGGGTCCATTTCCAAAATCCCCATTTACTCAGCCATGCACTCTCTCTCACTGTACCTCCATTTTTTCCAACCCAGCAGCCCTCTGCCTGACCGCAGCGCCTATCCTTCCACAGGACAAAGCCTCTCTGTGGTTCAGGGCCACTTACCAGCCAGCCCTAGAATGGAGAAAGGAAGTCCAGGCGTTGCCAGGAATAACTGGAACAGCTCTCCACCCAGGAATGGTATGGCTCCGAATTTGCATGTGCTCCTTATGGGAACTAGCAAAACTTCAAAGAGACTTACGGAAGTTCTTCTGATGGTGGAGATGTTCTTGTTCGCTTGGAAAATGCCGGTGTACCTTCCTAAGGGATGCTCTGGCTCCTAAAGCAGGATGCTTATTGTCCAGATCAGAGCAGCCGTTGTCACTGTGAGTGGGGGGATCTGTGAGAGCTAAAGCCCCTCTCTGAGTATGGAATTGTGGGCATTGGGTGCACTCTGTATGTTTGCACACAACAAGCGCTGTGCAGGTGCGCCCTTATTGCTGTGCCATTGACGGAGGAACCGAGGTGGTTCAAGCGTTGTGGCAGGGGGAACATACACTCCATGTCAGAATGTAAGTAGGAACTGCATCCTTGAAAGCTTCCCATATTCAACAACTCCCTGCAGCTGGAAAGGTAGCATATCAAGGAGAAGGCTCACCTAGAACCCTCCTTTCAGATATGCTAGATTTCTACATGTAGGGAAATTTGTTTTTTTAAAAACCTTAGACACCCACATCTTCTATCTTCATTATGAAGTGGTTGGTCCTAAGAGAACTATCTGAGCCACATGCCCTCTCACAAATGTTTGAATCTGCTCAGAGACGTATATGTGGGAAGTGAACCACCTAAGTATGTAACAGAACTAAGAGTAATACCAATTCCTCCTTTTTTCCACCATGATGCCCAACCCACCCACTCACCAAGGCCTGGCTTGCTAATACCCCTTGCTAATAAGATGCACCCAAGTCTACAAACATTTGGTTTGAAATCCTTAGTTTGTGTTGGAAATGTATCTTAGTTATGGCTGATGGCCAGCTGTTCTACTGCCTAGGGCCAGATTCATACTGAGAGGAATGTGAGGCTTTAGCTTGCCCAGTAGCCTTTCTCTTTAACCCTGAGTGCATGCGGACTAGATTTAGTGATTCAGTCGTGAAGGCAAAACACTCTGCACATGCCTAGACGTACTCATCTCTAGCTATCTCACAGCTGCTTGCCATGTTCTGAGGCCTAACCTTGAATTTTGACTTCCAGAAGTGTGCTATGGTTCAAGTTAAGTTCTGCCTTTTCTTCTGACTTTGACCACCACAGTCCTCTGAATATATGTGAGCATTCCTTTGTGGGGAACACTGTTATCCAGCTGTTGTCTCGTTCTTTTCACACAGATCCTCTGAGACTTGTTGGGATAAGCCCCTTTCTTGATTCTTCAGAAATTGTCTTGGATAGTCCCCCAAAGAGAGATGAGAAGAAGGTGAGATGTGGCTTCCACCCAAGAGGAGATGGATGACGGGTTTTGTTTACACACCTGGACTGGGTTTATCATTGGACATCTTTGCACGAGACATAAATTCATTTAGCACATATTCCATCTCCTGGGAAGCCCTGCGGGTTGCAGTTCTGTGAGAGCCTTTCAGACACTGTAGCAGATAATCTTCTCCATGCTACAATCAATTCCCAATATTTCTTGCTGGAAACTTTGACTATTGGAACTATTATAATACAGTGGTACCTCGGGTTACATACACTTCAGGTTACATACGCTTCAGGTTACAGACTCTGCTAACCCAGAAATAGTACCTCGGGTTAAGAACTCCTCTTCAGGATGAGAACAGAAATGGCGTGGCCCCATTAGCTAAAGTGGTGCTTCAGGTTAAGAACAGTTTCAGATTAAGAACGGACCTCCGGAATGAATTAAGTACTTTACCCGAGGTACCACTGTACCATTAGGAAATGGTAATGTATATATAGCTACTTTTATGGTCCAATTTCCCCTCAAACCAGGCTAAATTTCTTAAACATAATGAGCTGTGCCCAATGTTCTCTGTACAACAGCTGCACTAGCAGGAACACGTTGCACAACAAAGTTATCAGCAACCTCCTTATTCTGTTGGTGCAAAATATTTTGCCAGGGAAACAAGCATACCTCTAAGTGACTTGTAACGTAGTGCCAAATTGGATGCAACCACTTAAAATATTCTTAAATATCTTAAAATGTTAGCTCCTATGTCATCTTAGTGTAAATTGTTAAACATCATCATCATCGTCATCATCGTTATTATTACATTTTATAACCTGCCCTTCATCCACAGATCTCTGGGCAGTTCACAATATAAAAATACAGGATAGAAGCACAAAATAAATAGTTAATATAAAAACAAAACAGAACTTTGTTTTCCTTGTAGCATATGCTGCTGCTCTGAGCAATGGGCCATATTCATACAAATGGTTGGTTTGGACCAGCAAATCATTAATCTGCTGCAACTTCTGTTCTTCTCCCACTAAGAGCAAAATTGAATTGATGAGGGACGAATGCAGCAGGCTTTACTTTAAAGAGGATTATGCACCCCAGTCTTGTGGGGCTTTCTGGCAATTACCAGTTTAGGGCCAGTCCAGCTGTCCACCCTTGATAGGAATCCTTCCTTTCTGAAAGTGAGGCACAATGGAAGAGAATCCGGGAATCTTTTGCAGGAATTTGGTCAGGACAAATCCTCTCTAGCTGGGAATGTGAGCCTCGTTTCGTTTTTACTCCAAGGGTTGCCTGTGGCTTAGTGAGTCTTGTTCACTTCTGGCACTCGTGATTCAGGCCAGAGATTTTCAATGCCATTATTCACTTGGTTTTGTGTTGTGCTGGCAAGATGCCCAGATTCCCTTTTAAAACCTGATGGCTTTGAATTGCATCTTTTAACTCCATGTCTCCTTTTAAATAGTTTTCTCCTCTTTCCAGATGAAAGCTGCTCGGCTCAAATTTGACTTCCAGGCAGAGTCGCCAAAGTGAGTCGCAATACTGGTAACCTTTTGGCATTCACACAATGCTTGGGTCACTTGGCATCCTCATTATGATTTTTAGTCATCATTGTTAATTAATGCAGCACCATTTGCTTCAGAGTTGGGGAACCTGTGGCCCTTCCGATGTTCTTGACCATTTGCTGTGCTGGCTGAGGTTGATGGTCCAAAAACCTATGGGAAGCCACCGGTTCCCCAGGCTTGCTCTGCCAGCAAAGAAAGTCAGAGCTCTGCCCTGGGAAACCTGACACCAAAAGACAACAGAAGAGAGACAAAAGGAAGGGCGGAAAGGCTGAGGCAAACAATGAACATGATCAGGTGCAGTTTCATGTTCTTAGGTTTTTGTTTCTTACACTCCCTAAGGCTTAATTTCAGGTGGGAATAAATTTAAGTCAAAGGGCTTATGAGAAGAGTGGGATCTGAGGACAGATTTGAAGTGGGAGAGAGAAGTGGCGTTGTGAGCTGCAAAGGGTGGGTGTGCTGTTTCACGAGTTCGCCTCCTGATCCGTATCCTCTCTCTGTAAAGAGTTGGTGTCAGCAACTCGAAGAGGAGGCAATTTGTCCAATTGAAATGAGCAACTTTAAGGAGAGAATATTCCTAATGAAGGTCCATGATGCATCTCTGACAGTGGGACATTGCCGTTTGATTTTTCAGGGAACTGACTTTGCAGAAGGGTGACATTGTCTACATTCACAAGGAAGTGGATAGAAACTGGCTGGAAGGAGAACACCATGGCAGGGTGGGCATTTTCCCCACCAACTATGTAGAGGTAAGTATACCTTGCTATTCCAGGAGAAGGCTTCATTTGATAAACTGAATACGTTTTTGTTCAGTATGTAGAAGAGAAGGGAGATAGCAGAATTTTTTTAGCAATCTGGACCTCCATCTGCTTTTAGATACAGGCAATGTTAGTGGTAGTGGGAGAGGGTCTCATGTGCAGCAAAAATGTCCTCTATTTTTGTTTCGGTCCCATTATTTTGCTAATAATAATAATAATAATAATAGGATCACTAACAAGAGTTCCAGTTTTCTGGGTATTAACATAGCACTATCAGTGCATAAGGTGGTTTATAGAGTAACACAAACAAATGCCAGGTCCCTGCCCCAAGCAGCTTACAGCCTAAATTCAAGCAGCTCTGGCAGGGGGAAGAGGGCAACAAAGGGAGGGAGATTCACAAGGGACAAAGTGAACCAGTGCTGCTCTGAATACTTTGATCCCCCTCGTCTGTGTGGTCTGACAGTGGCTCTCCAGTGTGGCCTTGGGAGTCTTTCCCGGCTGGATCTGGAGATACTTGGAGGATTGAACCTTTTGAGTGCAAAGCAGGGGCTCTGGCATGGAGCAGCCGTCCCTTGAGTTGGGCAATGAGGACTAAGGGGTTAAGCCAAGAGCTTTGTAATAGTGGAGGTTTTGCGCTAAGCTTAGAAGGAAGGAAGAGAGGTGGCCCCCTGTAGCATCCTGCAAGAAGTGGATATATAAAAAGAAAAATAACAGGCAGAGTGTTTCAAAGCAAAGGAACAATGTTTTCATACAGGACACAGATAATCTGTAGAATTCAACTGCCATGTGTACCTTTTTGAAGGCCACTATTAATATAAGCTAACAAACATTCGGGGTGGGGAGGACAACGAGTACTAGAGTGGGGCACAGAGTATTCCCACCCCCTGGTGGGGTGGGGTGAAGGTTGGGCCCCACAGAGTGTTAGGGGAAGAGAAAGTCTTTGTTTCCACAGTAATTGTATCTTCAGATGCACCACTTAATTTTCCTTTAGGTGGTAGCCATTCACTCCTATGGAGAAAGCATCTGAGCAGTCATGTGCTTAATCCTGCTTCTGGGGCTCCTAGAATTTGGGAAGGAGGATCTGGTTTTGCTCCTTACACAGCACACTTGCCAGTAGTAGCCTTTTCTGTTTTGACTCACTAAATGTAAGCCATTAAGGGGGTCTGTGATCTATTCCTTGTTCTGATGTTAAGTCCAGTGATGGAAGACTTGGAATTCACTTATTTGCATGTTTTTGGGAAGCCAAAGTCATCCCACACATCTGTTATGGCACACAAATATGGGGATCTCTTCAAAAAATGAATTTGGAAAAACCTTAGAATAAATATATTTGTGCCATTTCTGAGCTCCCCAAGGCAACTGAGTCTTTCATTCTCAGTTTGTTCAGTGAAGGCCAGCGTGCATCTCCTTGACTAAAAGTTTAAAAAGGGGATAGGGCCCATTTTAGTACTTTCTACTTTCAATGAGATGTTGAGTCTTAGCCATTCCATTGGAATCAGGAAATGCTACCAGTTATTGATAAGTATGGCCTTTCTTTGGGCAGTCTGAGTTCATTAGACTTTGAAATAGCATCTCACCGCATGAAATCTCATATTTTAAAGCATGATTTTTGTGCTGATTGCACTTCTGCCTGTCTGTCCAAATGTGCCCCTTTGTATGCCAGACCACCCATTCAGATGCCTTGCCCTCACTCTGCAACCTGCATTGCAGATATCCTATTTGTAGCCCTGGGGCTCCAGTCTGTGCCGTAGCTGAAGAACGCTATAGCCCCGTCCCCTATGAGGATTTGCCTGAGGATTTGCACTCACTACTTGCTGGTTTGCCCAATCCACGAGGATTTAGGAGCAGCCTTGTTCAAAGATGTAAATCTCCCAGTGGGGTATTCAGTTAACTTTTACAGTGGTACCTTGGGTTACATATGCTTCAGGTTACATACGCTTCAGGTTACAGACTCCGCTAACCCAGAAATAGTGCTTCAGGTTAAGAACTTTGCTTCAGGATGAGTACAGAAATCGTGCTCCGGCAGCGCAGCAGCAGCAGGAGGCCCCATTAGCTAAAGTGGTGTTTCAGGTTAAGAACAGTTTCAGGTTAAGAACGGACCTCCGGAACGAATTAAGTACTTAACCCGAGGTCCCACTGTATTAAGAAACAGATCTCCCTACACCTTTGAGAAAGGGGCCTGCTGTGCCTTTAAGGAGAAATGTCTGTGAGGAGGATAAGTTAGATTCTTCAGGGGAACAAACTCTTACCTGACAGAATGTCTGGCTTTAATAATTATTTTAATTGTGTAATGTACTTTATTTTGTTTTATGTACCGTATTTTTCGCCCCATAGGACGCACTTTTTCCTCTCCAAAAATGAAGGGGAAATGTGTGTGCGTCCTATGGGGCGAATGCAGGCTTCGCTGAAGCCTGGCGAGCAAGAGGGGTCGGTGCGCACCGACACCTCTCGCTCTCCAGGCTTCACGCAGATCTCCGCAAGCCGTGGGAGCCCGCGCCGGGCTCCCGCTGCTTGCGGAGAGTTGCCTGTTCTGGGGGCTGGGGTCGGGGGAAGCTCGGGCTTCCCCCGCCCCAGCCCCGCGCCTGGGGGGAAAATATTTTTTCCCCCTTTATTTCCCCCCCAAAAAACTAGGTACACCTCATGGGATGGTGCGTCCTATAGGGCGAAAAATACGGTATTTTATATTTTGTAATGACTTTGGCTTGACTGACTGAATAGATGAATGAATGAAATGTTGGCACGGGATTCATGCAGAGGCTGTGGAATTCCAGGCACGCCAAGGAGTGGGCCAGTGGAGGGAGAGGCAAGGCACTCCATCCTCTTCTGCACCCAGCACAGGCTGATGGAGGGGAGAGAGGCCCCCCTTCTTCAAACAGCAGGGGTGGGGAAGCTTTTTTAGGCCAAGAGGAACGTTTCTTTCTGGGCTACAACAAGGGAGTGGTGGGCAGGACCAAAAGCAGAACAAGGGCAGAATGATAGACGTTAACTCTCCCCCTGTGCATTAGGCTAGTTCCTACACGTAGTCTCTCTCTCTCTCACACACACACACACACACACACACACACACACACACACGTCCTCTTTCGAGGCAAGCAAGATGCATTATCAGAGTTCAGGGACACATTCTAGGCAGTTAAAGACATTCAAGAAAGGGTACAAAGCAAGTCAGTGAGGGGTGTGGCCTGAGGCGAGTCCCAAAGGCCAGAGAGAAAGAGAGAGAGACCTGGACAGCCACACTTGACCCCTGGACTTAAGGCAAACAGCACAACATGCAGCAAATTGCTGGAGACGGAGGAAAGGACCACTCGGTCCCTTCTCTGCAGCCCCTAGGAGACTGGTAAAATCTTACAAACTAGTAACTTGTGTGGGCTTATTTGCAGAGCAGGACTGAATCGAGAACCACTTGTGCCATGCCGCTGCTTGTCTTCCCAATAGGTCCTGCCTCCAACAGAAATCCCCAAGCCGATCAAATCCCCCACCATCCAAGTCCTGGAATATGGAGAAGCGGTAGCTCAGTACAACTTCAAGGGTGACCTGGCAGTGGAGCTGTCATTTCGGAAGGTACAAAACGAAGCAAAAGAACGGGGGTTGGGTGAGGGTGGGAGTGGGAAGCCCAAAGATGGGCAGAGAGAGGAATTCCAGCTCAGGATGGGGCCAGGGGCAAAGGGCGCCAAAGCCTGCTGCCCCCCCTGCCTCGTGGGCTCCAGGCCAACTCAATTCCTCTCTAACAGATGTTCAGTTGTCTGTTTCTGCTTCTCATAAAACTGAGCTCCAAGACAGCCAGTGACATTTTAGTGCCTCGGGCAGAAGATCCAAACGGCGTCTCCCATGGTGATGAAAAATGTAATAAAAATGCAATAAATTGACAATTTCAGTGCCCCTTTTCATGGTAAACCCCCAAATCTGTTTTCACAGGCAGACCACCTCCATCTTGTCTAACAGCAGAGCCGGCCCTGACTGGGCTATTAATATTCTGCTTGCTGTTGCTGACTCACTCCCACCAAACCCCATCCACATCCCCAGAAAACCTCTGGGAGTTCTGCACGAAAGATAAACTAGACAAAGAACATTTTGTATAGCTTGCTTGAATGTGAATTAGATTTTACATAATTTACAGGCTTTGTTCTGACCCTTTTTTTGGAGTTGGTGCTTAATTTGGTGGCATTTTACAAAGTGTAACAGGGTAATAGCAAGAAAAAAGATACGGGAAAGTGGAGTTTTTATGTGACAAAGACTCTTGGCTGGACGCAAGGTAAGATGGAGGGACAGGTCACTCTGCAGAACTGAGATGTGCTGTTCCTAAATACAGGATTTTTTATGGATGCTGCCTGAACATGTGTCACACTCAATAAGGACTAGAAACTTGTTGTTTTTACAAAAAGAAACTCATCTATTTTGCAGAGAAGCCAAAATTTTGCATTGATTGGCAATTAAGGTATCACAAGGAGAAACCTTGTAAAAATACGGACTTCCAAATATGATTCCCCCTCCCCCAATGTTAGACCTAGTTTTTCGTAATTTCAGCTGGATGCTGGTTCAGCCAATGATAAAGTCAGTTTTGTTGTTGCTGGACTGAGCTATGAAATTGAGCTAGGTCCTCTGATGGACTCAAGGGCATCCTGATCAAATTTGCAGATGACACCAAACTGGGAGGGGTGGCTAACACCCCAGAGGACAGGATCACACTTCAAAACGACCTTGACAGATTAGAGAACTGGGCCAAAACAAACAAGATGAATTTTAACAGGGAGAAATGTAAAGTATTGCACTTGGGCAAAAAAATGAGAGGCACAAATACAAGATGGGGACACCTGGCTTGAGAGCAGTACATGTGAAAAGGATCTAGGAGTCTTGGTTGACCACAAACTTGACATGAGCCAACAGTGTGACGCGGCAGCTAAAAAAGCCAATGCAATTCTGGGCTGCATCAATAGGAGTATAGCATCTAGATCAAGGGAAGTAATAGTGCCACTGTATTCTGCTTTGGTCAGACCTCACCTGGAGTACTGTGTCCAGTTCTGGGCACCACAGTTCAAGAAGGCCACTGACAAACTGGAACGTGTCCAGAGGAGGGCAACCAAAATGGTCAAAGGCCTGGAAACGATGCCTTATGAGGAACGGCTATGCGAGCTGGGCATGTTTAGCCTGGAGAAGAGGAGGTTAAGGGGTGATATGATAGCCATGTTCCAATATATAAAAGGATGTCACATAGAGGAGGGAGAAAGGTTGTTTTCTGCTGCTCCAGAGAAGCGGACACGGAGCAATGGATCCAAACTACAAGAAAGAAGATTCCACCTAAACATTAGGAAGAACTTCCTGACAGTAAGAGCTGTTCGACAGTGGAATTTGCTGCCAAGGAGTGTGGTGGAGTCTCCTTCTTTGGAGGTCTTTAAGCAGAGGCTTGACAACCATATGTCAGGAGTGCTCTGATGGTGTTTCCTGCTTGGCAGGGGGTTGGACTCGATGGCCCTTGTGGTCTCTTCCAACTCTATGATTCTATGATTCTATGAACCTACTGGGTGCTAGAGGAAATCTGGCAGCTTCCTCCCGACAGACCATCAGCACTGCCCAGTTTGGACTTAGCATTGCTCTGAAGTTTCCATTCTCAGCATACCTTTATCTGTTAAGCAGTACATTCCCAGCAGGATCGTGGGTGACCCTTATTTTCTAGGAAAAGCTGGGAGCCCTGAAGACCTGGAATTACCTGTGTCACATGATCAGATCCCTTTGATGCACCAGGAAGTTCCTTTGGGGGCAAACGCTTCTGCGGTGCATAAACCTACATGAAAGTTGGGTGCAGATTGCAATGTGTAAAATCACTGGTGAGGGGTTTGACTGTTGTGTTTTGCTGCTTAAACACGCTGTGTACACTTGCAGGGAAGACCAACCAGTTGTGATCTCCTGGCAAGCATGCACAGGAAAGCAACAGTATAGGTGCATATGCTTATTGTGTGATATTCTACGTGTGGGTTTCACAACCTCTTAACCACTCCATGTAGCCTGTCCAGAGTGTGCCTCCCACCCCGTAATGTCACCAGCTGCAAGAAAGAGTCCTAGGTTTAAGAGGCCATGTGGTGTGTTGGTCAGAGTGTCAGACTAGGACTGGAGAGAGCAGCTTTCACATCCCCTCTCAGCCTTGAAGCTTTCTGGGCCAGGCACTATCTCTCAGCCTTGGCAATAAAATGGGGGTGTGCATGCTCCACAGAAAACAGGTGGGATATAGATAGATAGATAGATTAGATATGGGTTGTTGTTTTAATGAGCAGTGTCCTTAGTGTTTCAGGAGACAGCTGTCGCCTGTATGACGATCATAGGAAGGACTATCTGGGGGTGATGCTGCTAAACCTTTCAAGGTACCAAACGGGACAGAAGAGTGGAGCAGAACCGCAAATGCTTGGGCTGGAAGAGCTTGTGGGTCTGTCAGGCTCCAGCTTTAAATTAGTCTCTTGTAAAAGTGCAGGAAACAACCACCTGTCAGAAATTCTTCAGCTGGAATTCCTGCATTGCAGGGGGCTGGACTAGATGACCCTTGAGGTCTCCTCCAGCATTACATTTCTGTGAAATCTCTTAACCAGGCCAATTAGTCAGCCTCAGGAGCTTCCTTGTGCTGATCTTTCCTTCTCCTCCTTTCCAGGGCGAGCGCATCTGCCTGCTTCGCAGGGTGGACGGAAACTGGTACGAGGGCCGCATCTCTGGCACCAACCGCCAGGGCATTTTCCCAGCCAACTATGTGCAGGTGGTGAAGGAGCCAAGAGTGAAGAACTCGGAGGAGTTTCCTTCCTCTCCAGGCCTGCGGGCCTCTTCTGGCTCCCCGTCCCAGCCACACTCACCCGGCCTGAGCACCAGGGGGCAGCTCAACACCTCCCCGTTGGGCCTGCGGGGCTCCCTGGCCACAGATGCGCTGCGTTCCTCCAGCCACTCAGGATTCACTTTCCCTGCATCCCCCAAGTTCGAGCACCCAGAGGCTGTGCCCCGCAGGCCCCAGAGCACAGCCAGAGCCGCCTCCTTCAGTCCCCACAGCCAGAGCCCTGTCAAAACATCCAGCAGCAGCAGCCCATCGCCAGCCTCATCCTTCCAGGTTCAGGAGCCTGAGCAGCCTGCTGCCCCCACCTTGGCTCCACAACCACGAGCCGTCTTCCCACCGCAGGTGAGGCCCTGGCTGCTCCCCTCAATTCTCCTTTCCTTTCCCCCCAACCTACAGTGGTAGGTACCCACCATATCCTTGCTTTGCAAGCAGTTTGAAGACCCCGGACCAGCTTTGCAATGGGCCTCCTATGTCAGTGGACACTCGGTCATGAGTGAACTTGGCCTTGACAGTGGCAGGCAGCCATTTAAATTCCCCCCACCCCACCCACACACCCCGCCAATGTAGCACCAATCCAGGCATTGTGGGAAACTAAAATGGCGGCCAGAGACCCAGGACAGGCCTTGGTGCTGGTAAGCCCTGCCCAGGTGCTGGGGCTTCAGCTCCCAAGGGTGCTGCCGTGAAGGCCTGAGAAGGGATGTCAGAGAGGGCAAATGCACTTCTGTTTTAGAGGAAGCAGAAACAACATCTGTCCTCAAAAAGCTGATCTTTAAGGGCAAAGATTCCATTTTCTGTGTTAAAATGAATAATGTAAGCTGGAGAGATGGTAATATTCTGTCTCCATTCCTACAGACCCTCATGGCTGTTGGCCTTCACTCAGCCACCAGCACTTTTGAAATTCCATGTCTGCCCCATGTCTTGGGGCTCAGTCCACCCGCTACAAATCCACCGAACAGTAACATAATCTAGCCCAGGTGTTTCTCAGCTTCTCTGTAGTGCTTCTGCAGCAGACCAAAGGCATTATGGTTCCTAAGTTTGCTTAAGGTCTCCAGGTGCAGTCCCTTCCTCCCTGTCTCCATGCCTAAGAGGCAGCGTGTCCCCATTTTACTTCCATTAGCCTTAGATTAATGGCACTTCCCGCCCAAGGGCTCAGGACATGGTGCCATTGCTCCCCCCTCCCAGCTCTGTCCTCCCCACGGCTTCCCCTTTCCCTCTTCCTTTCTCCACAGGCAGCGGCTCCTGGAGCTTCCCAGCCACGCAGCCCTGGACACGTCTCTTCATGTGCGCCCCCCTCCAGTGTGCAGTGGACCCTGTAAGTGAGGCTGGTGACGAGGGCTGGGAAGTGCAAAGCGGGGGTGGGGAGTTTTGCTCCTCCGCCTGGCGGCTGGCCAGGCCCCTCCCTCCCTGTGCAGTGACCCATGGGGAGGGCTGGCTGCAGACGGCCCCCTGGGGTGCCAGCCAGGGACAGGGTCCGGACTGTGGCTTGGAACAAGGCCCTTTTTCAGAGGGGCTTGCACAGCGCATGAGGAAGCGAAGCCTCTGGCTGCTCTACCTGTGCCTTGGCTGGCCTTTCCAGGCGTTGCAAACTCCTGCTGGAGAAGACAGAGACAGCTCAGCATCTCCCAGTGGCAGCACTCCCCCCCCCCCGTCAGGAGGGAAGGCGATGGGGCGGAGGGCAGCCCAGAGTGTTTGCCTCGGCACATTCCTTTTCCATGTGCAAAGCACAGTTCACTGGCTCTGATCCACACAGCCTGCAGAGTGGAAATGGGAAAGAAAAATGTCCTCCTTATTCTTTGATTTGCTTTTTGAAGTGTTTACTGTTTGAGGCACATTTCTTTTTTTAAAAAAATACACATCTTTTATTTATTTGTATTTAATTTATGATTTATGATTACCCCCCCCCCCCGAGCTCAAGGTGGCATGCCTTGTTTTCCCTCCCCCTCCCTCCATATTTTATCCTCTCAACAACCCTGTGACGTCAGGCAGGCTGAGAGCTGGTGACTGACTCCAAGGTCAGCCAGGGAACTTCCTGGCTGAGGGGGGATTTGAACCCTGGTTTCCCAGCTCAAGGCCAACATTACACCGGGCTGTGCTGTCACTTAAATAAATCAGGAAGGAATTGGGCTCACGAAGTGGCTTCTGTTTTTCAGATACCAGGCTCTCTATCAGTACAGACCCCAGAATGAGGATGAGCTGGAACTTCATGAAGGGGACCACGTGGATGTCATGCAGCAATGTGATGATGGCTGGTTTGTGGGTGTGTCTTGGTGCTATAATTTATGGGACAGGGGAGGACTGTACAATCCTAGCACTGGGAAGTGGGCTGGGGCGTATGCTGCTTTTCTGGGGCTTTGTTATGGCCTTGCAGGTCTCCTTTCCCTCCCCCCCTGGCCACCAATAGCCCTAGGAACAGGCTGTTGTGACACCGGCTGCTTTTGCATGCCAGGCTTCGTGTGAAGGTGGTGGCTGCCAAGGAGGGAACCACAGCAGCTCCGCTCCTCCTTGGGCTTTTGAGGTCAGCCCATCACAGCATGGAAGCCAAGGTTTGGCTTATAAGGCATGTCATCCAAATCTGGCATCTTTGCTCAGTTCTCTCCTTCTTAACCACAATCTGTAGCCAAGGTTTATCCTATGGTTACAGGTCATGGTCAAGAAGGAGAGATTTTAACTGTGATCCCAAGTTTGGACAATATGCTAAGCCTAACCTTGGCTTCCCTGCCATCGTGTGCCCAGGGAAGAGCAAAGTGGGTGCCAGCGCTCTCTGGGAGCCAGCACATTTGTCAGGTCATGGTAATCCATACTTTGTCTTGCCATGATGCGCAAGCCATGCCAGAGTATCAGTATCAGACAGACCTCAGTTTCAAGTATCAAACTCAGCATTTGGCTTGCAGGAATGTGATACCTGTAGAGTATGACACTCTACCCTTGCATCTCTATGGTGCAAACTTTTTACCTGGCACTGGTCACTGCCCACATGCCCATGTTTTAATTGGAGCCTAGAAATGGCAGAAAGTACATTGGAACTAAGGTCCCTTCATTTTCCCCTGTGTTCACCCATTGAATAGTCCAGCATGGTGTGGGTGATGTAGAATCATTACCCTCCAGATCATGCTCTTGAGTAGCTGCAATAGAGCCAAAAGTTCCGGAAAGGCCCCGAAAACAGGATGTGGAAGGACATAACTGTGGCCAAAAAAGCTGGTGCTTCAGAGTGAAGAGTGAATTAGTGCAGTGAATTAGTGCTTCCTTAGAGGCCAATGTTTATTTCAAAAGGTTTTTTCAGGACACTCCTGGGAAAGGTTTCTACTGCAGGGTGGGCAACCTTGAGCCTCTTTCCTTCATCAGGGATTCTTGTTTTGCTTTTGTTTGTACCTTAGGTGTCTCTAGAAGAACACATAAATTTGGCACTTTCCCTGGGAATTATGTTGCCCCTGTGTGACTGCTCCTCGACCAACCCCTTGTGTGCCAAGTGGAAACTGAATCTGCTGCTCTTGTATCCGGTTTCCTTGGAAAGATGCCCCACAATCTGTAGACAAGGAGCAAAAAGAGGTGGTCGTGTGAGAGCCAGCCTGGAGCCCAAGTTCTGTTCAAGGAAGGTCTTGCTGCTTGTACCCTGGAGTTCTCTGTTCCTTGACCACCGCCTTCCACTTCTGTGTCTTGGCTTCCTTGTACAGGGTGATCACACTCTTATTTCCCCCACCCTCCAGTATTTATGAAGCATCATTATTTCAAGCCTTTCTGTGACAAGCAAGAGACTCAGGCTAAGCAGACAACGCAGATAACCTCCTGGGCTCTTTGCTAGCTGTGGCCCAACTGAGTTTCCTCTTTGTGGGCAAATCTGGGAGTGCCAGCCCTTCTGCCAGCTCTCATAGCAGCAGTGCAAGGTGGAGATAGGATTGGGACCCTGTGATTGCCCTGCATCAAATCTCCAGAAAGATCCTGCTTCCTTGCAATAGACCACAAACACTGCTGTGGTGTTCTGCAGACTCTGTAACCAATGTCCCACCACAACTGAAGAGTTGACGGCGCTCTCTGAGCACCCACAACCTTCTCTGTGTTCCATGGGAATCCATGGACCCTGCCTAGAGGAGGCTGCTCCACCAAGTGTATGCAAGGCCGCGTGGCTACCAGTAGTAACATTTTTGTACCCTGCCCAACTTCCCTCAAAGGCTTTGGCTGCTGGAGGTCCATCTAAATGGTCTCTCCATCTAAAGGATTCATTTAGAACTTTGATCAAAATAACTTCCAATCATTCCTGTGAGTGGATGCACTATCTTGCTTGTGTTAAACTAAAAGATGTGATCACTTGGAGAGTTAGCAGATTCCTAGGGCTACTCTGCAGCTAGAGCACACTTTGAGCATTCCTTTAGCCTAAACTCTCTGTCTTTACTTGCAGTTCATCTTCATCCTCCTCCTCGCCTAATTTTGAGCACCTGCTACAAAGGGTTTAATATTGATACAATTGTTGGGGGTCAAAGGAAGGAAGTGAAGGGGAGAATTCAGTCCTGTTACGGTTACTGACATCTGTGCTAATTGACCCCAACTAAGAAGCAGTAGTGGTTACTGCTTTTGCATAAGTGCCCATTGTCCACAGCTCCTCTCTGAAGATGCATCTCATTCCTGCCCCCAGCAGCAAATGCCAGACACCGTTGGAGACCCGCAGGACTCCTATCCTGGCATTAGAAATCTGGGCCTGTTTGTAAGTTGCCTGTATCCTGCCTTTAATCTCCTTGAACTTTCCATTCTGGCAGTCTCCTTTCACCTCCAAAGTCAAGGGTCAAGACCGGAGGGAGATTTCTAGGTCTAAAGATATTCTCTAGTGGCTAGAGTAGCCGCAGCTTGAGCTGTTCTCAAACTTCTAGGGGTATGCAGCTGGTGAGGCAGAAAAAAACAGAGGAAAGAGACAGTGGGGGATTGTATTGGGCCAAGAACACTGTGACATCTATGTCTCCTGCAGCCTCTTGCACAGTGCTAACAAAATTGTCCTCCACACTGCAGCAGAACAGCTGTGCAAGTTGAGAGAGTCCCACCCGTGGAGAGAAGATGTGCAGGTTGAGACCAGCCCTGGTGGAGTTGAGTCTCTGCTCTAGGTAAACAACAGGGGCTGCCTTTTGTTTTTAAGAAACATGGTAGCAGCACCTTGCAGGTTCAGACTCAGCATCTTGGCTCAGTGGTTTCCAGACTCTTTACCTTCAAGGAAGCCTTTCCTGCTGCATATGCCACAGAACCAGCACATAGCAAAGGACCGTGGCGCATGCCCAAGTTCACTGGTCCTCCCTGTCATGAGGCAGTGAGGCAGCTGCCTCAGGTGGCAGATGCTGGAGGGGCTCAGCAATGCCCTTCATGGGATCGGAACTGTGTGTGCCATAAGCCTGCCCTAAAGTAGCTTGCTTTCATCAGGTGAGCACTGTGCAGGATGTGATCCTCTTGCCAGTCTTAGGCAGTTTAGACACCATACCTTTAAAGCACCCCCCCAAAAAATCATGGGAACCATAGTTTACCCCTCAAAAGCTACAATTCCCATCACCTTTAACAAGCTGGTTTCCAGGATTCTTTTTTTTTGGGGGGGGGGGGGAGGCAGAATCATGGAATTGTAGAGTTGGAAGAGACCCTGTGCTTCAAATGTGCCTTAAATGTATGGAGTGTGTACAGCCTCAAAATGCGATTCAGGTGCCTCACTGAAACATAGTCCTGGTCCATTCAGCTTCTGTATGTGGAACGAGGGGGGGGGCACCAGCGTCTTGTTTGTCTCCAGCAGCAAAGTGTTGGGGGCAGCCCTGCTGTCAACCCATCACTCCCTTGAAGCAGCACTTTTGCAAGGGGAGTTTGGTAGAGACGGCAAATCCTCTTGTGGGAGAGCTCATCTCTCTTCTCTCTCACAACTTGGGAGGAACCCCAACCACCACTATTTGAAACAACCTCATCTAGCGTTTTGGATAAGACTGGGTCTCCTGACCTGACACATCATTCGGAGATGTGTTGTGCCTGCGCTGCACAGCACCACTGAACTTGGTCAGCTTGGAGGAGGCGAGTGGCTGTCTGGTTCGCTCTGGGACAAGAGAGTCCTTGATATTATTGCCTATACAGCTTGTCCTGCCAATAAAATGTCACTGATCTAAAGTCAAGTGTGACTCTTGCCGTGTTGTTTCTAAAGCGTCCACAGATTGAAGATCCCACAAAGGCAGAGAGCAAGAGAGCACTATCTTAAATGGCTAATTTTGGGAGCCCTGACGGGTGGGAGATAGACAAATTGACTCTAGAAGCCCTGTCCCTTGGGAAGTTATCCTGTGTGGTATAGTGCAGCTCTTACTTACTTCATGGAGTTTGGCCTGGAGAACTTCTGGCTTGTGTACTTTTCTAGAAAGGCAGTGTAAAGTCTTCAGTTGTCCCCCTGCCATGTGTTAATGTTGGAAACATTGCCATTTGGATTTTCTGCCTGAGGTGCCAGTGTGAAGATTCCTCTGCTGCAGAGGCACGATGGCTGCGCATCTCACAGCAGGGACAACGCCCAGCCTCTGCCCTTGGACCTTGACAATCCTGAGCGCCTCAGGGGAGACTGCATCCCCTAATTCTGCCATGCGAGATCCAGCAACATCACAGTTTAAAATGGAAGGTTAGAGAGATCCCCATACATTTGTTTATATACAGAGCTATTTAATGTCATTTGCAAATCAAATACTGATTGTGTGAGAAAGAACAAAACAGATTTGCAAGGAGTTGAGGGGGCAGTGCCTTATTCTGGGGGCACTCAAGGGTGCACAATACCGCCACATTTTTTTTCTAAAAGAAAAGCAATTTGAGGGGTATTGGGAGCAGTAAATAGTGTAGAAACAGCAAGGAAGAAAATTCAGGGTAGATAGTGCGGGGAAGAAGCCCTGTCTAGGGCTTCTCTCTTCTCTGACAGTTTCCCCCCTTCCTTTTGAATGGCTCTTTTCCTCTCTCTTAAATGTAAAGGACACCTGGATGGTTAAGTCCAGTCAAAGTTCACTTTCAGGCCAGGGAGCTGGCATTTGGCCACAGACAACTTTTGGGGTCATGTGGCCAGCATGACTAAACCACTTCTGGTGCAACAGGACACCGTGACAGAAGCCAGAGCGCATGGAAATGCCATTCACTTTCCTGCCACAATGGTACCTATTGATCTACTCTCGCTGGTATGCTTTCAAACTGCTAGGTTGGCAGGAGCTGGGACAGAGCAACGGGAGCTCACCCAGTCACATGAACTCAAACTGCCGAACTTGCGATCAGCAAGCCCAAGAGGCTCAGTGGTTTAGACCACAGCACTACCTGCGTCCCTTTACCTTTACCTCTTCCTTTAACAATAGCTGGATGTGCAGAAACTGAGTAGCTGAAGATTTTCACATCACTTTTATTTTGTTAGCTTGATATGTCCACATGGCACATATCAAGCTGCTGTTGCACATGAGCAGGTCAGTAAAAGCAAAAAATGGCAATTTAAGCCTCTGAGATGCAAATACTTCCTCTGTATATAAAAGTGTTGAGAGAGAATGCAATTGGGTTGTTGCCAACAAAGTTCTACTTAGAGTAAGCCCACTGAGCTTAGTGAATCTAAATTATCACACCCATTGACTTTGATGGGTCTACCCTGAGTAGGACTACCATTGGATACAACCCATTGATCTTCTGTCTCTGTCCCTAGATGTCCCTGCCCACAGCAGAATGACATGCTTGTTTTTCAGTAGTCAAGTGTACACAGAGATTAGCATGGAGGTAGGCTGAGCAACATACCTGAGCTTGGCTGGGTCTGTCTTTGTCAGCTGCCTTCCAGCCTTAGTCACTTTAGGGTTTTACAGAGTTTATTGACTGACCTCAAGAGACAGAGGGAATTAGGCTTCAGGGCAAAACAAAAGACCTCTTTCTGGCTCCAGACACAAACCTATTTTGCAAACATGCCTTCAGTTTTTTATATTGCCTGTGCAGAGGGGCTGTGATCGTCTAGGGTGCCATTTGGGAAGGGCAATCTTCTCCCTGCCCCTCACAAATATTTCACTCCCTTGTCTCTCTAGACAGACGGATGCTAACAGTAACGCACAATAAAGCGCCCAGGAATCTGCCTCATACTTCTTAAGGCCATTGGCTGACAGCTTCCAAGGGTTTCAGGCAGTGGTTTCTTACAGCCCTACCTGAAGATGACGAGGATTAAAGTCATCCTTAATATGGAATTTATTGCCGTTCAAGTTAAGGAATCCACCAACAATCTACTATTTTAGATACATGCTTAGGACTTTTATCCACCTAAGACTTTGTTGCCTTATACTTTGAATTATTATTGATCATCTATTGGTATTGTACTTTTATCTATATTGTTCATGGTGAACAAATACATAATAAATTATTATTATTAAACACATTTCTCATCATTAAGCCACCAAAGCAGGTGCACACAATAAAAGTGGAATAAAACACAGAATACAAGTTCTGCAAACACTAAAATCAATTTAACAAACTCTAAAACAGCAAAACTAATAATCAAATTCCAAAAACAGCAAAACCATTTCATCAGATATAAAATTGATATTCCGTAAATAAACAAACCTAGGATCTGCACTGCAGCATGTGCTGCCCCACTGAGGCGCGCCCTTCTCTTAAATTCTGGAAAGAAAAGCACATTTGCTTTTGTACCATTATTTTGCTGAAATGCAACACATTTATTTCTTTTTAAAAGTTTTTAGTAAATAAGTCTTCGCAGAGAGGATTGCTAAAGTCACTTCAAGATACTTCCCTCAGATATGGAGATGAGAGAGATCAGCTGGTACTAAAAATATTGTTAGTCTAAGCATTTTTAATGCTCTAAATTGTAAGAATTGAATCTGCAGGTTTCCCCTTCTTGCCCTCTCTAATGCATGACAATCCTGTTTCCTTCAGCTTTAATGGATTACAAAGTGTGGAACCAAAGAGACGCAGTGAGATTTGCACTTTAACTTATAGTGCAAACATTCTATCATTGGAGTAAGTGATTAAATTTGGTGGGAGAGGCAAGACATTGCCCACCCTGCCTCCATTCTGGTTTCACTCTTTCAGGTCAGTTTTTCTAAGGCTGCAGTGCATTTAGTAGGGAGGGACCAAGTCCCGTTGAACTGAATGGGGCTTACATCTCCCAAGACGGTGCATCCGCCTGAGCTGTGCCCTTGTTTTTAACTAAAATATGGTGTCAAAAGTCTCATAAACCAAATTCAAAATTTGCTGAAGTTGAAAGGCCAGATGTAAGACCATCTCTTTGCAAAGGCCAGTGAGGCATGAGCTCATTCATTGTGATTTGGAAGTCTGCCTCCTTCTGGCAGCTCCTGCAGTCGAGCTGGTGCCAAATGTATTGCTCTGATTTCTTTTGGACCCCATCAGTACGGCTGAGAGGGAGACAGCCCAGGACCCCCATACAAACGGCCCAGGCTTGTGCCCCAAGGAGGTCACACTGGTGCTGCTGACACAGCAGTTTGACTTCACCCCTGGAGGAGCACTCCATTGTCTCTCGAGACAGGCAGAGGCCAACAGCAGCAGCAAGCCCCACTGAGTGCAAGGGGCTATTGCCAGGGCAGGACTTTGGGGCAGACACCCTGGGCTCAGCTCACTGGCATGGGCAGAAAGGGTCCCAGAGGTAGCAGGGCCGGCTTGCCATATTTTGAAACAAGTGAAGCGATACACATCACCATCTAAGGGAGGCGAGGCCATTAAGCCCCAAGTCTAAAATGCCCTGTTTACTCACAGGTGAGTTCAGACACAATCTGTGCTGGCATCAGGGGACCACTGCTGGTTCCTCAAGGATGCAGGCACTGCTGCTGCTGCCCCTTCTTGTCTTGACCTGCGTAGGAGGGGTGTTGGTGTTGTCTACACTGGTTGGCAGAGGCTCTCCAGCCCCCCCTGGAGATGCCAGAGTCTGAGCTTCAGGCTGCCTACATGCACAGCAGATGCTCTGTCATGGAACTACGCTCCTTCCTCCGGGTTAGGGCCCTTCCTGCTTCTACTGGACTACCCTGGACTTCTGCCCCAGAGCCCTACGCTGATGGTGCCACCACTGGCAGTGCAGCCCAGTCCTAGATGTGTGAATGTTTTCAGAAGTGAGCCCCACAGAACTCCAGGAAGCTTACTCCCATAGACGTTATGGGTTTCTATTGATTGCATAACATGTATACACTGCTTGATTGTAAGAAAACTCAATGTGGTTTACAAAGAAAATGTTCACAGTTGCAGCCTTAGCTTCTTTGCATTAAGATGGATGTTCCCAGAGGGCAGTGCAACCTGGGAGGGCTTTTGTCTCTCCTTACAGCCCAGAATGAAGAGCCTCTGTGCTTCCAGATGATGTTGGTCTAACTCCCATCTTCCCTGGCCAGCAGAGCTTGTGGTCAAGGGCAACCCGGGTTGAAGTCCAGCAACATCTGGAAGGCCACAGATGCCACACCCCTGCTTTTGGGTTTATCCGAAGCACCTATTGCTGGAAGTGAGATGATGGACTAGTCAGCCCTAGATTTTAATCAAGCAGCATGTTGAGAGCCAGGTGGTGTAGTGGTTAAAATACTGGACTGCAGTTGGGGAGAGCCAGGTTTTCATCCTCCCTCGGCCACAGCGTTCCCTGGAGGAAGTCTTTTCCGCCTAACCTCCCTCGCAGGGTTGTTGTGCCTAAGCAATGGGGACGGGGGCCAGAGGTCTTTCTCAGCCTCGGGTCCCCAGATGGGGTTGGACTACAACGCCCATCATTTCTAGCTAGCAGGACCAGCGGTCAGAGATGCCGGGAGTTGTAGTCCAGCCCCATCTGGGGCCTTCAACCAGTGCCTTTCCGCTCTCCCGCGAAGAGCGAGCAGGGGCGCCGCGCGAGCCAAGGCGCCGGGCAGCAGCAGCAGCCGCCTGCAGGGGCTCCGGGGCTCCGGAAGGAGGCGCTCGCCTCCGCTCCCTTCGCCGCCGCCGGCCCACCAGGGAGGCGCGTCCGCCCCTTCGCGGGAGCGAGGAGGAGGAGGAGGCGGCGGCGCGGCCAGAGCAGCTCGGGGCGCCCGGGGCAGCAGCCGCCTCCTCCTCCTCCTCCTCCGCCCGCCGCCGGTGTTGCGCTGCGCCGCTTTCCCGCTGCCGCCGCCGCCCGGCCTCTCCGGCGCGCCTCTTCCTCGGCGCCTTCGGGCCCCCCGAGCCCCGTCTGGCGGTGAGTGTCCGGGGGGGGGGGCAGCAGCCCGACAGGTGAAGTTGGCGCAGGAGCTCCGCTCGGGGCTGCGGGGTCTGGGCCGGGGAGGGAAGAACCAAGATCAGGCCCGAGGTGCGTCCCGTCCTCCCCGCTCTTTGGAACTCCCTGCCTCTTGAAGATTTTGCGCGCACCGTACAAATTCCCTCGCTCCTATTTCTTTCGGGGATGCTTTCCGCAATCAAATTAAGCAAGTTATTTTTCCCTCCGGTGTCTTTTTATTGAGGAAAAGGTGGGGGCTCTTAGTTTTGATTGCCCTGTTCTTGTCGCATGACTTCAGTTGTTCTTTTTAGCTGTAGCTTAAAGGAGATCTGTAAATAAGAGTAAAGAGATTCCTCGCCGCTCGAACGAGACTCGCATTCTGGCGTTTCAGGGGCATTTCAGAGGCTTCGCGAGTCTGGCGACTGATGGGCTCCCCTTTCAAGGAGAGGGACACCTGGCCCCGAAAATGCTGCTTCTTCCTCCCAACTCCTTCTGTCCTTCTGTGCTCCTCTCCTCCTGGAAAGGGGGCCAAGGCTCTTCACAGAATTCAAGCGGACAGGCTCTTGTGCTTGGAGCTTCCAGTCTGCAATTTGCCAGAGGGGGGGCCACTGAGGAAGGGAGAGGTGAGCAGGTGTCTCTGTTTTTTGGCTCAGGGTATATCCATCACATGGAGAAAGGAAGCTCTCCTCAAATCAGGGATGGGGAGCCTGTCACTCTCCAGCCGTTGTGGGACCCCATTCCCCTGGCCAGCATGCCTAGCGGTTGAGATGATGGGAGTAGCATTCCAGCAGCATCTGCAGGCCATGGCTATCGTGACTGACGTGGCACGTGGGGAACCTGCCTGCGGAGAGAAGCTCTTTAGTATGGATCTGGTTTGAGAGAGCCCTTACTTGTCTGGGGTGGGTCAGGGAGCGCACCTTTCAGTCCTTCCCAGCACAATCCCACCCTGTTGTGTGTGGCTACGGAAGAGACCTGGAATGCTAGCGGAGGACAAGCTGACGCCATCGGGTGCAGGAAAGCTTATGCCTCAATAAATTTTCTTAGATTTAAGGTGCCCAGAGTCTTTCCCCGACCCCCTTACCCCCAGGAAGAGTCTAGTCCAGGCATAGGCAAAGTTGGCCCTCCAGATGTTTTGGGACTTCAACTCCCATCATCCCTGACCACTGGTCCTGTTAGCTAGGGATGGTGGGAGTTGTAGTCCGAAAACACCTGGAAGGCAGAGTTTGCCTGTGCCTGGTCTAATCCTTTGGAATGTGGTCACCTTGTGTCAATGTTGTCTCTGAACGGAGGTCTGTCTCTGGTGGGCTTGCTGATTCACTCCCTCCTCCGAAAGGTTTGCCCTGAAATTGGTTCTCATTGCCAGGTAATATAATAAAGAACTGCGTGCCCTTGAGCATGTGCAGAGTGTCTTTCTCTCCATTCAATAGCTACATAACAGCAGCACTCTCCCTGCTTGTGATGCCAGCCTTAGATCAGGGGTCCTCAAACTACAGGCCGTGGTCCAGATCCGGCCCGTCAGGGTCCTGAACCCAGCCCGGCCAGCAATTGCAGAACTCATTGCTGTCTGATGGGTCTATGGCGAAAGGAAGTACAGCATCCCATGTGCGAGTGCGACCTTGGCATCCGGCGTCTGTTCATAGCGCGTGTGGCTGGTTGGTTGTGGGGAGGGGGGGCGGTGTGCATGCAACAGGAGGGATGATGTGATCCTGCGCATGCGCAGCAGGCTGCTCGGCGCTTTTGCATTCTCTCTATCTCTGGTCCGTGGCTGAGAGTTCCTTTGGCTGTGCTGCGTGAGGCAAGAAACTTGAGTGAGGCAGCCACGGGGGGGGGGGGAGGTCAGCCGCCCCCTGCTTTCCCTTTTCAGCTGCTAATCTCATTAGCCAAAAGCAAGTCCATACTTCCCATTGAAATACTTATATATATATTTTTTAAATGATATTTATTAAAATTTCAGAAACAAAAAATTACGTAGTTAAAAATAAAAAAGACAAGGTAAAATACAAAAAAAGAGAAAAAACATACAAAGTATAGAAAAAAAGAATTAGAAAAAACACTTAAAAACAAATTAATCCTTCCGTATCTTACATTTCATTTCCTTACTTCCCTGACCTCCTCTCACCTCCCTTTTTCGTATTCCAATTCCATTGGTTAATTCAGCAATTCCTTTCCCTCTCTGTTTTTATCTTAATCCTTTAACTTAATATATTATAGCTTTAGATTCTCACCTATTAACCATCCATTTTTGCATACACCTTCATGACATTGCTGCTAAAACCACTTAACTTCATTCTGGCATCATTCTAACATTCATTAATTTTACAATATTTCTGTAAGTAGTCTTTAAATTTCTTCCAATCTTCTTCCACCGACTCTTCTCCCTGGTCACAGATTCTACCAGTCATTTCCGCCAATTCCATGTAGTCCATCACCTTCATCTGCCATTCTTCCAGAGTGGGTAGATCTTGTGTCTTCCAGTACTTTGCAATAAGTATTCTTGCTGCTGTTGTAGCATACATAAAGAAAGTTCTGTCCTTCTTTGGCACCATTTGGCCGACTATGCCCAGGAGAAAAGCCTCTGGTTTCTTCAGAAAGGTATATTTAAATACCCTTTTCATTTCATTATAAATCATCTCCCAGAAAGCCTTAATCCTTGGGCATGTCCACCAAAGGTGAAATAATGTATTGCCTAGAATGTTGTTTTTGTTTCAAACATTGCAAGTTTTGGACAAAATGGATTGCTTCAAGAAGTGGCAGAGAGATATTTCTAGATTTGTCTGGCAGGGCAAGAAGCCCAGAATAAAATTTAAAATATTAACGGATGCAAAGGAAAGAGGTGGATTTGCCCTGCCAGACCTTAAACTTTATTATGAATCAGCAGCTTTTTGCTGGCTGAAAGAATGGCTGCTTCTTGAAAACACAGACATTTTGGACTTAGAAGGTTTCAATAATGTATTTGGATGGCATGCATATTTGTGGTATGACAAAGTCAAAGCACATAAAGCATTTAAGAATCATATTGTCAGGAAAGCATTGTTTAATGTCTGGATAAGATATAAGGATTTATTGGAAAATAAAACCCCAAGGTGGTTGTCACCGATGGAAGCGAAAGCACTGAAAAAGCTCAATATGGAGGCCAAATGGCCGAAATATTGGGAAATTCTGGAACAAGAGGGAGACAGATTGAAATTGCAGAGTTTTGAGAAACTAAAAAACAAAGTGCGAGATTGGCTTCATTATTATCAGATAATGGAGGCATATAATTCGGACAAGAAAATTGGCTTCCAGGTGGAAAAATCAAAATTAGAAACAGAACTGTTAGAACCCAAAACTAAGACTTTATCAAAGATGTATAACTTGCTGTTGAAATGGAATACTCAGGATGAAACGGTGAAATCTGCTATGATTAAATGGGCACAAGACGTTGGACATAACATTATGTTTGCTGACTGGGAACAGTTATGGACCACAGGTATGAAGTTCACGGCATGCAATGCCTTAAGAGAGAATATTATGAAAATGATATACAGGTGGTACATGACACCAGTCAAGCTTGCAAAAATCTATCATTTGCCCGACAATAAATGTTGGAAATGTAAAGAAACTGAAGGTACATTCTTTCACCATTGAAATAGTTATAAGTTTATGTTGATTAAAATTGTTCTTCATTTTAAATATTGTATTGTTTTTCCTGTTTTTTGTGCACCACAAATAAAATATGTGCAGTGTGCATAGGGAGTCGTTCATGTTTTTTTCAAACTATAGTCTGACCCCCAACAGTGCCTGAGGGACAGTGAACTGGCCCCCTGCTTAAAATGTTTGAGGACCCCTGCCTTAGACCCTGGAAATAGTCGTCATGGCTGGGCACTAATAGCCATTGATGGCCTTTTCCTTCAGGAATTCATCCTGTTCTCTTGTAAAGCCATGCAAGTGGTGGTCACTGCGACTTATTGTTGGAGCAAATTCTGTAGTTTAGCTGTGTGTGAGGAACTTCTTTAGTCTGCCTGGAATCTCCCAACATTCAGATTCATTGGATGGTTCTGGGATCTAGGTAGGATTAGGAGAGAGTGAGATGGAGAGCAGCATCTCTCTCAGTGAAAAATGTTTCTGGGGCAGAATGTGGCCCACCCGGATGCACCTCTCATTTTAACATTCAAGCATGTTCCCTGCACCCCACATTTTCAGACTCTGATTTGCGTGCTGCGTGTGCCACAGACTTGGCCAGCTCACACAGCTCTTTATGGCAGTGTGGTAATGACAGGAGCGGAGGAGTGACTTGACTAAGCTCTGTGAACACCAGCAGGGGTGTGACAGGGACTATTCTTGGATGGGTGAGAAGACTTCATAGGAGCCTCCTGTTTTCTCTTCTCATTGGGGTTTAGCCCCAGGACTTTTCCAGTTCTCCTGCATTGATCTGCTTCAGAACCTATTGTGTTTCCTAATGGGGGGGGGCCCTCGTTGGAATGCTTGATCGCTTTCATTTCTTTCCCACAAGTTTGGCATATGGAGTTGACTTGTCTTTCCAAACTGATTCCGTTTTGATTATAGTAGCAACTATCTAGATGCCTCCGAGAAGCTTGCAAGGTTGCTTCCCTCTTTGGTATGCTGTCCCAGTGATATAGTGCCCCTGCACATGGAGGCTTCATTTTGCTCCTAGGAAGTGAAATAGTTCCTGGAGGTAGCACTTAAGCCCTTCAGGCTGCAAAGGTAGACTTGATAGTTACAGACGATGCATGACAAACATCATCAAGCCAGCTTCTCAGAAGTTGCAAAGCTTCATAGCACTGCAAAATTCCTCGCCCCGTATTTATTGAAAGCAGAATTAATTATGAAGAATAAGCAAGCTTAATTTGCTAGTATTTGGCATGATTGGTACACTTTTCAGAATTCATCTTTTCAAGACACAGAATTTGTATTTCATATATAATGTAATATTTAGGGTTGTAGTCGATGCTAGTCCTACTCAAAGTAGACTTACTGAACTTAATGGGCATGACTCAGGACAGTATTCAAATTGCGCGTTCCATCTGCACAAGGATTTCTGCTTGTGTGACAGAACTTCATCCCCGCTTCTTGTCCTACATCCTTCCCAAATCAGCTCCAAAGGGTTGGGGGAATCTCTAGAACAGGCATAGGCAAACTCTGCCCTCCAGATGTTTTGGGACTTCAACTCCCATCATCCCTGACCACTGGTCCTGTTAGCTAGGGATGATGGGAGTTGAAGTCCCAAAACATCTAGAGGGCCAAGTTTGCCTATACCTGGAAGGAAAGTTGGACTAGATGACCCTTGGGTCTCATTCAGCGCTAAGATTCTATGTTGCGCATGTGGGAATCCTTGCACTGGTGGAACATGGGCACTTAGGCTTGTGTCCAGTGTAGCACTAACAGGTTTCTTTATTTTGGTGGGTTCGCTATGCTTTGAACTGAGTTGGATGCAACTCTTAGTTCAGAGAATATGCATGGCCCTCAGGCCTCCCCTTGAGCTATTCAGGATCTGCTCCCCCCACCCCAGGGTGTGTTTTGGAGGAAGCTGCTCTCCAGACAATGGGGGAAGCTTTTACTTTGGATCAGCTGCCAAGTGCTGATCCACCCCAATATTTGATCCAGTCCAATAGGGAAAGCAGCAACCTCCTAATCCTGCTGCAATTACACATAAAGCCAAGGTTTGGGGCTGGGCTGCTGTAAACCCAGTTCTTCCTTCTTTCCTTCCAGATGAGGTGTTAACTGTTTGCTCATATATCCATTGCTATTTCTCAGTTTATTACCAAGGTAGATCTGGCCCTAAGTTTGGTCCTATCCAGGCTGCATTAATGTGGGGCATCAGGAGTGTTGTGTTAGCATTTCCTCACTTTGCTGTTGAGCGGAGTTCAGGATTTCACGGTGGACTATGTGGGTGAACAGAGGCTGGTGTGACTCTGCTGATTCTCTCAAGTGAGCTGAGGGTGTCAAAGTTTTGCCTTTCCTTGGGACGCTCGGGCTCAATTGGAGGCTGTTGCTGCATGCCTTAAAATAGCCAGTATTATAAGGTAGGAGCAAGTCTCTCACAAATAAAGCTCCACTTGCCATTTGATCACTGTTGTTCTTTCATCTGGGCTCTTTTTATCACTGTTAACTCTAATGGCTAACATGGTTCAGTTCAGCTTCTTTTGTTATAGCCATTTCAAAAGGCCATGAAAAACTTAAATCATCAAAAGATGAGTTGTTGTTTCCACCCATCTGTCTCGACAGACAATGGAGTGTGCCTCTAGGGGTGAAGTCAAACTGCTAGAGAATCACAGCACCTGCTGTGGCTGCAGAGACCAGGAACTCACAACTGCTGCTTGCCTCCCACATTGTTTTTGCTGCACTAGCAGCATCAAAGTGACTTCTCTGGGGCTCAAGCCTGGGCCGTGTGTCTGGAGGTCCTGGGCTGCCCAGATAACAAGACTCCCCTCTTTCTCGGCCTCACTGATGGGGTCCAAAGGAAAGCAGAGCAAGACGTTTGGCATCAGCTTGGCTGAAGGAGTTGCTGGAAGGAGACGTACAAGGTGCCATCCAACTGTCTTCAGGACTCCACTCCGGATTTGTGTAGCCTTTCTTCTCTTGCATGATTTCCCGCAAGGCAGCAGGCATGGATTTTTCCTCTGTGTGTGTTTTCTCCCAAAGACTTTCTCACAAATGAGTATAGCTTAACTTAATGTAACTTAAAAGAAATCTAGGGTTCTTCTGTGATCTAGTTGATAGCATTCCATGCCCTGATGTCAGCATGTTATAGACAAAGTATCCTGCAGGCTCTCCACCTAGTCACAAAACCTATGTGGCCAGAGTTCCTGAATGGGTGCAAAGCCTACGGCTGTTTGCACTAAGGCTCCCCTTTCAAGCAGCGGTGGAGAACCAATCCTCCAGGCTACATGGCTGCTCCACACCACTTCTTTGAAACATTCTGCTTTGCATGCAGAAGGTCCCAGGTCCAGTCCTCCAGTATTTCCAGGTAGGACTGGGAGGGTTCCCTACACCTGTCCCTACTTTAAAGCATTGCACTTAATGTGCAGACACTGGGATGCGTGGCCAACAGTGGGGGCAGAACTCAGTCGCCCTGTCCTCTCCATGCATTAGATGTACACAAGGAACAAGGAAGGGGAATCTGACCGCACTGTTAGTGAGCAATTGGGAAATAACACGGCTTGCAGGCTTCCCTCTCACACTAAGTAAAAGGGCGATGGATAGTTTTTAAGACTATAAGAAGAGTCTGCAAGATCTGGCCAGCGGCCCATCTAGTCCAGCATCCCCTTCTCACTGTGACCAACCAGGTGCCTGTGGGAAGAAAGCAAGCAGGACCTGAACGCAACTCTCGTGAACTGGTATTTGGAGGCATCCCACCTCTGGCAGTGGAAGAAGAACATGACCCTAGCCTTATCCTCCATGATTTTTGTCTAATCTACTGTTTAAACCAACCAAGCTACAACTGTTTTTAGGGTACCTTAAAAAAACACACCCCTACTTGTGGTGGTCACATTTATGAATGAATCTTTTCCTCAGTGCAGGGTGACTTAGGGCACATAGTGGCAAATTCCAAGTTGAGCAATTGTAGTAATGGATATGGTGCTCTTGTGCAACACCCCCCCCCCAAACCAGACTTTCTGTGGTAAGGAAAGTGATGAGGAAATGCCCTGGAAAGTGTGAGATAACAGTTGCTTCACACCCACCCCATGTAACCTCCCCACCAACAAATCAGAGTGACTGCTCAGTGGGCAGACAATGCCATATATCCTCCCTACAACCTTTGTGCAAACAAATCAGAATAAATGCTCAGTAAGAAGGCTGCCTGCAGTGACATCAGGTGCTGCTCCCTCCTTAAATCTCAGCAGTGCTGGCTTGCACTCATTGGGACTGGCCGGCCAGAAGGCAGAGAGACCAGCAGTTGGTGAAGCCAGAGCCAATGACTGGCAGAAGCAACTAAGACTTGTTTGGTCTCTTTCCTCTGCCCTGCTAGCTCTAAAAAGGCAAACTGCCCCATATCTTTTGAGGAAATTGTGTGGCTCTTTCTTCTGAGGAACTGCCTGTCTGTCTCCCGCTCCTCCACCTTAATATTGGGATTTTTTTTAAAGCAAAGAATGTGCCAGAATCTCCCTGTCCTTCTTCCTAACACAATGTTCTCCCTTTCTCTGGTATCTCATAATTTCCCACACTAGTCTGATTCATTTACTACATCCATCTCCCTCTGTTCCTCCAAAGGGCTCAAAATGTCATTCATGGGCCTCCCCACTTCTTCCCAGGGGCAGACTTTGGTAATATGGTGCCTTGAGCAAGGATTTGGCACCTCCTAACTTTGAGTAAAATATAAATATAGGTTGCAGCATTCTTCTTGTTGTTGTTCTTAATTCACCCTCTGGGCTTGGCACCCTGGGCTGCCCCTTCCTCTGTGTTTGATCCTCACAGCAACCCTCTAGGCTTAGCCCTGTAGGCTAAGATCAGTTGACTGGCCCAAGGATGCCCAGGGAGCTTCATGGCGGAGTGAGGATTCAACCCTTGGCTGCCAGGTCCTGGTCTGACGCTCTAACCACTCCTCCACACTTGCTGTCAGTTGATCTTGGCAGGATAGTTCCGGCTCCCAGGCTGAGCTACAAATCTGTTACCAGTTTTTCAGCTCCTGCTAAAAACCCACCTGGGGACGTGTGGGGTATGGGGCTTCCACATGTTTTTAATGGGCAGTGAGCGGCCCTCCCGCCTCTGTCTGGCCTCCTCCAGATCCTCTGCTCCCAGGCCTTGCTCCCTTCTTCTCCAGCTCTTTTGCCTGGCTGGGATGTGTCATGGAGCTGCAGTAATGGCTCTTGCCTGCCTGAAGGGAGAGATGTAGGAGCAGAAACGGTTGACCTTTGTGTAACTGAAACGACATAAAGATGGGAGTCACATCCGCTGCCCCACCCAGGGAGATGCCTATGAAGAAATGCAGCCTTCAGGCTGACAATGCCCCCCCCCCGGCCACTCCTTTCAATGTCATATTTAGGGTTTCAACCGCCTTGACCGGTTGAGGAAGCCTATTAAGATGGACACATTTCTATTTTTTGTTTTGAAGAATTTATAAACTGCTTGATTAAAAACAAACCAATCCCTAAGTAGTGCGCATAAAACAATTAATAATATACAAATAAAACCAGCAAAGTTTTAAATATTCAAAACTAATTTTATGTCTGGATAGGCATGCTGAATGTTTTTTTTTAAGCAGTTTTCTGAAGCAGTACAAGGCGAGTTTCTGCCTAGTGTTTATAGGCAGGGAGTTCCAAAGCACAGGTAGCTGCCACAAAACAAGACAGACACGCAGATGCAGAACAAATATCATGTCGCACTTGTAAAAGTGCACAATCTGCAGATCAAAGCGGTTGAATGGGTTTGTAGCGGGCAAGGTCCCAAGCTGTTAAGGGCTTTATATACTGATAATAAGACCTTGAATTTTGTCTGGTAGCAAATCAGCAGCCAGTGCAGATCTTTGAGCAGAGGCATCATGTGCTAGCAGGATCTCACTCTTGTTAGCAAGATGGTCACACACTGTGTTTTAACATAGGGAGCTGCAACAGGTCCTTCATCTGGCAAGGTGAGTTCTGGTTGAGCCATCTGTCACTCATCCTTCCACTCATCCTTCAGGCAGCAGACACCTGAAAACATTTAAAGTGGTGCCTGCACGTTATTTATTTTATTTTTATGTGTAAACTGCCCTTCAACTTGAAGGTTCCCAGGGCAGTTACAACATTTGATTAAAATATAATACAACAGACATAGCTTTCAAAAACCACAGAATCAATAAACATCCTCTACTTCCTAACACAATCATAGAATACCACAGTAAGGCAGCAGCAAAGGAATCGGTCCTTAAACCAGCTAGGTCCATAGGTCTGAACCAGCAAGCGCTTCTCCCATAGATTTGTAGTGGTAGACTAGCATAGATGATCTGATCTGTGAGTTTACTTCGGGCCATAGCTGTCAACTTACAGATTTGAAAATAAGGGACCAGCAGCCAAAATAAGGGACCTGCAGCCTCACCTGTTCCAGGCACTCCAGTCTTCCTGTCCTCCTGCTGTCTGGTCAAACTCATGCTGGTAGCTTCGAGAACACTGCCCAACCAACTTTGTAACCAGAGGTTCAACTGAATAGAATCTGAATCACATGCACCACAAGGCCTATGCAGCCTCAACTTAAGATGGCTCCCCGGCCTGGCTTTGCACTGCAAAGTTTGCAGCAGCACGTGCAACAAAATGGCATCCAGCATTCAAAAACCCCCTCAGCTTGCATTAACTAGCCACACACAAGGCATGCAAGCTCCACCCCCCAGTCGTTCTTAGACTTATTGGGTGAGCAACACAGCCTAGCAACACAGTTGGAGCCTCCCTCCTCCCTGGCCGGCAGGGAGGGAGGGAGAGGAGCTGCTTCCTTTGAAATTTAAGGGACATTTAAGGGACATCCATCAATAAGGGACAGCAGCGGGACATGGCGCTGGAATAAGGGACTGTCCCTTCAAATAAGGGACACTTGACAGCTATGCTTCGGGCACTATTCCCCCCCCTTCCTCCCACCCCGCTTGATGGAACTGAGAGCTGCAGATGGAGCACGAGAGAAAAGATACAGAAGTGCAGCAGCATCTTCATAGCTTGGACTTCATTTTGCGCTAAAAGTGGTTGCTGCTTGTAGTTATTTAATGGCAGCGTTTCATCAGCTGGTGTCTTGAGCAGCAACCTCTGGAAACGAAGGGCTAAAAACCGGCGCTGCTCTCCCAAATTATCTGGTCCCTTTTCACTTCGTATTTCAGCTGGTTGACTAAAATCCCTTATTTTGGCTGCTGATCCCTTATTTTCGAGGCTGCTGGTCCCATATTTTCAAATCTGTAAGTTGACAGCTATGCATAATTCGCACTTTCTGAAACAATACATGAACCAAAAGGCAGTCAGCCTTCTCTGAATCTTGCAATGCCATTTTCCAGCCACGTAATGTTGTGTATGCTAAGGTAAGTGTGCATTAAAATGCATGCATTGATGAAAGTAACATTGATGATGTAATGCAGAAATTCATTACATTAGGGAAAATGTTATTTGCCAAAGTGTATAAATTATGCAAAATTGCATACAAAAATGTGTATGTTGGAAATTCACAGTAAAAGGCTGATGAGGACTTAAAAACAAATGATGCGGGAATGCAGAGAACTGAACATAAGATTGAAAAAATGAGAAATTGACAGAGACGGCAACTGATTGATTCACCCACCCCTTGTGGAGACTTGGTTCATTGCGGTCTTAGCCCCTGGGCTGTTGCCGGCAAGGTCTATCTGCCCCCCCCCCCCCGCATAAACAGCCGTGGCATGCTCAGGGATGTGTCAGCCCAGCATCCTCTCCTGGGAGGTTGTGCTTTCATGCAAACTTCCCAGCCTCAGCTGCAAAATATATGAATCAGGTCTTGTGGCTGTGAACTTCCTGCCTGGTTCTCCGGGTGCTTTTGCTTGTCTTCTGCCTCCCCCACCAAAGCCTCCTGGGCCAGCACTGCTCTCCCCCCCCCCCTTTCCTGCTTCTTGATGAGAAGGAAGCAATATGGTGTGGCCTACGGCACCAAATGTCTGGCGCTGACAATTGCTTGCGTTTCTGGGGACCTCCCTTCCTCTCCTAGATCTAGGAGCCACTCCCACCCTGTAATGAGCCCTCTCTTGCTCCTCAAGGCAAAGTGACCTCCTGCTTTTTTGCTGTCTCTCTAAATTGTTGCTCCATAGTGGTGGCAGTTAAGGGACGCAGGTGGCGCTGTGGGTTAAACCACAGAGCCTAGGACTTGCCGATCAGAAAGTCGGCGGTTCGAATCCCCGCGACGGGGTGAGCTCCCGTTGCTCAGTCCCTGCTCCTGCCAACCTAGCAGTTCGAAAGCACATCAAAGTGCAAGTAGATAAACGGGTACCGCTCTGGCGGGAAGGTAAACAGCGTTTCCATGCGCTGCTCTGGTTTGCCAGAAGCGGCTTAGTCATGCTGGCCACATGACCCGGAAGCTGTACACCAGCTCACTCGGCCAATAAAGTGAGATGAGCGCCGCAACCCCAGAGTCGGCCACGACTGGACCTAATGGTCAGGGGTCCCTTTACCTTTACCTAGTGGTGGCAGTTATGCCCATTTTCTGCCTCATTCTAGCTGATAAACACACACTGCCATTGCTGCTTCTCCATCCCTTGTTGTTGTTGTTTAGTCGTTTAGTCATGTCCAACTCTTCGTGACCCCATGGACCAGAGCACGCCAGGCACTCCTGTCTTCCACTGCCTCCCACAGTTTGGTCAGACCCATGGTGGTAGCTTCAAGAACACCGTCCAACCATCTCGTCCTCTGTCGTCCCCTTCTCCTTGTGCCCTCCATCTTTCCTATCTTTCCCAATATCAGGGTCTTTTCCAGGAAGTCTTCTCTTCTCATGAGGTGGCCAAAGTATTGGAACCTCAGCTTCAGGATCTGTCCTTCCAGTGAGCACTCGGGTCTGATTTCCTTCAGAATGGATACGTTTGATCTTCTGGCAGTCCATGGGACTCTCAAGAGTCTCCTCCAGCACCAGAATTCAAAAGCATCAATTCTTCGGTGATCAGCCTTCTTTATGGTCCAGCTCTCACTTCCATACATCACTACTGGGAAAACCACAGCTTTAACTATACGGACCTTTGTCGATGACGTAACATCTCTGCCTTTTGAGATGCTGTCTAGGTTTGTCATCGCTTTTCTCCCAAGAAGCAGGCGTCTTTAATTTCGTGACTGCTGTCACCATCTGCAGTGATCATGGACTTCTCCATCCCTGGAAGTCCATAAACCTTCAAGCAGCAGGTCACAATCTGGCTGGCTGTCTTCTGAAGAAAGACAAAGAGGTCAGTGGAAAGAGGAGAGAGAGAGAAATATGTACAGTGTACCTCTGGTTGCAAACGGGATCCGTTCCGGAGGCCCGTTCGCAACATGAAAAGAACGCAACCCACAGCGGCGCGTCTGTCCACGCTTGGGTTGCAATTCGCCGCTTCTGTGCATGAAAGACTTGTGGCCAAATTGGAAGTTGCATGGAAGTTTCGGGGCTCCTGCTTCCACTTCCTTGTTAAGGAAGGAAAACCACATTGCAGTAGGATGTTTTCCTCTCTGTGGCTTCAGGAAGAGGAGATTAGCATTTGGGAATTGTGGGAATGTCAGATAATTCTGTCAAAAACAGACATGGAAGTGGAATTGCAGTGTTGATGCTCTGGCAAGGTAAACCCACCAGAGGGTACATTGCCAAACTTGGAGCTCTGCATGACGTCTGGTGTGGACCTTGGGCTATGCAGGGAGCAGAAGCAGGGCTAGAGGGCCTCTTGGGACTGGTTCACATGTGTGAACCAATCTGGATAACCTAAATATCAGAAGAGCATTTAATTCATTAGTCTACAGAGCATAACATGCATGCTCATCACTTGATCGCAAGTGGTCACTTGCATGTGAGAACCGGCTCTTGCTTGCTCCATCTGGCATGGCCGTCTTCCCAGCAGGCCAAGCATCATACAGCTGTGCTGGCAGGAGTTCAAAGTAAGTGTAGCCCAAAACATCTGGAGGGCACCTGGTTGGGGAAGAGAAATCTAGCAGTGAAAATGAAGGCATGCAACAACATATTTTATTGGGCTCCACTTACTCAGCCTAGATGTGTGCTGCTGGGAATATGCTACTATTATTACATATTTAGCAGTTATGATTGTAATTATTTTAATTAATAGCCATTCCAGGTTAGCCCTTTCTAGTCGGCTTTGCTGTCACATTCTTTGTCATAAAAATCTAGGGTCACCATTGTTCACTTTGTTGCAGTTGGGATTCCAGGTTAGGAGAAAACATGCCCAAGCAAAGCACAGGCAATAAACCATCAACCTGACTGTGAGGGACAGAGCAAAAGAAAAGTTGGATTTATAACTTTTATTATCACCTGGAGAGCATCACTGCAGCTGCTGTTACTGCTCCTCCAGGTGTCTGACATGGTTAGATCTGCAACTTGCTCTGCGCCCTTCTCTGCTTAGAGCTCCTTTCCTTGTCAGGCACTTGTGGTTGGCAAGGAGGAACCTGCAGGCTGGGGGGGAGGCGGGCGGGGGGCGGAAGTGAGGTCTGTGACAGGAAGGCAAATGTCGGTCGCATCATGTGGTCTAGGAAGGAACCAACTGTTTTTCAGTCTTCAAGTTCCCCTTCTGGAGGGTGACTGTGCAGGAGAGGAACAGGGCTTTGGGGTGTGCTGAATCTTTGGAGACAATTGCTGCACCTCAGTTTGGGGGTTGTAGAGGTAGGTCCAGGATTTGAGGTCTCCTGAACAGAGCCGGGGCTGCAATTGCTTGGAGAATTGTGTGGTTTGGGGGTTCTAGCCCTGACAAAAAAATTGGGAAGCCCACTTCTAGGGTCCTTGAGTTGACATTATGGACTGTGTTTCTCTGTGAGGGAAATTGCAAGGTGCTGGAGAAAATAATATCTGAGGTAGAGGTATCTGAGGTATTTGGGGGGGAAGATTCCAGCTGAACTGTTGGAGAATATTCGTATGTAATTTCAGCCCCCATGAACAGAGTGGAGAACTTAGGGAACAACTGTTGATGAAATTTTATTATTCAAATGTAATTGGCGGCAGCAGTGGGCTTGTCCCCTACTCCTTCCAGTCTTCTCCTCCTCCAGTGAGAAGGCCCATTGCTTCATTCATCTACCTGTATGACCACCAACAATATAGAGGCATCCTCCCACTTACTTGGGCCCCCACATGCATAAATGAAAATTGTGTAAGTGGGGGAGCACCCTCTAAAAAGCTTCTAAACGCCTGTTTTTTCCTGCTCCCCCACTCTCCACACAACTTTTTCTTTAACTAGAGTTGAAGCTCTGGGGCCTCCTGGAGGATGTGCGGAAAGGTGGCTGCTGCTGCCCTACCGCCTGCATCGGCTGCTAGGCAGGGAGGCTGAGCAGCCTTAACAAAGCCCCACTGGACCTCGTGTCTCTTTGGGGCTTCCTCCGTCCTCACTGATGTCCTCCTTGGGCCCTGGGGAGGGTTTCCTCACAAACCACAAGGACTCTCTAGCTCTCTCCTGCCATTTCCTCATATGATTTTATTTATTTATTTATTTATTTATTTATTTATTTCCCAGTGCTGTGCATGCAAGTGGTCACACACAAGTCAATCACACATATGGGGGGGGGGGTTGTGCCTGTGCAGTTTAACTTGATAGTAGCCAAGCTGAAATTTCTCAAAAGGGAACTTACTTAGACTTTCCTCTCTCTCTAATATTTGTTATGTTTCTTTTGAGAAGGCTCTTTCTGCTAGTTGTTAGCATGGTCACCCTGCTTGCAAATTTAAGGCCGCTTTTGACACTCTCCACTGGCTAGTTTCACTCATGGCGGTTTTGCTTGCATGAGCTGGGAGTTTGCTGGATCCAGTCACTGCTGCATCACCTTTAGGTTTCCAGGAAGCTGCTGTGCCTGATATTGGTGGTTCCCCAGCCTTAAAAAGAAAAGCCACGTTGCACACATGAACCAGATGCCTCATGGTTCACTCCAGTAGCTGCCTAGCAAGAGCTGCAGAGCAGGGAGGAAGAAGGAACTCGGGGCTATTTCGTTGCCTCTGTGGAAAGAATAGCTGCCTTTGACCCTCTCTCAGCTGTCAACTTGCAGCAGCCATTCCCCTGCTTCCACCCCAGCTGGTCACTTACTGGTCATTGTAACTGGTGCCTGTGGTTGCTTTCTTCATCCTCCCTCTGCATCTTTTTGCTTAGGTGTGATGTGTTTTAGACTGTAAGCCTGAGGACAGAAAATGTCTTACTTCTGGTCTTCATATGCTGCTCTGAGAGCCTCTTCAACTAAAGAGCAGAATAAAAAATAAAAAAGCTTTACATGACCAACTAATAAATGAATGAATAGAGTTGTCCTGGTAATTGGGGAGGAAGAGGCAGAGCATCTGCTTAGCATGTGGAGCACCCCAGGTTCAGTCCCCAGCATCTCCAGGACGGGGTGGAAGGAAGCCTTGCCTGAAAGAGCTGCTGCCAGTTGCTGTGGACAACACTGCACTCGACTCGGCGGCACAAGGCAGCGTCCTCTGCTTCCGGGGCCAAGAGCACTTCCTCATCTTCTCCCTCCTGGAACGCACAGCCATTCCTTCCTATTATCCACCAACATTCCCATCACCCTCTCTTGACAGAATTCTTATCCTTTGCTTTTCAGGCCCACAGGGTCTGCTGGTGGAACTGCCATGGCGGTGAATGTGAATCTCATGGGTCCTGCTCCATGGGGCTTCCGCATCACAGGGGGACGGGACTTCAGGAAGCCCATCATAGTATCTAAGGTAGGTACCCTGTCTCCTGTTTCTCCCACTGGCTGCCCATATAGTGCAGCAGAGCTCCCCTTCTGGCCTGTGGGCCACATGATGGATGTTGCTGATGGGGTAGGCAGTTCTGCATGGAAAATGACCTGCTGCTTCTTATACTGCTGTCTTGTACTCTGGAAAGTCAGACAGCGAGAGATCCACACACAGCAAGGAAACGTAAAGTGTGTATAGCAATGAAACTTAACTCCCACACCGCCCTCTGCTAACCAGGTAAGATTGTCTGCTGTTCCTTACTTGGAACCTTCAATCAAGAAGGGAAAAGGGGGCCCCTGCATAAAAAGGTTGCCGTGTGGAAAACCCTGGTCAGGGTTCCAGTCACTCCATTCCATTTTCCGTCTTCTCTAGTTTTCTGTTTCATTGCCCTCCCTCAGTTAGCCAGCATTTTGTACCTGCTGAGCCTGCTCAGTCCTCGTGTTTCATTTTCTTAAACAATCCACAAAACATAAGCATCCTCCCGGGTTTTATACATCTCCCGCCAAGGAACATGTACAAGGAACATTACATTAGGGAAAACTGTTTTGGAAAATGGGGTATACTAATAAAAACGGCATACAAAAATATGTTTATTAGGATAAATTCACATTAATATGTTGATTAATTTTCATGGGGGTATTTTTTTTTAACGTGCAGATTGCTGCAGAAATGTGGAGAGCTGAATTTAAGTTTTAAAAAATTAGAAATTGAGAGAAACCAAAATTAACAGGTTTGTCCATCCCTTTTGGTGCCCTGTCCCACTTATTTTAAAATCTTGTCTTTCTTGATTGATTTCCATTGCCAGTCCCCAGTTCCATCCCTAGGGACATTTAAAAACACCTTCTGAGTGTGAGACAGGAAAGGACCCAACCAAACTCGGTTTTCACGGAGCTTGTCTCTTCCTCAGTCTTCCGTTTCCAGCCACTCTCTTCCTCTGCCCTCCCACCTGGTTGTCAGTTTTCCCCTTTCAATAGCTGTTCAGAATTCTGTGGGCCCTGAGTGTTTTCCCAAGTGCACAGTGGTGCCGCCTTGGCTGCACAAGTATGAGCACTCAAAACATTGGAGGCAGAATTATAGAGATGGGATGCTAACTGGAATGGGCTGCTAAAGAGAGGAAGATGAGCAGGTGTGCTGTGTGTGACATGAAGACAGTCACAAAACTCTGATGTGGACGAGACTTAATCTGTGGGCCACACAGGTGAGATGCACTTGACTATATTGTAGCTGGAAGCTTCAGCAGGTACTTGCACAAGGAGGCACAGTGCATTAACTCAAACAAAAAGGGTTTGAATCCGCGTGCCAGGGTGAGCTCCTGTTGCTCTGTCCCAGTTCCTGCCAACCTAGCAGTTCAAAAGCACACCAGCGCAAGTAGATAAATAGGTACCGCTGTGGCGGGAAGGTAAACAGCATTTCCATGCACTCAGACTTCCATCACTGTATTCTGTTGCACCAGAAGCGGGTTAGTCATGCTGGCCACAGGACCCAGAAAGCTGTCTGTGGAGAAACGCTGGCTCCCTCAGCCCGAAAAGCAAGGTGAGCGCTGCACCCCATAGTCGCCTTTGACTGGGCTTAACTGTCCAGGGGTCCCTTACCTTTACCTTTACCATTGCCTCAAACTAAATAGGCTCTGTTTTGCTGAACAACTTGCTGGGTGCTCTGAGTGGAATTTCCTGTGGAAAAGTGGGAGTGAAGAGATTGGTTGGCCCGGCTGTTCCTGCATTGAATGTCTTTGGGGTTTTGCAGGACATCCTGGAATGCTGAGCATATTATTTTTTTAATGTGCTGCTTGGGGCAGAAGGTTTAAAAGGAAGCTGCCCCTTTTTCTGGGCTGGGCACTGAGCCAAGTGTGACCCTTCAGTTTATAATGAGGAGAACAGATCCTGTTTACCATTTCTTCAAGGAACCAACTCCCTGGGAACAGACTGTAAGTCTATGGTGCTGCACATGGAGACTGTAAGCAGCAGGAGTCTAATATACTTCTTCCTTACTCCCCTCTCCAGGGCTGGGCAAGGGAATATCCCTGCTCCCTCCCCCCCCCGGTTGGCACAAAAGGAAGCAGAAGGTGTTCTGCCCATGCTGTTTGCCCCATTGCTGGGCAGATTGAAATCAGAGTGGAATCTCTTCCAAAGCATTGCTATGGAAGTGTAAATTTCTTAAAATAAAAAAATAAACAGTGCCAGAATCTGTTAAAGGCACAGAAGCAGCAGCCTTGGTGAGTAAGGTGGCCACTTGCCCCAAATACAGGAAATATGTAATAAAAAAGAGAGCAAAAGGCGACATAAATCTGAATAAAATGTCACATGCTGATTTACATGTGAAGATGCAGATGTAGAAACAATTGCCGTAATTGAACGTAAAAAATGCAAAGCCTTTCCTCATAGTGGGGGAAACTGTGACCAGGTGACCTGCGTGGCTGCTCCGTCTCCTGTCCAGGCGCTGACTCTGGGTGGGCAACTTCCAGACGCTCCCCCCTCCTTTGGGTTCTTTGTCTTTAACTTGGACTTGGACTGGGTGGCCTTTCCTGAGCTCCTTCACTTAGACGGCTGCCCTCTGTAAAGGCTGAAGCTGAGAAGGTCTGGTCAGTGTCTCTGTGGGCTGAGGACCCTAGATGCTGCCTTGTGTTCTGTGGAAGAAATGTAGGCTGTCATTAGATTTGCTGCAATGGTTGTGTGGGTTAATCATTGGGGGCCAGGCCACCCCAACACAGGCTTTTCTGTTGGAGATGTTAGGGACTTGTTTATGTGATCTGGGCTGCCTGAGATAGTTTCAGAGGTTGCTATTATCCTAAATCAGCAACCGCCTGTTTGCATTGCCAAGGAGGTTTTTGAGTGATTCAGCCTCACCCCTTGGGTGGTCATTGTGTGAGCAGGGAATTCTGTATTCCGCCCACCAGGTGTGCATAAAGAGAACCTCACTTTTGCTTATAGCCTTTCACGATGATTTATCTTGGAGAATTTGAGCAAGGTGAGTCAAGGGCCACACGTTTTCATTAGCAAGTCTTTCCTCACCTCCTGTTCGCTGGTGCCTGTGGACTTTGCATTTGTAAATGAATTGGAGTCTGAAGTGAGTTAAGACTGACTTGTTCCAGAATTGCAGTCTGGTGTCTAGGGATCCATGTTAAGGAATAGAGCCGCCCAGTATTAATTCTGGAGAGAGATCTCCTCCTGCTCCCTTGGGTTACCAGGTGAACACCTTTGCCTTGGCAACAGCCTTATTCGTTCACTCAGTTATAGACAAAATATTAATTGCCAGCTTTCTGAGAAGAGAAAGTCATAAGGTGAGCAAACCTGTGATCAGACACTTGACTGCTGATGGTGGCTAGAGAGTGGTCACTGTTTTACTGCAAAAACAAAACTAGAATAAGAGTCACAGATGTTGTAAGGGATAAGGGTGTTGTTGTTTTGGTCTCTTTACTAGCATTTCAACAGCATCACATGTCACAATAATGCATTGTTAACATCCAGATGTTTCCAGAATACAGGACAAAAGAAACATTCAGTATTTATGTAGCTGCCTTGAGCGCTATTTTGAAATGGAACAGTATGCTATAAATTATTGTAATAAACTGCAGTGTTTAAGGGAATCTTTAACAGAAACTATCACTGGAGTACAAAGATGGTTAAAATATTGCAAGACACTTACAGAATCATGGAACTGTAGAGTTGGAAGGAACCCCAAGGCCATCTAGTCCAACCTCCTGCAATGCAGGAATCACAGCTCAAGCATCCCTGACAGATGGCCATCCGAACTCCAAGGAAGGAGAGTCCACTGCCTTCATGAGGTAGCCAGTTCCATTTTTGAACAGCTCTTACCAGCAGAAAGTTCTTCCTAATGTTTAGTTGGAATCTCCTTGTAATTTGAGTTACATTCAGATTATATCATTGTTTCCAATACATCAATTGATAAAGAGCAACTCCGACATTGCTCAAAATTTTTGTGTGATCTCCTTCCTTCTTTTAATTATATACTTTCTTTAAGCCTCCCCATTTCTGCAATTTTTCAAATGTTGCAAAACCAATCTGTAGCCCAGCATGAGAAAGACCATCAGCAGATGCTGTTTATTGGATATCCAATTCTTCATGGCTGTCAAATGCTTTTATATAAGGAGTGTGACACTTCTTAGTCTTTAGAATTATCCATCACACTCCAATAATGTAAGTTTAAGATTGAAGGGATGTTGTAATTCAACAATCAACCTCATTGCATGAACAATTCTTTCCGTCCCCCTCCCCTGGTAGGCACACATTTCTGGACACGTGGATTTTGCTGTGCCATGTAATGGAGTGATTTAAAGTAGGGTGAAAGTGCTTTTAAAATAATAAGAAAGGCATTTTACAAAGTGACCGGCATTATGGAGATTGCTCTCTGGATGAATTTAGAAATTGGCACTTCTCCGAAAAGCAGTGGGCCTTGTTAAAAAATACTGGTTGTTTTGCCAGTTTTGTATTTTGCTCTTTGTGGTCTTCATGGCAGTAACTTGCTTAGTCCATAATAAGATGTTCTAGCATAAATGCACAGTGACTTAGTTTCTTTCCCCAAATTGTCAAATGCACATGGTGAAGCAGAGCCAAACATTTCAAAAGGCCATGTCACAATACGCTTATTAGCCTTTATGGTGCAACAGGAATCTTTCAATGTTTTTGCTACAGCAGATTTAACTCTGTTACTCTTCTGGAATGTTTTCAGTCAGGTTTAATTAACTTTTTTCTATTAAGCATAACACATTGCAAATCCACTTTTAATCTTTAAGATGGGCGGGTGCAGAGACTCTTAATAGGGGTTAATTTAGCCCATGTTATTAACTAATCCAGACAAATCCTTTGTGCAGACGTTTGTTTGGCTATGGGGATAGAGCCAGGGGAAGCCAACTGTCCAAACTCCATAGCACTTTGAGATTTTATTATATTAAGCAGTCTAACATGTTAAATAAATAAAGGAGCTGGTGGGATAGAATGTCTGCTATTCATCTGCCTTCGTCTTGATGCACAGTTGGGCATGGCTTGTTCCCAGGAGTCACATTTCAGCTTGATGTGTCTCTGCCTTTCTCATTCTTCATGCAGGTGACTGAGCATGGCAAAGCAGCTCTAGGTGACCTTCGTCCTGGTGATGTCATAATCTCCATCAATGGAGAGAGCACTTCCGAGATGCTCAATGTGGAAGCACAGAACAAGATTAAGCAGAGCTCTGGGCAGCTGCAGCTGCAGGTGGACAGGTAAGGTTGCCTGTAGCAAGGGCCGAATTAACCATAAGCAATTGCGCCAGAGGTTCCTGGCCCCCTAGTTTTGGGGAGCCAAATCAGAGCATCCATTCTTTCACTGTGCCTTTAATGATGTCATCAGTGAAAGTAAAATAAAGGAATACTGAAAGGCACAAAACTGGAATGAGCAATGTCAATAATCAGACATAAGAACATTTTAGTGCTTTTTTCCTGGACGGACAGTTGCAGTCCTTCTCTCCATTTCCATTTGGGTTGTGGACAAATAGGGCTGCCATTCTGCAATCCTGCTGCTTTGGGAAGTTCTAGCAACTGCTCTCCTGTCTTGAGGGGGACAAGAACTGCTGTTTTAGGAGCTGGGGAGGATGCTTTTAGCTCTTAGTTTCAGCTGCAGTGGGTTGTCCTTTCTTTTCTGTGTCAGTTAACAAAAGGCAAGTATGGTGCTCTCTACCAATTGCTTGGTTCTCCCACAAATGCCATTTAATTTCATAAAATTCAAGATATAGATCCGTGGTTGCTGAGCAAAGGCCCATGGATGTTCCTGCATTCAAAGTGAGGGGCCTTATTTAAAAGGAAGGAGGAGGAATACATCCTGTCAAGAGCGACTTACTGTAAACAGAAGCTGGAGTAGAGAGTGGAGTGTTGCTCTCTGGGTAACTTGCAGAAGATTGGAATTGGAACACCTAAAAAGTTTGCCACCTCCACTGCTGAATTTGACTGCTAAAACACTTGGGGGGAACCAGCTGTGATTTTTGGGGTGTTACTGTGAGCTCAGTTCTGGTTTTGAAAACAAACTCTTGTGCTGGACATGTGCTCAGATGCACCCTCTTCCGTAATCCAAAATGAATCTCTTCCACCCTACAGTTTCGCATCTGGATCTGGTTGGCAGATTCATGAGATGCTAGTAAAAAAAAAAAAAAAAAAAAAGAGCAAAAGCAAATCAAATCAAAACAACAACAATTTAGGCTATGCAAGGCTGACATCTGCCCACTCTTGAGATAAAGACGCGAAGTGACGAGTGGACCGGTTGCACCAGGAATAGGAATGGACTGTGTCTGTCCAAAGTGGGAACTGTGAGGCTACTGCCTGTGGCCTCCATTATGGGAAGCGCCCTCAGGTTCCTGGCCATTGGTTCACGTTCTGCTGTGGGTTAAAGGCTTGGGAGGTGGGCAGGGCCTCCTTGGATTAACTCCTGGAGGCTTCTGTTAATGTTGAAAAAGAGCAGTAAGAAGTAACCCAGTCCCAGTTCTCAGGCCAGTTAATGCAAACAAACTGGGGTGACAGACAGGGTGCTAGGACTTTTTACATTTTAAGAACACTCTTAAAGAAGTGTATATTAAAACCTATGAGCATTTGGGTGTTTGCTGTTTTGTGTTATTGTGACATTTCCCTTCTCCCAGCAAGGTCTGTCCTTAGGAGCCCACTCTGGGCCTGCTTGTCATACGTGGGGACTGCAGGGGTCAGACACTCTGAAATGGTGCACCCAGCCATCTCCTTGGCTGTACCCTGGAAGGTGCAGGGGAAAGCAGCTAAAATCCCTGAACTTTTGTGTACATAGGGCATGAGGTCTGTTCTGAATACAGCTTGTGGGTTATAAGGACAGAGCCAGGGGCTGGCTGGCTGGAGTTGACTGACTATTGGTTTCCCTTGCGCAGTGTTCAGGAGCTGTATTTTTTGGCTCTGAGAGCATGCTAGTGGTTTGCAAAGCAGCACAAAGCTAAGCTGGGGCGGATTAGCTGGGAAGAGAAGCAGCTTGGGCAGTTGTTTTCCTGCTGCCCAGGTCTGACTGGTTCTAGAGCCTGGGGCTGTTCTTGGGGAGTAGGGGGGAAGGGGCAGTGCTTGTCTGTATATTCTGTGCCAAAGGGAACTTGGGAGGTGTAGCTTGGTAAGCCCTGCAGATGAGGGGTGTCCTGTGTGAGGGGGTCAAAACCAACTTCTTGGTGCTGCTCTGGTTCTGCTTTATTTATACCGGTGTGTCTACTCTACATGCACAGATTCTGTGGCCAAGGAAGATCAAATTCTACCATAAGAATTATGACAGAAACCTAATCTGCACAATGCATGTTTATTGCAGTGTATTGTTATTTTATTGTTATGTTTTTGTAGAATTAAGATGGATTTTGATTAAGCACAGGCCTGGCAGATGCCAAGGCAAGAGAAAAGGCTTTTGAGGAGGGGAGTGAGGCAGCTGAGGCATGAGAACAGAAAGTTGGCTTAGAGGGGGGAGGAGGAATAAAAAAAGCCTTACTCTTAGGTAGCTGAAATATTTGCCTGAAATTTGCTCTGCTTTTGAGCCTCAAGTTTCAAAGTACTTTCAAAATTTCTTTTGTCTGCCGAAAGGACTAGAAAGCCTGCCAAGAACGGTTCCCAGTGTAGTGTGTGTGTGATCATTTCTTCCAATGGGAGGTGGGAGAAATCCTAAAAAACTAACTTGCTTTTGTATGAGTACATTTTAAACAACCCCATTGACTAGCACCAATGGTGGGCTCAAAAAATAACAGCCCAGCAGTCTAGTCTTACTTTTCCTGCTGCGCCTGGCATCCAGCTATCAAAGCTGGCAAATTAAAACTCCTTGGTGCAGTGAGAGGGAGCAACCGAGCGCAGAGGACTTTTTGGGCAATGGGAGAGAGCTTGTCTCACCGCCAGGGTGGGGCAGGCCCTTCTGGGATTCTGTTGTTGGGCAAAGCATGCTACAGAGCACAGGACAGATGTGTGTGGAAAACCTCAGCCCACTGGCACTCTCCTTGCTAATCCTGAATGTCCCTTTTCAAACTCTTAATGGTGGCAATTGATACTTGTTTTGGAAGAAGGTTTACAAAAACAAAAAAAGCTCTGTGTTTGCAAACAGATTCTCCTCCTTTCAAAGGGCCTGTGAAAGTGAAGTAAGCCAGAATAACTCTGCTTCAAGGCGTGTTGAAGATGCACCTCCCACTGGGTCCGGTGCTGGAGTTTTCCTGTGCCCTGTTGCATAAGCCCAGCTGGGTCTGTAATAATCCCACATGAGCCTGCATGTGACTGCAAAGCTAGTGAGCTGTGAAGTAGCCTTTGGGGCACTGCACATGTGGGCAAGGCTGGCAGTATTGCCCAGGGCGGGGAAACGGGTAGCAATCTCCTAGTCTCCGATGAGTCAGACTCTGTGACAGACGAAACCTGGCCTTGTCTTGGGGGTGGGGAGAGGGATGGAGGGGAAGAAGCAGACTGTTGCATTGTGTAAAGCCATTTGACAACAGGCCGCTGTCCAGGGTGTGGTCTTCTAGTGGCATGACTCAGATATTCTCTTTCCCCACCCAGTGCTGGCCGATACTGGAGTTTGGCCCGCAGCCTCCGGTGCAGCACAGCTGAGTTCAGTTCATGAGGGAGTCCTGGAGTGCGTGGGGGTGGGGGCAGTGGCTGCGGAGCGGGGTACAGCCCTAGCTCAGGTTCCTCGAGTTCCTTTCTGGTGCCCGATCTGCGCTATCCACTTAAAGCGGTATTGCACCGCTTTGCATAATTGTGGCTTCTGCCAAAGAATCATGGGAACTGTAGTTTGCTATGAGTTGTAAGAGTTGCTAGGAGACCCCTCCCGCCCCCCAGCTACAATTTGCAGAATGGTTTAACAATCAATCTCCTTCACAGGGAACTCAGGAAATTGTACCTCCGTGAAGGAATAGGGGTCTCCTCCTAACAACTCTCAGCATCCTTTACATGGCTTAAAGCGGTATAATTGTGCTTTCATTATGCCATGCAGGTGGTGCCTGGCAGCTGGGGTTCAACCTGAACTGTCCCACTCAACACCCGCAGTGTGAGCCTTGACATGGCCTTGTCACGCCTCTCCTAGCTTGCAGGCTCTGGCTTGTAGGCTCACAGTGCTGTGGCATGCGCACATGAGTGTTCTGCAGACCAGCTGGGCAGGGTACAGCGACATGCCTTTCTGCACCACTTGGCCACTTGGTCAGTCTTCTGCCTCACTGCTGGGTCCCCTTTCCTTGTTTCTTCTGCTTTTGACATGCAACGGATGCTAGATGAGAGTTGGAAAGTCTTAATGTATCTTGGCACCACCCCAAAACCGACAAACTGAACTGAAGGAGCTTCAGGAGGCAGCATTCCTCTCATTCCGGGGCCTTCGGCTCATCTTTTTCTCTTCCTCCTCCACCCTCTCTGGAGCAGGATGCTTCTCCCCTGCCCCCACCCTACAGTTGTCCTGGGGCGCTTGGAGCTCTTTGAGTTAGCTGAGTGCTGGGTGCCTTTTTGTCTCTCTTTCTCTGAAGTAGCAAACATTGAGGTCCATGTCAGAAACCTCAGTTGGAAGTGACAGTGCAGAATATTGTACTAAAAGCTCAGATTTTTCTCCCTGAGTTTCTAACTGTTCTTTGGAGTTTCTGACTGTTCTTTGGAGACCCCTTCAGCCATAGCCAGGTGAGGACTTGGGCTTGTGTGTTGCTCATTGCTAGGGATGTAAGAAAGCTTTGGTTTCCATTCCAGCCTTGCGTTCATCTCATACAGCTCTGCTTCCTTTCTGTTGCAGATGGGCTTCTTACTGTCCACTGTGGTGTTATATATAAATCAAGTTATCATTACACAATTCCACACCATTCATTTCAATGCAAAATAAATACAGTGCAAATTTTTGGGTGGTATGAATTATGTATTATTATGTATCATTTGTGGACTGGAAATAAGAACAGCTAAAACAGATCATATTTGCTGAACAGATTTCCGTTGTGGAATGAGATGAATGTTAATATAAACAATTTCCATTCACACTTCCACCTAAATTCTCCAACATCCCTACTTCCTGCTGCCATTGTTCCTTGACCACTTGGGGGCAATTCCCATTCGCAACCCTCTGTCTCCACTCTGTTCCAGAGATTTCCCGGTGTGCCCTGGAGGTTTCTCCCTGGTGTAGGAATTCCCTCTATCCCTCTCCCTCTTCCTGTAAGTGTGTGCAGCATCCCCACACGGTGGACACCCGTTTTCCTGCACAGGAGGAGCTGCACCTAGGATTTTTTAAAAGGGGGGGGGAGGGCCATAGCTCTGTGGTAGAGCATTTGCTTTGCATGCAGAAAATCCCGGGTTCCGTCCCTGGCCTCTCCGGGGGGGTGGGCTGGGAAGGTCCCCCGCCTGGAAGCCCAGAGAGCCATTCCCAGTGGCTGGGAACAAGATGAGCTGGCTGGACCAGCTTGGGGGCAGGCAGCTTCCACCTATAATGCTTCAGACAAATGTCCAAAGTGCATCATGCACCTCATCCTGGAAGTTACAGCACAGCACTGTTTTGCCCAGATGGGGAGTTTTGGCTGAGGGAACAGTGACTTACTTGCCTAAGGCCACCTAAAGAATTTGTGACTGAGGTGAAGTTTAAAGCGGGGATTTCCTCTCTTGCACTTTTTACCACTAATTTTCAAAACTTGTTCTTCAGATAACACTCAGGAAAGATACTTTGGGGTTTTTTAAGGCTTAGGTTCTGAGAAGTCGCCACTTGATCTCGCCTGATTCTTGGTGGAAAGCCATTTATGGTCATGCGGATTTTCAGGCCCGTCTACATCAGCCCTCCCCGTCTTCCTTTCTGCCCTTCTGGAAGCTTCTCAACCTGATTTTCAGACTCTCCACATGAAACTCTCTGGCTGAAGTTACCTCAGTCTGGCCTTGGTCCCACCCAGATCTGGCTGGCTTGGCGCTGGGCCTCTTCTTTGCGGAGCCCAGAACAGGCCCCCTCCGCCTCCTTCGGTGGGGCCAGGGGTCCGCCTTTATTTTTATGTTGGCTACAGTCTGCCATAGGAATGCAGAAATGCATTGCATAAATTGGTGAATAGAACCTCTTTGAAAAATTACTGGGCGGGGGGAGAGCCTCTCATTTATGAAGTATTCCCTCCCCAACTCTTTTAAGCCCATAAGCATATTTGGAAATGTAGGAAACTGTTGTGCTCACTACAAAATATGAATTTCACATAAGAGAACTGGCAATACCCAGACTCCCCCCCCCCCTCAAAAGACCTAGGCAAATCACTCCTGTACTTTAAAATACAGACAAAAAGTAGCATAACAAGGCTCTCCAAGCAAGCAACCCCCCACAACTGAACAACCACAAAAGGCAACCCCCCCCCCCAATTTAAAAAATAGAAATTGAGAAGAGCAGACGCCTTGACAGGCACCATGGGATGTGCATCTGAGGGTGCCCCGGGCAAGAACCCTAGCTTAGTGGCAGGTCCTGGGTTCCATCCCTGGCAGACTCTGGAGACAAATTGATATAGATGGACCCAAGGTATAATGCAGATTTGAAAAATAATTCCTTCTTTGTGTGCCTTTTCCTTTTTTCCCCCTTTTTTTGAGGAGTTTTGTCCTTGACTGACCCTTACTTAGAAGTCTAGGAGCTGGGAATTATTTTGCATCCCCCCCTTGCAAACATAGATTTAGGTTGCCATGCTAATGGTACCCTGCCAGTTACTTATTCCACATAAAGATGGTCTCTGCAGATAAGCACACACTCACGTAATTACATTACAGTAAGGACTTGCTATCAGCCTTCGTGCTAGGAATGGCCAGTTGGTAGCTTTCAGGCTTAATCTGCCTCCCAGTTGAGGCAATTATACGTCTCCTTGGAGGCCATACCAAATTTTAATCTGAGTACAGTGTAAAGTAGATGTGGGCAGGCTTGCAGGTTCTGCTTTGTTTTATAACTCTGACTCTGAGGTTCTCCATCCAAAGCCTGGTCCAAATGGCAGTTCAGGAGTGGAGCCAATTGTCTAATGCACCCCATGAGCTGTATTCTAGGATGACCTGAAAATTGAAGTATGAATTACATCTGGGTTAGTACAGTTCAGCCTCATTTAAGCCTTTGTGCTGTTGATGCTGTTAATAACTGGGTCTCAGAAACACAGCCTACCACATAGTGTCCTGATTTTCTAGGGATAGTCCCAGAATTACTGAAGCCATCCTGGTTTCTAATTTGATCCCAAAATGTTCCACTTTTCCTTTTTCCTCCCCTTCATGTATTGGAGAACAATTAAAAGTGGTGGACAGATCAGACCCACCCCCCTCCTGTCCTTTTGGGAAACAGGAACTTTTGTCATGATTAAATGGAGTCCTGTTTATACTGAAAATAAAATATTTACACCAAATGAAAGAAACAGTGATCCTGGCACATACCTGTAGAACTTCCTATAATATTGAAGGAAAATGTAACCAATCCACTTTAAATTCTTTAATTGCAAAGCTTCAGCAGCCAGCCATTTTTTAGGAAATGCATTGAGTGTTCATTCCTTTATTGTAAACTGAGCCTTACACTGTCTACTCAGAAGTAAGGCCCACTGTATTCACTGGAGCTTACTCCCAGGTATCTGGGTAAAGACTGTGCAGCCTTACATTGCAATCCTAAACATTTCTACTCAGAACAAAGTCCCCAATGAGTTCAGTTACTCTCTGGTATGTTCCTGATCATTCTCACAGTTTCCATTCTTACTATTGCTATTACTATATCGCACCTTTTCCTGCCTTTTTCAAGGTGGCTTACAGTTAAAATTTTATTTCATTCCATTTATCTGTTTACAACAATTCTGTGAGGCAGGTTCCTTGCAGAGGTTGTCATCAGCTCAAGGTGACAGATGTCAATGTGTATATGACGTTTAGGTGTGTGGGAGATCAAGTACAGAGAAGCTTCCTGGTGGAGAATGGAGTGTCCCTTTTTTCACTGGAGGGTGTGCTACCAGTAGATGCAGACTGAGCAAGTTAAAGGTTCCTGGCATCTCCAGGTTGGGCTGCAAAAGACTCTTCTCTGAATCCATGGAGAGTGGACAGTAGTGAACTAGATGGACCATTGGTCTGGTGTGATTTACCTGTATGACTGCTTACTATAACTCCTGCCCACCACTGGTGCAAAGCATGCCAACAGTTTGACTGTTGAGAAAATAAAAGCTATTTGCTAATTATGAGAAACTGAGAGATTCTATGCTTTAATGATACATCTCACTCTCTTCATTTTAAAGGTGATGCATGTGAGATATCTATCTGCATATTCATACACCTTAATGACTGGGAAACTCATTGCTAGCTGGTGCCAACCTTATGGAGTCCTTGCAAGTAATTGTGGTTTTCTTTTTCGTGGCAATAAATGCCTCTGGGCTTGGACTACTATCTGGAAAATATTCCCCCCACCCACTTCCCAAAGAATACAGACTATCCTTGAAGCATGCTTACCATAAATATGTGGTCCTGTGGACTGTGCCATATCCCGCCTATTTGTCATCCCCTTTGCTCTCTGCGTTCTGTCCTCATCCCCATCTCACTGCACTGCCTCCCCTCCCCTGCCTGATTTAATTCCCTTTAATGAATTCCAGATTCCAGCTACATCAAAGCCCCAGATGCATTCCTCTTGAGAGAATATAAAGGCAGCCGCTTCTCTCTGACCACCCCGCCAATTTCAGAGTCTGGGATTGGGGGCAGGGGAGGTATCCAACCGTGCCCCTTGTTTTGCGGCTGGAGCCAGCACCTCCTCTGATGGAGGTTAGTTGGGGGTAGTACAAGGCTGCTTTGATCCCTATATGGGAGGGCAGCTCTCTGTTCATCCTGGTGGGAGGGCAGCAGTATTAGGGTAGCTCTCATACTTGCCATCTGTGCCTCATTTGAAAGCCATATAGTGAACACCCTTTGTGGGAGAAGCAATCTCTCTCTCTCTCTCTCTCTCTCTCTCTCTCTCTCTCTGTGTGTGTGTGTGTGTGTGTGTGTGTTCATGGGAGGGGGTGCAAAGTAAGGCTACTCAAGGTTCAAATGGGGATGTGGTACACACACCAGACCAGAAATCTTAACACTTTTTGAAATCAGCACATACCAAAATAAAACTACCCCCTGGTTCCTCAGATTTGAGTAGAAACTGGTCACACATTTTCAGTGTTTTCCTTGATTAATTGTGCTTGCAACCTATGCTGGTCACACAATAAAAATTATACTGCTCCTGTAATCATAATAGCTAGGAACACAATTTTTAGATGTCATTTTTTAAAAAGATATTATACTATGTATTAAATTTCCATTTGTAATTTGAGTGCATTTTATAGATTAATATGTTAACCACTTAGAATGTTTTGCAGTAAGTATATGAACTTCTACAAGCTTAGGGTTAGAGACAGAATCTCATTCTTCAATGACCTTTGAACCCTGTGGATGCACTTTCTTCTGGATTCACTGCAAGACTGGAAGGGTCGCCTGCTTATAAGCCCTTGCGGGTGGTTGCTTTGAGTAGCACAGACGTCAAGGAAATTGCCAGCCCACTGACTGTTTTATTCCCTATCAATCTTCTTCATCTCTTTTCCAGGTCTCAACCATTTTCTCCCAGTCAGACAAATGGTGAGAGTTCAGCAGAGCTGTTGTCCATACGGTTTCAGGTGAGCACCCCTCTGCTTCTGACACCAGGTCTCTAGATTGAAGTATACGGTGGGGCATCCTGAACCATGCATTTTATGTATGTATTTTTTGTCAGTAATTTACACCCCATATTTCTGTCAAAGTGACTAACAAAGATTTGAAAACATCGATAAATACAATTAAAAATATTAAAACAAGACAGAATATTAAAAAATACATCTGATAAAACTTTAGAAAATAGTACCTAGGGAATAAACCAGTGGGTTTTACTTTTACATAGAACTGTGCTGCATAACAATTCATTAAGAGAGCTAATGATTTAACAGGTATAAAATGGTTTTACTTGCCTTCCACAGAGCAAGACAAGCTGAGGCAAAGTGGATCTCCCTCAGGGGGGCCTTTTTCTTTTTGTCTTCACATACAGAAAGGCAGCTGGGCACTGTTCCCTTGACCCATTAATACATATCTAACCTAAGTGTGGCCCTCTGCTACCTCTTACCTGGCCCTCGGAACTCTTCACAGGCCACACCTCCTGCCTGGGTTACACCTCTCACTGAACCTGTTCCATAACTGCCTCCAGTTTTTTGGCCTAGCAGGAATCTGTCCTTTGGCTCTTGAACTGGCCCCTTGCTTCCCTGATGGAGAGCTGCAGGTGTGGAAACTTGTTCGCTGGGCCACAGCTGGACTGTGTGCAAAGATACGAGTCTCCTCCACTGCCCCAGCTACCGCTGTCACGTGCCCCAACTAGGAATTCAGCCTTTGGTCTAAAAAAGAAGTCCCGTCCCCCCCCCCCCCCGCATTGATATTGCCCCTCTTCTGCCATACTATAGAGATCAGGGCTGTGATATTCCTTTTCCCTAAAAGTTAGCATTACAAATAGGCACAAAGTGAAAACCACTGGACAACACAAACATTGATGGGTGTTATGTATTCCAACATTCCTTATACCTGGCTCATTTAATTCAGATCTTGGGATAATGTTTTTCTTTATTTGCCTGTGTATAATTTATGTAAGTTTTCCTCCTTCATCTGTATCAATAATCTTCCTTAGCCATCCTACAATTGACAGAACAGTGTCAGTTTTCCAGTGTCTCACTCAACCAATTTTCGCTGCTGTGATTATTTGCCAAACTAGATGTTTTCCTTTTGGCAGCAAGCCATCAAGCACTTTCAATCCACACATTTAAAGGATCTGTTAAAAAAATACCCCAATTCAACCATTTCACAGATAGCTTTCCAGTACTGCTTTTCTTTCAGATAATTCCAACGCAAATTGGAAAAAGCAGCCTGATATCTTCAGTATTTATATTATAAAATTCTATGCTATATCCTGTTAAGTTTGGTCAGAATGAAGGTGTAACTAGACATGCCTTTCCCAATGTGCTGACTGGCGCTGATGGCAGTTGGAGGGTGCCAGTTTGGGGAAGACACCTGTAGCAGATCCATGATTCGGATCTCTTATTGTTAACACACAGAGAGACATGTGCACATAGAAAGAGGCCAACATGAGACACGTACTCCAAAAAACACATACTGTAGGGTTTGTGTTGTGATCACGTATCTCTGCCAGGATATGAATATAGGTGATACATGGAAATGTATCATTACATCTCAGTTTGTTGAGAATGTCAGCTCTTCAACAAACTTTCAGGTGCTTATGGGTCATTCACGGGTACAGGCCTCTGCTTGCCTTTGTTGCTGAATTTCTGTTTCCATGAAAGCCGAGGCTTAAAAGCTTTATGTTGAGGGCTTCTGCCCCTGGGCATCCATCTCTCTCCACCTACATTTTTGACATACAGTCTTTTTCTCAGGTCCTTTGTAGTTTTCACTCTGATTGGCAGCGGCACCCTGTGAAAGGCCCTTCTCTGACAGTAGTCTTCTCCTGCACTACTTCAGCTGCTGCCATGGGATGAAAGTTTATCAAAAATAAGACCAAGACTCTTGCAGCATATTACCCTGTTGCTGAGATGTCTACTCTGGCTGCCAATTTGTTACTTGAGTGTAGCTGCACCCATTTTCCAAAACTCTCTGCCAGTTAATGCTGGGTGTGTACCTTTCATCTATTATTATTATTAGTATTATTATTAATATTAATATTAATTAATATTATTAATATTAACATTAACATTATTTTTTATACCACATAATGCCAAATAGACATTAGGTGACACTCACTTAAAACCTTTTGGCACCAACTAAAATCTATTTTGTTTATGTAAGCCAATGCAGACATGTAATTTTATTACGTACATTGGTTTTTTTAAGTGTTCATTTTAGCTATGCGCTTATAAATTGTATGTGTATTTTCCAAAGTTTGCTTTTAAAGTCTGGTTTTATTATTGTTTTCTTTTTTCTTACTGTTTCTTGTAAACCACTTAGAGATTTTTGTTAAGCATTATATAAATCTTGTTTTAAAACAACTCGATAACCTGAGGAAACGGCCCTGGAATCCTTAACGGGATGGGCAGGCTCCGTGAGTGGTGCGGAGTCACTGAGCCCTAGCCGTTCCCACAAACTTCTGATAACCTGAGAAAGGAAGCAGTTCCATGGGCAGGCTCTGACAGGTGATTGCTGCTCTGCCAGCATTGTCCTGCCTCAGTAATCACATTGATGGTCCTTCCCACAGAATTGCTCCCTTTCAAACTTTCCTAACCCTGCATGGGAACAAAACTGGGCTGAGCCAAGACTCGTGTTATTATTAAAGCAGGTAGAGGAAAACTTCCTTGTGCATTAACTTTTGAGATACCATCAAAGAGTAGTTAGTGTTGATTATTATGGGCTATAGGTGGTGTCACTTAGATTTCCTTTACACACAGAAGGTCCCAGGTTCAACACCAGCATCTCCAGGTAGGGTTGGGAATGTCCCCTGCCTAAAACTCTGGAGAGCTGTTGCATTTAGTGTAGACAATTAGGAGCTAGATGGACCAATGATCTGACTTGGTCTGATGATCTGAGCTAGATGGACCAGTGATAAAGCAGATTTATGTGTCTCTATGCAGCCTATCAGAGATGCGGGTGGCGCCGTGGGTTAAACCACAGAACCTAGGACTTGCCGATCAGAAGGTCGGCGGTTCGAATCCCCGCGACAGGGTGAGCTCCCGTTGCTCGGTCCCTGCTCCTGCCAACCTAGCAGTTCGAAAGCACATCAAAGTGCAAGTAGATAAATAGGTACCACTCTGGCAGGAAAGTAAAGTAGATAAATAGGTACCACTCTGGCAAGTAGATAAATAGGTACCACTCTGGCAGGAAAGTAAACGGCGTTTCCGTTCTCTCCTCTGGTTCACCAGAAGCGGCTTAGTCATGCTGGCCACGTGACCTGGAAGCTGTACGCCGGCTCCCTTGGCCAGTAAAGCGAGATGAGCACCACAACCCCAGAGTCGGCCACGACTGGGCCTAATGGTCAGGGGTCCCTTTACCTTTACCTATGCAGCCTATCTGTCTTGACATGGTTTTTTTATGGACTTCTCCTGTAGGATGTTGTAAGAACCAGAGACGATGGTCAGAACTCAGTGAGATCTTCCTACTCCAGCCCAGCCTCCATCAGTCCACGGCCCAGCAGTCCCTACTCTCCTTCATCTCCTGGATACCGAGCTGGTAGCCCATACAGTCCCCAGAAGCCTGACCTACCCAGTGAGGACAGAGGGGAATCCGTGGTGAACAGCCGCAGGTATATAATAATCCTGATCCATGTGACTCTGCCTCCTGTTTCCTGTAAGCAGCCAGATGCCTCCATGCTCTGTTTGTGGGTTTCTTCCTGGCAAGAGTCCTCCCCGCAAAACATTGGAATTTGAGGTCTACTGCATCAGTCCAATGGAATCTCCATGGCCAGTCATAGCAGCTGCAACCCCCTTTGGTTTAAAACACAGCTAGATCACTCTCTTTCTCTGTTTGAATTGAAGGGGGTGTTTGGGAAAATGCATCAAAACACAGTATTTCATAAGAAGCAACAGGATAGATACGGGAAAGGTATGGATTGTGACTAATGTCATCTGTATGCCACTTCCCGAACCAGCAGTGGAAGCACACTGGGTGAAGAGTAAACATGGATATGTACACAGCCTAAATCATTGCATCCCAGTGAATTCCATAAGTTACTGATGCATTGTATAAAATATTTTCTTTTGTCTGACCTGAATTTACTTCCAATCAAACTCATTGGCTGATCCCCAATTCTAGTACGTGTGGGAGAGTCTAATCTTTGGACTCAGCTACATTAGGTTTTTTTAAAAAAGTGTTTTATATACATTATAACACTGTGGCACCAGATGGCGCAATGGAGATTTCCCACTTTGAGATTTACAACGTGTTTTCCTAAAACACCTTTTTGATGTGTCTAGATCAGGCATAGACAAACTCAGCCCTCCAGATGTTTTGGGACTACAACTCCCATGATCCCTAGCTAATAGGACCAGTGGTCAGGGGTGATGGGAGTTGTAGTCCCAAAACATCTGGAGGGCAAAGTTTGCCTATGCCTGGTCTTGATCCAGCGTCTCTCTTTTTCTCATTCGGGTATCATTTTATCAGCAACTCTCAGGTCCCCTTTGGACATCTTTAAATTAAAAAGCCCCAAATGCTTCATCCTTTCTTCTTGTAAAGATACGCTTTCCGCTTGCTCAATCTGGTTGCCCCTTCCTTTATCTTCTTCCAGTTTTGTAATATCTTTTTTGAGATGTGGTGACCAGAAGTGTCCCAACAATATTCCAAATGCCCCATAGATTTTAACATTGTAATGTTGTTTTGTTTTGTTTTCAGTCTTCTTTCTAATATAGAATTTTCTTTGTCATTTTTGCTGTACATTGAGTTGATGGATTCACTGAGCTGTCCAGAATATCTTTTTCTCATTGGTCAGGGTGCATTCAGATCCCAGTGCTCTCCATTATGGAGAGAGCCTTTTGGGGCTCTTCACAGTAGCTTGGGTTTTCTCCCTCCTAAAAGAACATCATCTCTCTCTCTCTCTCTCTCTCTCTCTCTCTCTCTCTCTGTGTGTGTGTGTGTTTGTGTTTGTGTGTGAACACTGTCAACAAAATTCTGGGTGGTGGGAGTTGTGGTCCAGCAAGATCTAGAGGGCCACTGATAATTATTTGTTACTTCTTCCCTGTAATGTGCAGATATTCACTGTAATATCTGTGTTCTCCTTTCAGCTTACATTCTCTGGAGAGCTCGTTGGGAATCTCTGATGAACCCTACGGGCAGCAGCATTCAAGCAGCAAGCAGGTAAAGATGCTTATGAGACTCCTTGGAGCCCCGGGGATAATGCCTGTATAGGACCATCGATGTATCCATGCTGCTGTATGCTTGGGGATGAACCCTGTCCTGAAAGTGTGTTTTCTGGAGCCTGTTTCTGCTGCCCCCTTTAGGCCGTGTCCTCCTTAGCTTCTGGTTTTTATCTGCTTTGTTGCACGTGTTGCTGTGTGTTAGCAGCACACCTGGCTAGGGGTGTTTGCTTGTTTTTACCTGGTGTCTCCAAGCAACAGCTGGGAGCTGGGGAGGCAGAACCAGTTTGGGGAGGCAGTACCTGCATCTCGTGGACACAAGAGGCAGGGTGTTGGCAAGTGATGCAGCCTCACAAATGCTCTGCTTGCCTCTCCTTCCTCCTGGGATCTATTAAAGTGTCTATTCAGAGCAATCCCCCTGACTGCTTTTGCCAAAGGGACCTGCTTGTGCTTTGGGCGGGGGGGGAAGCTTGTGTTTTGTGGCAAACCCTCAGACCTGAGACGGCTTTGCAGTGGTGCCTGTAACACTGTTCAGCTGAGCATCTCCTGTAATGTCAGCAGCTCGTAGCTTTCAAGAATTTATATTGAGTTTTTACTTGTAACGACATCAGAGACAGTGAGAGAATGAGAGAGAGAGAGAGAGAGAGAGAGAGAGAGAGAGAGAGAGATATTCACAGGATCCTCTTGCCGTCTTCTAGCTCCATTTTGTTTAGGTACTGTATCTCTCAATTGCTTCTTTGAGAAGGAATTGTGAGCCTTCTCTCTATTGAACAAATTGACATTGAGATTCCTGCATTGCAGGGGGCTGGACTAGATGACCCCTGGGGTCCCTTCCAACTCTACAGTTCTGTGATTCTATTATTCTGTGACATGTGTTTCAGTTTTGTTTATAGTTGGGGTGAGAGCTGAAAAGGCCGCAGGTGTGGGATATGCACAGAGGATCCATGGCTTCTCATGGCACATTGAACATGAAAGAGAAAGAGAGAGCTTCCAGTGCAGACGGTGGCTAAACTCTACAGAATTTGCATAGTTCTGGTTTCTTGAAACAAGCCCATCATCATTTTAATCTTTATGATAGCATTGAGAACTTAACAATATGTGGGCAGTTCTTTGCTTTTTAAATGCTTAAAAACCAGAGGGGCCTGGGTGATCAGGTTGTCTCTGGCTTCTTCAATAGGAACATTTTCCAGTACCCCCCCCCCCCGCCCCCTGCAATGCACACACATGCCATCCTATCCTCCTCTCTGTCTATCTTACACAAATATTTTCTCTTCCTTGGACCCATGTTTTTTGTGAATCCTGAGAGAGAGATGGGGGTGGGGACAGTTCCAGATTGTGAAATGAAATGAAGCATGTAAATTAAGTTCATTGAAGCATGTCTGCCCTGTTTGCATAATTTAAATTGCAGAATTTTGCTTTTGGGCTGCACTGTCCTGAAGGTTTTAGGTGGGTGTCAAAAGCAAAGTCCCACTCCAGTCCACCACAACAGAACATTAAAAAACCACACACATTAAAATATAAAGCTCATCACCACTACCTTTGGCCAATTTAATCCTGATATTCACAGAATTAAGACTAGACAGGCTGGTCTTAACGTTTAATAGGGCTCAGGTTAAACTTAGTTGGTAATCATAGAGGATTTCATGCTAGCAAAGCCCTCCTCTGCACTCCTGCAATCCAAACCCATTAGTCATAGGTTGTTGTAAAGCAAAGTGAGAGTGAGCTGGTGTCACACGCCATTCTCTCTGTCTCCCCTGCCTGTGGCATGGGATTAATAATTCCAAGTTACCTGCAAGGTTGTTGTATGGATTACACCTAGTTAGTGCAGGTGAGACTCAAAAGTACTATACAAAGGTTGATATGCCATTAATAATGATTACAGGATGCTTTCATGCTCCCTAGACATGCTACAGATGCCAAGACCTTTCTGGACCTGTCAAGTGAGCCTCCTATCCAGTTTCCCTGGGTGATTCTTCTGGAATGCCCCTGTCCTCCCTCTCTTCCTATGGTCTTTGTTGAGCCTCCTGATTCCTTGCCCATGTGTCCTGGCATCTCGCTCTCCTGTTGCTCTTGGGCTGGGTGCTGCTGTTTGTTTGCTTGCTTTGGCTCCAGGGGCTGGCCGCCCTCTGCTTTCTCTATGTTCTGGGCCTATTTTTCAAGCCCAAATTGGGAAGGGAGGTTGGCCCCAGAGCGCAGTGCTTGCCAGCTGGCACCTTGCTCGCCCAGCCCCTCAACCCCTTGGCTTCTCTGTCATGTTTTTCTTTCCTTCTTTGCATTTATTTGCTTTAGCTCTTGGCCCCATTGGGTGGCCTCCTCCCTACCCAGCGGTTGCATCAGTGGTGGGGGCTGAGATTTGAGTGTTGGAGGGTGGTTAAATGAGGCTTAGGCCTCCTTGGTTTCCTCTTATCTTATTTTCCTTGGCCGTGCAGTTCTTCAGATCCAGAGAGCAGTAATTAACCTAAAAGTGTTGCATTTCCTACGTGAGCCCCAAATTAAGGCGGAACCGGCTGCAGGCTGTCAGTCTGTTTCTGTTCTTCCTGGTGTTCACAATTGGAAAGTTTGGGTGCAAAGAAAGATTTACTGGCAAGTGGGTGCATGTTTAGGCATGTGTCTTCTACAGGGCTGGCCCACCCAGGAGGTGAGCTGAGACGGCAGAATCCACAGGGGCAGCAGATCCTGTTGTAGATCTTTATTCCCCATCCCCCTGCACACACACCCCTTGTTCCTGCTATAGATGCTCACTCACCCATGCCATTTGTGGTCTGCCTCAGGGGTCAAATTGTCTTGGGCCAGCCCTAGTGTTCTGGCTTGGACAGATCAATGGACCATCCCTATGAAAAGAGCCAGAGTCTGTCTATAGTGAGCCCACGGGACTAGTTTGGTACTTGCAGGAAGCTAATAAGCAGGGCACAAAGTCAGTAGCTGCCCACATTGTTGCTGCCCCAGCAACTCTCATACAGTGATAGACATTATGGAAAAGGGAGGTTTCATTTAACAATGATGTCTAATGCTATTGATGGGCCATTCTGCCCCAATGTTTGCCTAAGCTTCTTAGACTTGGCAATCAGTCTTTCTCTTGTTGGCCTGATCAGTAATGCTGTCTTCTGAAGAGTAACCTGCCCTGATGTCTGAAAAGGCATAGCAGTAAACCTCAGGTTCTGTTCCATCTCTGACATCAGTCTCCTAGCTCTAACCCCAGTCTTCCAGGCTCTACCAAAGCATGAGGGTTTGTGACTATTTTTTATCATTATTCAGAGTTGGCAACCTTAAATGTGTTTGGGGTGGGTGTGTTTGTGTTTGGTAGGTCTCCAAAGTTAGGCCAGTGGAGTCACTTAGCAAAGCTCCATGGAATGGTATGTAGGCCTAGGCTGGATCTTTGCATGGGTTTCATTATTCCTTGGAACTGACGGTGTCTCTGTGCGCTAGATGGGTGGGCACTCTGGAACCAAGGAACCAAGTCTTTGCTTGGAGGGCAAAAGAAGCGTGCTGAGGTCCAGCTGAAATCTCCTTTGAGCAGACTGGCACGGAAGGGGAAATCTCCCCTTTGTTGGGTAGGTGTCGTGTTATTGAGAATGGAGATCCTATGCAACACTGATTGCTGTGTTCCTATCAATTCCCTTGCACTCTGCTGCTTCCCAAAACATTTGCTTCTAGTTAGGAAGGCCTTTCTCCTTTCTTCCATCTCCAAGGCCTTTAAACAGGAGCAGATGCAGCGGGTAAGGAAATTCTATCATTTGGGCTAGCAGCAGTGCCGAGCTTTCCAAATATCAAGCTGCTTGGGGGGTGGGGAAAGATGGGTAGAAGTCACACAGCAGAAGAGAGGAACGGAAGAGCACCAGGACACTGGAAGGGTGGGATATGTTTCTGCATGGTGCCTCTTGCTCTTACCTATCTATGTCCTGGTGACTTTCCCTGGATTGCTGGGTAAAGGCTTCCTTCCCTTCAGTGTGTTCTGCCCAAGCTTCTGCCTCACTTAGGGCCTGGGAGCACACAGACAACCTGTTCATTGAGCTTTCATCCTGATCTGCTTGCAAGAGATTGGACCCTTCTGATCTGCCCAGTGTGACCTAACCAGTCCATGACTAACCTCAAGAATTGCCTCAGAAACCTCATCAGTCTCGCTGCAATGGGATGGAAAGAGAGAGTTTGGTAACATTGCCGTTCACCTACTGGTGATACTGTGCTCTAAATCCCTGGAAGACCTCTCCCAGCAATTCAAGTGTTGCCACATAGGAGAAGAAGTTGTCTTGAGCCATCCAGGGAGACCTTGCACTCCAACTGGCAGGGCCTCTCCCACCACCTGATGCTTTGAACTGGAGGCGCCCGGGACTTGGCTGCCTGCTTTCTGTACGCAAAGCACGTGGTCTTCCACTGCACTGTCCCACCAGCTCCTGCAGCCTGTGCCCTCGTGACCCCCGTGGTGCATCTTGCCAAGAGCCTTGTGTTGGACTGGACCAGGGATCTACCAAACCATCATCATCATTTTATTTGTATGCCGCCTTTCCAAAGTCAAAACAATGCTCAAGGTGGCTTACAAAATAATTACCAACATAACAAAAGTCATAAACAATAAATAAAACACATCAAAAGGTACACAACCAAATGGAAAACATTTCCACATAAATCATAAAATCTAAAACTAAAAATACAACATTAATATCAATAACAATTTAAAATGACATAGATAAAAAACAAAAGCAATGTTAAAAAAGGAGCCCTCTCTGTTGAGCAGCAGCAGCCCTTTATGGAAGCTGGCAGGGCAGGTGGAGAGAGGCAGGGCCCTTCAGGCTCCCAGCAGGCAGTCCTGGGCCCTTGTTCAGCCTGAGGGCCACTTTCCCTCACAGGCAACGTTCTGGAGGCCGTCTGCTGGTGATGGATGGGGCCTGGTGCAAAACAGGGCTGAGCAAGGAGCGCTGATTGCCCAGGGTGGGGCGGAAGGAGCTCAGTTCTGCTGGGCAAAAGTATCCCCAGGGAGCCAGAGATTTCTGTTGAGGTGTTGCAGAGGCGCCAGGTGCCCCCAGTATTTCAGGGGCCTGGCGTGCATTGTGCATACATGACGTCACACAGTCCAGTCCTGACCAGTGCAGTCTTCCCCAACATTGGGCTGGGCCCCCTCAACATTGCGGGGGGTGGACCCCCTTCAAACACATATTGAGGGGGCTGAAGACACCTCCGCCCCCTAGAGCTGGCATGCCTGGGGTGTTATAAAGACTGGCGGGTGGGTGGGAGTCATGTTTTCAGCACCTAGTTGCCACAGTCGGTGTAAAGGGGGCGCAGCAAAGAGCCCTGAGTCAGGTTTCCACCCTTCTCTTTCCCCACTGGCCCCTTCGCTTCTGTGCCCCCTTCTTCCCCTTCATCTGTTCTGCTTCTTCCCAATTAGCAGCTGGAAAATGTATTTTGAAGGTGTGGGGCTCCCTCTTGTGGTTGGTGCATGCCCTGAAATAGAGAGGCGTGAAGGTTGTGGAAAGGATTTTTGGACAACACATCACTGTGTTGGGCGGTTGAATGTGTCCACCCAAAGGCTTTAGGCATTGATTGTTTTAGCTCAAGGATGAGTTATGGCCACAAGAATGTGCAAACTTCTTCTTCTGCCCCCTCCCCACACCCTTGCAGGAAATGAGTTCAATGTAGGGTTAACCTGTTTAACTTTAGCCCTATTCAAGTCTGTGTACAACTCTCCCGCTGTATCCTCAGAACAAGCTTATAATGACTCCTTGCCCTGCTGTAATGCAAAGTGCATCTTGCCATGGAGACCCTCCCAAATTGCTTGTAGAGTTTCCTTACGATGAAGTATCATGTGGATGGTCCTTAAAAGCCATGAGAGGACACGGGAGGACTATTGCAACAATGAACGTTGTAGTCCTACTGTTCTGCTCTATCATTTCTGATTTCACAGAGCAGCTCCATTCTTTATGGTTTGCTACCTTCACAACAAGGTCTGACACCGTTGTTCCCATTCCACTGGTGATCTGAGGCTGAGACAGGGATTTGGCAAGAGAGTGAAAGGCATCTGTTGCCAAGATGGACATGGGGCTCAGCTTCCCAGACATAAGACAAAGTCTCATCTGCTGGATCAGTTTGGCTCCAAAGTGGAGGTGCAATGTACCGTATCTCATGAGACTGTACAATTTGAACTTTGCATGATTCCCATGATTCACCTATCCCTATGGCTAGCAAAACTTTTTTTTTTTTAACAAAATATCCCAATACAAGCAAATGCACATAGTTAAAAGAATCCAGCTTTTCTTCAGTTCAGGTAGCAATGTATTAATTACCTTTTGTTTTAACACTCACCTTTGACTGTGACCTCCTTCCAGTATTATATGGCAGAGGAGTAGAACATATATTCTGGGTGGGCAATCTGCTGCCAGCAGTGTGTATTTTGGTCTGCAAGCATGTTTTTCTGGGATAGATTCACAATGGGGAATTGTAGTGGTGGTGATGGACAAAAACTTTCAGGATCTTGTTCTGACACGTGTGTGTAAGAGGGAGGGTGAGAGTTTGTTGGGGATTGAGCGTGCTGCAATTCCATGGGGGAAGATTGTGATATTAAGTACACAGTTAACCTTCAAGAAAATCTCGGCTTGTTTGTGTGCCCACCGCTGTGTTAGCATTTTATTTATGTATTGTGTTTATATTCCCTTTTTCTTCTGAGGAGCTCAAGAGGGCACGTATTGCTCTCTCTCCCACCCCAGCTATATCTTCATAACTTCCCTTTTAAGTCTGTTATGCTGAGAGTGTGTGTGTACTGGTCCAAGGTCACCCACTATGTTTCGTGGCTGAATGGGGATTTGAATCTGGGTCTACCCAGTCCTAGTCCAACTCTCTTAACTGGTACACCACACAGGCAAGTTTCTAGCCCAAAAACATGTTTGACAGGTTGGTGTTCATGCTCAACCTCAAAAACCTACAAAACCAGGAAGTTGGCTGAATTAGATTCCTGTGGTTAGGGGTGAAACTTCTTGTTTATGTCTTTCTATCTCAGTTCTTCTCCCCCCCCCCTCATTATTTTATCAAATTTGTGTCATTTACACAGTTTTCCCTCATGCTGAATTTGGATTGTTTGGCTGCACTCACCCCTGGTTGTGTATACTCCTCTTATTTTGGCAATATGGGTTGTGTAGCAACTGCTTATTTTTATGGGGCCAAGTCCTATAATGTGTGATGGTCAATTAATCTCTTCCTGAGGCTGAGAGGCTCCTCGGGCCACTCCTTTCCTGCAGAATGCATTTACACCCAGCCCCATCTCTTTCTGCAGCAGCTACAGGAGCAAAGGAGCAGCAGCCGCTCTGGTGGATCTCCAGTTACAGTTCTGCTTCCATTAAATGGATCTCCGTCCCCTGGAGCATATTCACCCCGCAGCCCATGGGAGATCAGGAAGGACCAGAACAGGAACTCCTCTTCCTACCAGCGCCGTTACAGGTAATCTGTCTATCTTACCTGCTCTTGCCTAGTGGCTAAGGATGCTTTCAGACTGTCTGTTTTGGGGTGGGATTCAGTCACATAGCAGCTGATTCAGGTTCATCATCATCATCACCACTTTTAGTTTGTATACCCTCTTTTTATATACATGAGGCAGTTTACCAACTGAAGAACCAATAAAATGTACAACAAATGTACAACACACCTTAGAACAATCTAATCCAATACAAATAAGTCCTAATAAAAAATATGACTTAAAATTTACAATTTATATCAAATAAAGGTTGCACAATAAAAACTGTTTTGGATTTCATCCACAGAACTAACCCATTTCCCTAATAGATCAGACTTTTGCAATAAGGAAAGTGACAGGGTAGTGCAAAAGTGTGAGATAACATTTGCTTTAAACAGTGTCATCTGTCCTTCCTGCAGACGAATTGGAGTGAGTGCTCCTTAGATAGGCAACAAAGTCTAATCTTCCTACAAACTAACCAGGATGAATGTTCAATACAGTGGTACCTCGGGTTAAGTACTTAATTCGTTCCGGAGGTCCGTTCTTAACCTGAAACTGTTCTTAAACTGTTCTTAGCTAATGGGGCCTCCTGCTGCTGCCACACCGCTGGAGCACGATTTCTGTTCTCATCCTGAAGCAAAGTTCTTAACTCGAGGTACTATTTATGGATTAGTGGAGTCTGTAACCTGAAGCATAAGTAACCCGAGGTACCACTGTAAATGGATTGTCTGGAAGCATCTATTTCCAAAAATTGCTGAAATCATGTATGAGAAGCTGCCAGACCAAAATAACACTTAAGAGTGCTTCCAGGTGCCAGGGTTCATGCGTTCAGTATAAGGAGAGCTAGCAGAGCAGGTACTTCACAAAACACAGAAACCTTGTTTACACTTTGGTAGAGTGATTCCTGCCTTTCAGGCCGCATAGACGTCAACATTTTCCCTTTTTTAAGGGAAATTCCCTTATTCCGAATAGGATTCCTCACAAGAAAAGGGAAAGGTTGACAGCTATGCACATTGGTTCTTTGCTTCTATGGGCTTCTGTGGTGTTGGCAGACAGGAGTGGGTGGGGGTCAGAGTTCAAGGGCAGTGCCACTGCCAATGCGCATCCCTCTGTCTTCACCACCAAGCAGCTGTAGAGTAAGGTGACCAAGCGCCCTGCTTTATTGTTTGTTTGCTGCTTCTTTTATTTCTGTAGCCTCAAGAAGTTCTCCAAGCAGCCTGCAAAAGGTTCTCAAAATAAAATTGCTCTCAGATCTGGGATAGGGGCAGAAAGGACTTTGTTGTCCTCGCATAAAACACCCTCTGAGCCAAAGGAGTGGGGTGAGCAGTTGGATTCTTCTGAGCAGGAACTCGCCCCCCACCTCAATGTCTCAGGCTCCATCTGGAAAAAATTGCAATGGCAACCTGAGAATTGGGGCAGACATTTCAGTCCCAAACCTCCCTGAAGTCACATCACCTACTTTGGGGGGGGGGAGCTAAAATGCTCCCCCCCCCCCCAAAATCAGGCAAACCACTTTGACGCGGTTCTAGGGAGTGTTCACATTATGCAGCGAATGCACAGTAAACAAGTGTGTGAACACAGCCAGAGTCTCTCCCTGGGTCACCAAGCAGCAAACTCAGAACTTTAGGGTGGTTTCTGCTTTCTCTGCCTAGAATACGAATTCTACAAATACCCCCACAGACCCTCACTATTATTCCCAGGCTATTTCCTTAGGTGGAGACCAGAGGCAGATGGCTTTGTATATACCCCTGTTGACTCTGCATGCAGACCCTTCCCGCTGCTGGTTGGGGAAGCCACGAAAACACACATTGGCCACAAGACACATTGGCCACAAGTAATTTCGTTGTCCCCGAAGGGGGCAATGACAATAAAGATATTATTATTATTATTAAGACACATCTGTCCTGACCTTTCATGTGAAATGCTACACTTTGATGTGTTTCCCCCCCAAACCTGCTTTGATCTTAATTGAGAACTGCTTACAGGGTAAAGATATCTCAGCCCACTGGTATGAACATATAGCGGGAGATTAACACACACATCAAACTGTGCCAATGTACACACAATATGCAAATGTGGTTTGAAATGCAGTGAAAAAGAATGACCTTGCTGAATTTTAAGCAGGTGATGTAGATACAGCTTATCTCTCATTTTCCTGGAAGCAGGGCGTTGGCCTACTTTGCCCTTCAGGGAAAGCCTTAGAAAGAAGGAGTTATGACAGAGGCTTATACCATTGTGCGCTGCCTGCAGAAGGTGGAAAGAGAACTTTTTGTCTCCTTTCTCATAAGACTAGAAGGTGTGGACATCCACGTTCAGGACAGATAAAAGAAAGTGCATCTTGCAGCACAGGCTCCCACGGAGGCAGCGACAGCCACCAACTTAGATAGCTTTAAAAGAGGATTAGACAATTCTGTGGAGGATAAGGCTGTCAGCAGCTCTGCCTTCATGGTTGGAGGCAGCCCGGCTTCAGAATACCGGTTCCTGGGAATTCCAGGAGGGGAGAGGGTGGTTCTTGTGCTCAGAACCTGCTTGGGGGCTTCCCACAAGCACCTCGCTGGCCACCGAGAGAGCAGGATGCTGGAGATAGATGGACCACTTGCCTGACTCAGCAGTCTCTCCCTATGTTTTTATGTTCTCCTTCTGTGAGGCTGGGCAGGTGAGGGTTAATTTGACGCTGCTGACAAGTCTAGAGGCTGGGCAGGTGTGTCAGGCAGGGCGTGTTCTACCTGCACTCTCAGGAGAGTGAGCCTGATCAGGTCTGGAGACAGGCAAGCAGGAAAGGAAATCTCCCTGGTGGTGAGGGGGAGCAGGATTCAGTCCCTGCTGAAACACTGAGCCCTTGAGGGTCAGTATACCTGCCTGGAAACAGCAGGTGAAGCCTCCTTCCCAGGGTGGGACATTTCCTGCTGCTGTTGCTCTCTGCTCCCTTTCCCGGAGGTATGTTTGTCTGAGAAGACTTCAGAGGGCTTGGGGCCAGAAGAACACCTTCGCTCACAGGGGAGCTGCTTTGGTGAGCTGGCTGGGGCTGATGGGAATTGTGATCCAAAATATCTGGAGGGCACCAGGGTGGCGAAGGGGTCCTAGGAGAGGGGCTGGCAGGGCAACTCCACAGCCAGGACTTGAAATGAGGAGGGGCTGGGATGCTTCTCTGAGTCAGTGAAGGGACCATTTCCGTTTTCTGAAGTCCTGGCTTACCTGGAGCCAGGGCCAGTGCGTCCAGGAGGTGGGCTGAGGCAGCTGCCTCGGGCAATGGAATCTCGAGGGGCCCCTGCAGGCACCACCCGCCCCTCCCGCCACAACCAGAGAAGTTAGGAGAAGCGGCGGCAGCTTCCGGCAACACCCTGCGGAGTTCATGTGACATTCCATCTCACCATTTCTGCATTGCAGGGGTTGGACTAGATGACCCTTGAGGTCCCTTCCAGCTCTACCATTCTACAATCCTGTGATTCTGCCACTACCACCACTTTTCCTCACTTCTCCTGTGGCTGGGAGGGCAGCAAGCAAGGCATTGGTGGGGGTGGGGCAGCACCCTCCCTTTTCGCCTCAGGTGGCAAAATGGGATAGAAGAAAGAAGAAAAGGCTCCCATTTCTCTCCTTGCGCCTGCTCAACCCTCTGGAATCCTGCATCCTTCTACTGAGGCCCCTGTTGTTCTGAAACAGTGTTCAGGTGTGCCTCTTCCTGGATCTCTCCTGGTCCAACCTCTTCCTGAAAGCTCGGCAGAATTATGTTGGTGATGGAAGACTGGTTTGTCCTGTCTTCCTGGGATATAAAAAGCCTGAGGTATTTTTCCTCTTCCCAGGACAGACTGGCTGCATTTCTTTTCTCTCTCTCTCTCTCTCTCTCCAGTCTGGATACAGAGCCAGCCATGCGCCATTTGGAAGGGGACTCGGAGGTCTACAAAATGATGCAAGAAAATCGTGAAACCAGGGCTCTGCCGCGGCAATCCAGCACCTTCCGCTTGCTCCAAGTAGCTCTGGAGTTGGATGAAAAAGGTGAGGGTCGAGGTGGCTGGGAAGGAAAGCAGGAAAATTGTGTTTCTTTAGACTTGGGAGCAGCAAGCAAAATGCAGCCACCACCATAAAATGTGGTGTGAAATACTTCCTAATGCTTCTGGTTTGGTCTGTCTTCTTGTCCCTCACTGTTTGCTTGAAACTCTGTTTTTTTAAATCTGAGGCGCAGGTAAATGCTGAGGTTGTGTGTGAGTCCATGAGAATACTTTTGTAGTTGAAGGCAAAAACCAAGAGACAGGTGGCCCAAGTTTTCTGTACTGGACTGCAACTTTGAATTAGCGGGTTAATCAACTAAAAATTAGAAACCTGCCTAATGCTGAGTAACATTCTTGGTCCATCTAGCTGTAGTATTATCTATACTGACTGGACGTGGCTTTTCAGGATCTCAAACAGAGGTTTCTTCCAGCCTGACCTGGGGCTGACCTTGGGACCTTCTGCCCACCACTTGTTGATGGCAAACTTTAATCCGTTACTCTGTGAATGAATTGTTTGTGATACAGTCTGTTTTGGTGCTTTTATGAAGGGAAATAAAGAAAACATTAAATATTGCATTTTCCTTCTGACCATTAGTAGATTATCTATGGCTTTATTAGTTTACAATGTATCTGGCTTTAATACTTTTTAAAAGGCAATTAATACTGAGGGGTTTGTGGGAATGATGGAAATTTTGCCTCATTAGATTAAGTCTGCAATCCTATACACACTTGGTTCATGACACACCCTAACGCTCTGAGGAGATGCACACAGGGTGGCACATTATTTAGAATCTGTTGCCGGCCGGCTTCTGAATCCTGATGTGCCCTCTCGGTTGCTTTGGCAGGGGGCTCCGTGACCCACTTCCCCAGCCCGCTGTCTCCCAGCGCACAGAAGCCAGTCAGCAGTTCCATGGCAGGCGGCTCCCAGAAGCTGCATGTGTGTGAGAAGTGTGGCAGCAGCATCACGTGAGTGTTTCTCTCCCTCGGATGGGAGTGCCTGGTGCTGTTCTGGAGGGATAAGAGATGGGCTGTTGGCCATAAGCAGAGCGGGGGTGGATCTAGACACAGGTTAAAAAGGTAAAGGTACCCCTGCCCGTACGGGCCAGTCGTGTCCGACTCTAGGGTTGTGCGCCCATCTCACTTAAGAGGCCGGGGGCCAGCGCTGTCCGGAGACACTTCTGGGTCACATGGCGAGCGTGACGAAGCTGCTCTGGCGAGCCAGCACCAGCGCAGCACACGGAAACGCCGTTTACCTTCCCACTATAAAGCGGTACCTATTTATCTACTTGCACTTAAGGGTGCTTTTGAACTGCTAGGTGGGCAGGAGCTGGGACCGAACGACGGGAGCTCACCCCGCCACGGGGATTCGAACCGTCGACCTTGCGATCGGCAAGTCCTAGGCGCTGAGGTTTTACCCACAGCGCCACCCGCGTCCCAGGCACAGGTTAAAAACACTATAAATAAGTCAGAAATTAAATCATTACAACAAAGGGGGGGGGAAGCCTATGTAAAAATCCATATAAACTCCTTTTTGCTCTCTGGCACCATCTGCTGTTGGATGTTTATGACGCATTCAAAACGTATTCTTGTGAGGAATGTAGCTGAATCCGAGGAGACCTTTGCCACTCTACACTTTCATGGTATTATAACCACAGTGGGGGACCAGTTATGCATTGCCATCTTCTGGGCAGAGACCAGAACTGCAATTTGGAGCTTGTGAAAGTTCACTGTGGCCATTTGAAATGAACTTGGTGGCTGAAGAGTAGGGAAATTGCCAAAAAGATATGGGGTTACTTATGTGTACACTATTATGTCATTGATGATGAGGAAATTTTTTACCTGTTGTTCACTGTATGGTCCCAGGGTAAGGTAAAGGTAAAGGTACCCCTGCCCGTACGGGCCAGTCGTGTCCGACTCTAGGGTTGGGCGCCCATCTCACTTAAGAGGCGCTGTCCGGAGACACTTCCGGGTCACGTGGCCAGCATGACGAAGCTGCTCTGGCGAGCCGGCACCAGCGCAGCACACGGAAACGCCGTTTACCTTCCCACTATAAAGCGGCACCTATTTATCTACTTGCACTTAAGGGTGCTTTCGAACTGCTAGGTGGGCAGGAGCTGGGACCGAACGACGGGAGCTCACCCCGCCACGGGGATTCAAACCGTCGACCATGCGATCGGCAAGTCCTAGGCGCTGAGGTTTTACCCACAGCACCACCCGCGTCCCCTTGGTCCCAGGGTAGATTATAGCAATATAAAAATACAATACTGAAAGTGGTTAAATCATTTTACAATCAGAAGATTATAATCAGAAGAATAGAGTGGATCCTAAAATATATGTATTGGGTGTCTAAGGCCAGTTTAAAAAGGAGTGTCTTCAGCATACAGTGGGAGCTATGCAGTGTTGAAGCAAAACACATCTCTGTGGAGAGGAAACTCTACAATTTAGGCTCTGCCACAGAGAAAGCACTCTTCTGGGAATTTTTTGTTTACTGCAGTGGAAATGCCATAGAATTTTTTCAGTAACAAAAATATATGCCATTATATATGCAAATATATGGGCAAATATGGGTACTACTACCTTTGCTTTTCATTACTGATTACATTTGTATCCCCCAGTCTCCCTCTAAGTTCAGGGCAGCACATTCCCACATTTTCTCCTTGAAACAACCACCTGAGATGGTTGGACTGAGAGAGAATGGCAGGTCCCATGTTGCTGAATAAGTTTTTGTGGCTGAACCAGACCCAAAGCAAACACTCCATCCATTGCGCTGAGGAGGCCAAATGGTTAGGGTGCTTGATTACATTTCCAAAGGTTTATTTACTTGGTTAAGATATTTATAGTTTGTCCTTCATCATGTAATCCCAGGGCAGGTTGTAATACAGGTAAATAATAAAGCAAATCCTAAAGACAATTAAAGAGCAAGCAAAAACATATCACATTTATTAAAAAATCAATAATGACGCCCTCCTTGAAATGGCACAACCTGTGGCTCTTAATTGCAGTGGCAGATACATACTTGCACCCCACAAAAGTTTGGGGAAACAGGTAGGTCTTTACCTGGCAAAAGTGTCAGCACCAGTCATACTTCCAAGGGGGGGCATTCCATAGATGGGACACCACTTGGTACTAAGGTCTAACTTTGATCTAAGTTGGTACTCCAACTCAAGGAACCTGATGTGGTACACTCTCCCTCCCTCCCTCCCACACACACATAAAAAAGTCTTTCCCTCACAGACACACATTCATACCCCCTTTCTCTCACACCCATGCACACATGTACAGACAACTTAATACTTCTCTCCATCTTTCTCTCTTGCACCCTCCCTCTAGCTTCTATTCTGCAGCCCCCTTTGCACACACAGGGCTGCCTCAATCCACTTTGGCACCTGAGGCAAACCACAAAATGGTTCCCCCACCAGAGAGGAAGGGGTGAAGGAAGATCTACATCAGGAACAAGGAGAGAATAAAGATCTATACTGGGAACAAGGTTGGGAGTAGACCAGCAGTGCCTCCTCTTCACCCAGCGGCTGCTCTTCCCCCAGAGGGGGCTGCGGGGGCGGGGTTAGATCTGGCCTCTAAGGAGTGCGTCACAGATGTTGCCGCAGCAGCAGTGCATTCCTTGGAGGGTGGATCTGCTGTCGCGGTGTCTCCTGCCATCTGAAGCAGCTGCCTCACCTTGCCTCATGGGTGAGTCAGCCGTGCGCTTGTGCCCCTTCACATATATGAAGGGAAGGGCATTGCTGCTGTCTGCCATGCCCTCAGCAGGGGCCCACGCTCCCCTCAAGGCTGCCACTCTCTCAGCCACATGCCTACCAAAGCTGTTCCCTCACAGGCAAAGTTCTGCATGTGTGCATCATCACACCCCCTCAGACTCTCCTGAGCTCGCTGGCTTCCTCTCACTCACACACCTGCCCACCCAAGCTGTTCCCTCCCTTCACACTTAGAGGGGAGAACAGTAGGAAGGGAGAGATGTCACTCACGGCTGGCTGCACATGCACACAAGAGTGCTAGTACGGCAACTCCTTACAATTTTATCTATTGGAGAGAAATGAAGGTGTAACTCATTTTTAAGGTGCAACAAACTTTGGTTCTCATCTTGGGACAGCATAGAAGCTAGAAGGAAAGTGTTGTTCTGTTGGGTTGAAAAGAGACACAGAAAAAGCTCGGTTGTGGCACTGCGTGTACCTAAGGCAAGGAAATGGAAAGCTTCTACTGATTCCATGAACCAAACTATCTCCCTACCTGCCTGATTCTGCCCAGGATAACCAAATGGGCCCTCCGTGAGCAGGGGGAGGATGCTGGAGGCTCCCTGGAATGGACACAGTGCTGAGAGAGATTTTGCCCTAGTCCTTTGTTTAAAGGGGAAGGGGGCTGAATCAAGATAATAAATGATGATATGTAGGCGGCAGTCTTTTTTTGGCAGTGTATGTTGGTGGAGACTCTTGCACAGAATAACACATGCAAAAGTATCTCTGTGGCTTGTGTGTCTATATGTAAATTGTGTTGTGGCTAATATAACAAAAGTAACTAAATCTACTGGGTTGTGTCCCATGCTAGCCCTACTCAGAGTAGACCCATTGAAATTAAGACATACCTAGCTTAGATCCATTAATTTTGATGCACCTACTTTGAGTAGGATGTAGTTGGACACAACCCATGCTCCTGGCACTGTGGCATGCTCTCAATACTTTCTCCACAATCCTGAGGGCTAGAAATTTGCTCTAAACATGCTAACATTAAATTTTAATGGGGCACCAGATTCCAGAGTTTGCCTCAGGTGCCAGTCATAGCTGTACTCCCCTCTGAGTCATGTTTCACTGACTGCGCCCTCGGCTGTGTCTCCTACAGGACCCAGGCAGTGAGAATCCAAGAGAACCGCTACCGCCACCCCTCCTGCTACATCTGCACCGACTGTGGCCTCAACCTGAAGATGCGGGGCCACTTCTGGGTTGGCGAAGAGATGTACTGTGAGAAGCATGCCCGCCAGCGCTACCAGGGGGCAGCAGGGGGCAGCCCGGTCACAGCCGTCTACTCCCAGTCCTAAACTGCGCCATTGGCATGCAGGAGAACGAGCAAGAAGGAAGCTGGTGTTTCCACCACCCTGGAGGCTTCTTCCCAACATCTAGTCTGTGTGACTTCCAGAGGCGTCCCTGGGTCTATTTCGATTGCCTATCAGACCTTTCGCTTCATGCACAATCCCAGCCAGTCAGGATTCTGCCTGCTGAGACATACAGGGAAGAGGAAGCCAGACAGGCTCAGGGATCTAGGGAACAGGCAGGGAGCCCCTCTAGGGAAATGGCATTTTCAGCTTCTGGCCTATTTCTTAGAAGGGCAAATGTCTTCATAGCACAAGCTTGGTCACGTTGGGCACTAAGCATCTTCCGGAGGGATGATTTGCAGGAATAGCCGAAATTTCCTCTCTGCCAAGCTGTGCCTGCAGAGGGTCTGTTTGGGGCACCCCATGGAACGCAGTGGTGCTGCCCCTGCCCACCCCTGTCCCATGGGTAGTGGAGGCCAAACCCAAGTGGCTCTTGCTGCTTGCAGGGTAACTAAGCCATTCCCTTCTGGGTCTCTGGCGCCTCTTTCTCACCACAGCTGTCAACTTTCCTGTGTCAATGTAGAGATGGAAGAGGAAAGATTAGGGGTGTCACTGAAGCACTGGGTACTGGGGTGGCATGGATGCAGCTTTGAATACTGACTCTCTGTAAAGCTTCTATAAAATAATCAGCCAGATCTCTATATGAAATATAATATATAAGTTGTATGTATAATGTACTTGCTTGTGCCTGCGTGAAGGGGATTGTAGAAAGGAGCCTCTTTTCACTCTGCAGCTCCATTTTAAGGTTTTATAACAGCATGTCACCCTCCCCTCAGCAGTTGCACACAGGACAAGAGTCTCTTACAGTGGTACCTCTGCTTACGAACTTAATTCGTTCCGGAGGTCCATTCTTAACCTGAAACCATTCTTAACCTGAGGTGCGCTTTTGCTAATGGGGCCTTCTGGTTCTGCTGCGCTGCCGGCGCATGACTTCCGCTCACATCCCAGGGCAAAGTTTGCTACCAGGAGCATCTACTTCCAGGTTAGCGGAGCTCATTACCCGAAGCATTCGTAAGGAGGACGATACGTAATCCGAGGTTCGACTGTATTTCGGGAGGGAGAAAGGGCAGCCTATGGGGAATCCCTCATCATACAAAATGCCCTATACAGTGGATAGAGGCTGTGGGAGGTGGCATTTTAATAGTTCTCCCAGCTATTTCTGGGCAGGGAGTGTGCAACTTGAGCACTATGCCACTGACGACTGCCGTCTTAGCTTATTGTCATGAGCTAAAGGAATTGCTGTTAAGTGACTGGCAACATAGAGGCACAACAAAACCTGGATTGACTACAGATTACCTGGCACATTCTTGTGCTCAACAAGCAAAGACCATGCAACCAGTCTCCCTTTTGATCACTAGCAAGCAAAAGGTGTAATAGTATTAGGTATGGCAACTTGCATCTTGCAGACAGTGTGCCATAGCAGGGAAGCTATATCAGCCTCAAAAACAAAACATGTAAATGAAATAGGTGTACATACCCTAAGGGTTTTTCTGTATGATCCTAACATCCTAAGTGTTGCCTCGCTGAATCATACAAAGGATCCATCTAATTCCATGTTCCGATTCCAACAGCCACTGGACATTCTTCCAACAGCTGGCTGTACCACCTTCTTAAATGTGGTGCAGGTAGTCAGCCAACCACTAGGGTAGTGAACCAAAGGTAGTTCCGCCTCCGCCACGCAGTCACTTAGAGATCTCTAGTTTCTGGCTAGCAGTGCCTTGGATAAAGAGTATGCAGGAGATGGTACTTGCACATAAGCAAATGTTAAGCACTTTAGTATCTGCTTAGAGATGGTTTGAAGAGAAGCAGACACAACAAGGGCCAGTTGAAGCTGTCTCCTTGTAACCTGTTTAGAGTAGGACCACCCATTCCACCCCACTTCTCTCTCTGCCTGTGTGTTTTGTCTGCAAAATGCTGGGCTGTTCAGCCTGGTTAACAGTACATGGCGCGTTCAGACTGCACTGGGGGTTCAAATAAGTTCAGATCCTTCCTGTGTTGTGTGATATCGCAATCTCCTTTCTCATATGTGGGCTCACTTGTTACGTATTTGTACCCAGGCCATTTGGTCTAGGTATAGACACATGGGAAAGCAGAACTTATACCACCTGTGGGGGTAGAAAAACCTTTATGCTAGAACTTGAGAGGATCTTATAATAAAGCAAAGGACTCAGATTCCCAAAAGCTATAGAAACCTCACTCATGTAAGAATATGCTCCGTAAAGAGCATACCTGAACAAAATAGGCCAGGGTGTTCTTCAAGTTCTGTTCTTTTAACATATTAGTAAGTGACATGAATAGTAAAAAAGAAAAGAAAAGAAAATCAAGAGTTAGCTATTATAAAAAGTTATTTCCTCTTTCTAGTCATTTATACCCCAGTCCGCCATCTCCTCTCTCCCTAGGAGGCAGGCGGGCACTAACTCACTCTCAGCTCAACCCAAAATGCTGAGCTTCAACTCAGCCCCTTCCCCTTCTTGGCTGTTCAGCTTCCTTATCACAAAGCTTTTCTCCTTCAAGGTCACGCCTAGATCTTCCCAAAGAGGGAGTCAAACATCAGTCAGCCTCTTGCTGCTGGCTTGTTGCTATGCCGGTTTCACAAAAAGCTTGCTTGCTTTCCCGCCATATGGTGGCCCTGCTCCCTTCTGCGACAGAATGAAAGATGACCAGATTAGCCATTTTATCTCAGGCTTGTGATGGGGATACAAGACCTGCCATTTCCTGTGGTTACCAGTGTAAGGAAAGGTGTCACTGCGCAGTAGCCATTGTCATGCTTTCATGTGCAGGAGTTCAAAATCCTCCTGTTGCAGGGATCTACAGCCTTCCCTAGTCAGCTTGTCCCATTTTCTGAAAGCTCTTCCACAGGGCAATGCTATGCTACACCTGATGTAACTGTGGCAAATCCATGGTTGCATTGAAGTTTGAAGATGGCTCCCCATTATCTATCCACTAGAGCACTCTAGGGATGGCCAGGGTGAGCCTGGAGGCTGCATCTTCCACTTGGAACATGACACTTGCCAGCACATGCTCAGGACCAAGGTTCACATTACAACAAACATGCTTTTAAATATATGTGCTTAAAGGTGCTCACTTCTATTACGAGGAAAAGTGATGTGAGGCCTGGATCCAGAGGGGAGTCTGGAACTGGTTTCCTGCTGAAGACCTCCTCTCCCCATTTGCCTCTGTTTGTCTCCAGAGGTTCTGTTCATTGCAGGGATGACTAACATGTGGCCCTCCAGATGTCATTAAACTCCAGTCCCCATCTTACGCAGTCAGCATGCTCAATGGTCAGGGAGAATGAGAGTTGTAGTCCAGCAGTACTTACTGTTGTTGCCATTCGTCTGTCTTGGGAGACAATTGAGGAGTGCAATTTTGGGGATGAAGTCAGACTGTTGGAAAGTTGCAGCATCTGCTGTGGCTGTGGAGACCGATGCAGGAGGGACATATTTTGTTGCAGCTGGAGCAGATGAAGGTGTACAGTTGTGCTGCTGCAGATGTTTCTTCCCTCTGCACTCCTCCCAGCAGCCATTCATCCCCTGGTTACCTGTCTGTCTCTCTCCAGGCACTGTGGTCATCTGCAAGGGATTCCCACATGGCGGGGTTGATGTTGCCAACCTTCATGTCACGTTTGCAGCCATCTTTGTCACGCAAAGTTGGTCTGCCAACTGGCTTGGTGCCTGAAGCCAGCTCCCTGTAGAGCACATCCTTGGGGATCCTGCCATCTTCCATTCTGTGGACATAGCCAGCCAGTAGTCCCAAGTTCCCCACCCCTAGTTCCCAGGGAGAGAGCAATACCAGTTTTTGAAGGGATTCCTAGGAAGAAAAGTGCAACAGCAGACCCCAGGTTTGATCCCTGGCACCTCCCAAATCCGGCTGGGAGACACCCCTGGCTGAAATTCTGGACAGCCACTGCCAGTCAGTGTAGACAATACTTGGCTTGATGGGCCAATAGTCTGACTCAATATATAGCTACTAAGGCCAGAAGAGCAAGGGCATAGAGTAGAATGTGGTGGTGGCCATTCAAGAATAGCACAGTCTCTTATTGCTCTTTCCCCCTTTTGTTGCTGTATCAGGAATGGAATGTCCAAGGGATATTCCTCGGGAGTTCAAAGATCTTGAGCTGGTCGTGCCATCTGTGGCGAGAGAATTTGGTGGCTTCAGAATATTTTATGTCCTATTCTCTCCCTGTTGAATCCTAGGGAATGGGGATTCATGCTGAAAAATGGGGTGATGGTCTAGAGGGGAGGTGAAGGTCCTGTGGCCCCCAGCTGTTGCTGGACTACAACTCCCTTCATCCCTGATTATTGACCATGGTGTCTGGGGCTGATGGGCGTTGGAGTCCAACCACACCTGGAGAATCACAGCTTCCCCAACCCTGGTCTGCTCGGGGGGGGGGGTATGGCCTGGACATGTCCCTGCCCTGCCTTTCTCGCCCCATTCTCAAAAGCATGAGGCTGCCGGCATGCCTGGAATGCTTCACGGGTGTGGGTTTCCCAAAAGGTTGGTGGGAGCTGTTGCGCCATTCAGAAACACAAAAGCGCAAAAAACGCTCCTTCTTTAGCAGTGCAAACAAAGGCCCGTGCCAAAGTCTTGGAGAGGCATTCTGGGGGCCGCCCAGTTTCCTGTTCTGAACAGCATTCCTGCCATGAAGTCACCACAGAAACGGCCAGCCCAGCGTGCTCTGGAATGCGGCTTGCACATTCTCCACATTCAGATGCCACAAGCAAAGGGAGAGGTGAGACTCAAGACCTTTCACTAGAAAATTTCACCCAGGGGAGCAAAGGCCTCTCGCCACTTGCCAGGGATGGGGAACCTGCAGCCCTCCAGATGGTCAAGGGATGAAGGGGAGTTGCAGTCCAGTAATATCTGTAGGACCAGAGCTCCCCCATTTTGACTTTTCAGCCTCTGTATCAGTTTGATACTGATGCAATTGTCAATCTCACTGCTGTTAATCCTGGGAATTGTAACTGAGAGTATTTCCTGTCCCCTGTAAGAGAGAGAGAGAGAGAGAGAGAGAGAGAGCAGTAGAATTACAGTTCCCTGGTGGAGAAGGGCTGATTACTCTTAAGTGTTCTGCCAAACATATGGTCAGGAAATGAAGTCACTATGGCTGTGCCAAAGAAATGTGGATGGAATACCCCTCATTGCTAAGTAACCAAACTCTTGTTTTCTGGGATTAGGTGCATGGTGAGGAGGATAGTTTTCAGCCACACAATGGGTTTTCATATCTCTGGATCAGCCTCTGGCAGGTGACCACATCTGGAGTAGCTTCAATACACAATTGTCTGCAGTCAGGCCCAGGGTCAAAGGTCAACACTGTGGGGCAATTGCTGAACCCTCCCCCAAAGCCTTTAGAAGAGTCCACTGCCTACACATGCTGCCAACCCAACACACAAACATGCGCTCCTCTCCATTCTTGTACTTGGGTGATGGTGGCTGCTGCCTGCCGTTTTATCTCACAATGCCTCTGAGGCCACAACCTAACATCACGCTGGATGGAAGAGCACTACACTGAGTGCCGGAGACATTGGGGTCGGCTTACAGTGGCAGGGCCCAGCAAGAGGGTTTGCTGCTGTTGCTGAAATTGCACCTACCTGCTACCACCAATGTGAAGGCAGGGGCTCCTACTCCATGCTGGTGGTAGGGTGGCAGATGGTGCCAAGGTTTACACCAAACCATGTGTCAAGCCCTATATCTAGTGGTCTCCTAAGTCCTGTCCAGAACTCTGTACTATTGGGTGTAAGGAGGTGGGGGTTCTGGGTTTGGGGAAGGGGCACAAGGGGCATCTTGGCTACCTGTCAAATGGAGTCTCTGATTTCTCCAGCTCCTTCATCACACAGAGTCTGTTTTGGTACTGATGGAAGCATGAGGAAGGAGACACAGTTCACACTACAACTTGTGATCTCTTATTGGTGTACTCCCTACAATCCGTCTCACACACCAACAAAAATGTACACTAAACGCTTGTACCTCTGATCACTGTGGATCAGAGTCTTGTTCTGTCCCTCTCCCAAATTGTGTCACACACACAACCCAACACATTTTGCTGCCTGGGGTGAAATACAAAATGGCAGCCCCTCCTCATTCCTCATACAGAAAGCTGACTGGATTGGTGATGGGATAGTCAGCGTTCTTCACTTTAGCTGAGGGCAGCAGGGGAGGACATGTACAGATGTGTTCTCCATCGCAGGGAAACAACCATGGAGTTTAAGAGGATTGGCAAGCGGCACTGCTGCTTGCGGTGGTCACCTCCCTTGGCCTAATTAAAAGGCTGGTCCTGCACATATAGGCACACACAGGTGCATGCACACAACTGCTTTAACAGATCCCTTTTCCTTTTTATTAAACATTTGTTGTTGCATCTATCTGGTTGGACACCTTGCTGATTTGTGTGGCAGCAGAATCTGTACCTGGTTCCTTTGCAGTTAGATTAGGTTAGAACACATCCTGTTGGATGCTTTTGTGTGATTGATTGGGAGACAGTGCTCCTGAAGGTAGGAGTCTATCAACTGATGAAGATGATCATCCAAATGTAATAGACCAAATGGAGCAAACAGCACGCAGACCTAGTGGTGGGAGGGAAAAATCCTTAAATAAGAGACATGGGGGAATGATTAATGGACTTCAATGTCTGTACACTAATGCGCAAAGCATGGGAAATAAACAAGATGAGCTTGAGCTCTTGGTACAGCAAACTAAATATGACATAATAGGCATCACTGAAACCTGGTGGGATAAGTCCCACGATTGGAATGTAATAATGGTGGGATACAATCTATTTCAGAGAAACAGACCAGACAAGAAAGGAGGAGGAGTGCCGTTATATGTCAGGGATGTGTATACCTGTGAAGAGATCCAAGATTTAGAACCTCAAAGCCAAAGTGAGAGCATTTGGGTCAAAATTAAGGGAGAGAAGAATAACAGTGACCTCATTGTGGGAGTTTACTATAGATCCCCAAGCCAAACGGAGGACATAGATGATGCCTTCCTGGAACAGATGGCCAAGCATGCAAAAGGAGGGAGATAGGAGTAATGGGGGACTTCAATTACCCGGATATTTGTTGGATGTCAAACTCAGCCAAGAGCATAAGGTCAAACAGATTCCTCACTGGCCTTGCAGACAACTTCATTGTCCAGAAAGTGGGAGAAGCAACAAGAGGAACAGCCATTTTAGATCTGGTCCTAACCAATGTTGATGACCTGGTTAGTGGGGTAGAAGTGGAAGGATCATTAGGCGCGAGTGATCATGCTCTTCTGAAGTTTACTATACAGCAGAAAGGAACAGCCAAGCATAAATTTCTTGAC